GAACATACGCATCAGCTCGCGTCTGCAAGAGAAGAAAGAAAAGAGGAGCGGAGTGCCACAGCCACGATATGGCGGACGACGAGGATAAGAAGACAGAACACCAGCGCTACTCGTCACCAGACGGAACTCATCGTCAACCAGCGCCGGCTCACTCGCAACCGCGACAAAACCCCTCTTCATCTTCATCATGCCCTCCACTCTCGAACGGGAATCCGGTCGTATGGGATTGCCCTTCTACCTCTTCGCTACGATCCTCCTCTTCAACTTAGACGTCGCGGCATTAGCGCTCACGCGGGATCTTCGCGTCAACGACGATGACACGTGCGAGCTCCAAGTCACGCTTTCCGCCACCCTCCACGAACGCCTTCTTTATCTCCTCCGAGTCGTCCGCCTTGCTTCCAACGCTATCGTCCCTGACGAGATCGCCGCCAGCGCCGATGTGGACTTCAATCTCGCGGCTCTCTCCGAGCTCGGATCAGACTTTCCTCCTTTCCCCGTCCTCCTCTTCCTACAATGTTACCCGGACTACAACCAACTCTCCGGACCAACCCCTCGATCCGTCTGGGCGAAAACCTGGTACGACTACCAGCAATGCGCGCACGCATCCATGGACTGGATCGCGAGAGCCATGCGGACCTCGGTCGGGACTCACGGAGAGATGTCTGCTTGGAGGTGGACCCCGCATTCGTTCTCGCCCTCGTGGGTGATAATCGGAGAAGATTACGGCGACGTACTCTCGGCGAGGAGTCTCCAGAAGACTTGTCTAGGCGCGGATCTCATCACCGAGGCGATGCGAAGCCGTGGCATCCTTCGCGCCATCGCCAACGTCCTCGGAGTCGCCGACATCTACGTCCTGGTCTACTGCGACGACATCCTCGTTGTAAACGCGAACCCCGGCGTTCTTCACGGGTTCGACCTCGTCTCCGTAGTATCCGGAGTTATCACCGAGTACGAGAGAGCTCGTCGCCCCGGCCGGTTTCTCTGGACTGTCACGCCGCGGTCGACTACACATGGATTAGTACCGACTCTATCCATGACTCCGCTCGAAGTCGGCATGGACGTTGATTAGCTTACTCTGCTCCCTTTTACGTTCTTCGAGATTCGATTCTACGCTGGGGGAGGCATGTCATGGGACGAGTCTAGATTAGATTAGATATGTTAGCGTAATCTCTCTCTCTCGTCCGGATCAGTTCTTTGTTCCGTTCATGTATATAAACGCGCTCCGCAGGAGCGCGGCACGATCCTCACTCTACTCTTTACCACCATCAGTCCGTGTGTGTTTCTTTGTCCGTTCGTCCGTCCCTTAAGTCTCGTTCATCGCGTCGCCTCGAACACTCGAGCGACGATCCAAGGGCTGTAGCCTTCTCTCGAAGAGCGCCCTGTCTGAACAACTGAGTGACTACGACGATCGTCAGGAGGAATCCTACGAACCGCTTCGCTGGAACTTAACAGGTGTCCGGACCTCGAACGCTTGAAATTATGGATGGTGAACGACTACTGCCCAATGTACGACTCAAGCATACAAGGAATTGTCGAAGAACTCATTCCTGACCCGGTCTCGCCTTTGTGGGCAGCCGCTGGTGTGGTCAATCTCCCCTCCCTTCAAGCAGTGGTCGCCAACGTCGGCACGGATAGCTCACACATGCTCTACCTGGACTGCGTCACATTTCCTCAGAGTACCAGTCTCGACATCATTACGAAGGACTCAAAGCTTCGGGACCTTTTCACCGGACACGCGCTCCCGGCGCGGCGCATCCAAGAGGCGGACGCCATCCGCCTCAGCGACTCTTGTCAGCCGTTCAACTCGAAGTGGGAGACCGAGGTCGTGATGTTCAAGGGGGACGCGGCGTCGATCCGGATCACGCGCACTCGCTCCGAAGGCCCCGACTGCGACCCGCTGCCTGCCTCGGAGACCCTGGACGACTGCGTCGCACTGCTGCGCGAGCACGGCACGAACGTCGCGCGCCTCATTCTACACCAGCGAGGACTCTACGGCAAGCTCGACATCCTCGGCCCCTTCCCTTCCATCACGTCCCTCGAGATCGCAGGGCCATGCTTCGACGAGGTGCTTCCGGCGCTGCTAGTACGGTCTCAGTGCGCACCCAACACCCAGCCCGGCGTGGTGGTCTGTCCAAACTTGAAGAGCCTCGTCGTCTCGTTCCCACGCGACTACGGCTGGCTTCAGAGGACGATGAAGCGGAAACCGACGCGGTGGGAAGAGATGGCGGCGGTGACGCTGTGGGACGACCAGGCCGCGCTCGTGAAGGTGCTGGAGTCGAGGGCCGCGAAAGGACTTCGGTTGGAGCGCCTCGAGTGGCAGGCATGGGAGTGGGACAACGTCTGCAAACTCGAGGCCCCTCCGCAAGCAGTCGCCCACACGCTCATGCCTCGCCCGGGGCTGGTCGTACAATCTGCACTCGAGAAGTTCGTCGATGGGCCTGTCGTCTTCGGAGGGGTCACATATCTGGAATTACCCACGAAGTGATCTGTCTTTGCTTTTTGCATCGTCGAAGGCTCGACCATTTAGTATGCAGCTATGGGTGGTTGCAATGCTTAAAAAGATTCTCGATCACAGACGTACTCGCTGTTGTACTCGCTCTTCGTACAGTACGACGTGAATAAGTTTGAATATACGGAAGAGCGTGGCGATGACAACAGAGAAGCCTTCTCTGGCTACGTGTGGTTTTCTATGTTCTACACCCCGATTTGCCTCAGCTCTCAACTCTGCCAACCAACAGGCAGATGCACACGAAACACTGCCTGAAGGACTGATCACGTACCGAGACCACGGCGGTTCACACCTTATGTGCGCCTCCAGCTTCGGTCCACCGCAGGTACTTGCTCCCTTCCCGCCGCTCTCAGCCTTCCGGCAGTGCCGCCCCGTTCCTGGGTCAAAGCCCGGCGGCCCGATCCCAGCCTACGCGGAGAGAGCGTGGTTGTGCTGTGGTATCCAGGCGTCAGCGTGAGCCCAGTCCCGTTGATATGTACCCCACTGAACGTAAGGAGGTGTACGTCAAGATCTCGGCGGGGGCGATGGTTCAAGTTGCTTAGGATGCGGAAGGCGTCGCGGTTGTGAGGATATAGAGGCTGCAGACTTGTATGAGCACGGGCCGCAGATGAAGCGAGAGAGCGGACCTACATGCTTGTTCGAAAACTAGCGTTTCTCGGTGGCCGGGCGAAGCTGAATAGATGCTTGAATGGGCTAGTCACCAAGGACAAGACATCGCTCTCAGTTGTTTGAACGCACTGTGGGTTTACGAGGGCCGGTGCTTGAGGTTCCATCCTATTTCGAAATCCGAGATGAGAGCTACGTAGTACGCTCTGCAGGGCTTCCCAGTATCGCATTTGAGGCTTGGGGATGAATGAGAGATGGGATGCTAGTCTGTTGCTGACCCACACGAGAAAGTGGAGAAAACACAGGACGGGTTTATTATACCGCTGTACGCATAGTGTAACGCCGCACATAGCCCACTCTCTACCGCTTCCTCGCCAACCGACGACTGTCCGCTGCATGCCCACGCCCGTCAGCACACAACTAACAAGGACGGACGCAACGGACGCACCTGCCGACTTGGCCTTCTTCGGCGGCCCCTTCCCTCTCGCTTTCCGCTCCGCAACGTCCTCCAGCCGCTGAATCTCCTCAAAGTCTGGGATCTTGAGCTCGGGCTTCATGCGGTTAAACTTTGCCACCGTGAATTCGTCGGGGTAGTACTGGACCATAGCGGGGCCACGGAGGTGGGCGCGAAGGTACTTCGCGCCTGTGCGGATGCAGGTGGGGTTATAGGCGGTTTGGAAGATTTTGCAGCGCAGCTGCGTAAGCGCAGCCAGCCGTGAGGGTGCGACGCTTGTCATGGCGCGTCGTGGGCCCGCGAGGAACGAGGAGAGGGCGAAGGACGGTGGACACGTCGAGGACGGTCGAGCTGAGCGGCGGCAAGCGCGGCTGCAGCGCGCGAATCGAACACGTGACCATTTTGGCAGCGCGTCACGGTCGACGACTCGCGGTTTGCGGCCCTCTTTACGCCCTCGCGTCCCTCGTCCTTCTGCTCTCTGCTCCTTTTCCTCTCCCGCTGCTCATCTGCTGAAAAGGCAGCTAGAAGACCCCTTCTTACCAGCTGGATGATCCTCACGCCCCTCTTTCGACAGCGATGCCGACATAGCTTTCTCCTTGCTGCTGGTGCGCGTCTATTCTCCCAGTCGTCGACCTCTTTGCAAGACTCGTACGGCTCAAAGGCGCGTCGAAGCCATGATCATCGACCACCGAAGGTTCCCCTACCCCCGGACGAATTTCACCGTCAGCCCAGGAGGATAACGGAAAAGGAGAGGGCCCATTCCACACTGAATCCAAGGAGGCAGAAGGAGGAGCCTCCCGCGTCCAGGGAGAGGCCGCAAAAGGGGGAGCGGTCAGAGCAGGCGAAACCTCCAAAGGCACTCTATATTCCACCAGTCGAAATCCCGTCCTACTTCGCCAGATCCGTCAGAACCCGGTTCACCCACGTTTTCAAAACCTGTTGCACTCGACTCGCTGAGTTCGGTGTCGAAGAGCCGAGCACTGTGCTCGACGTCTACGCCCAAGAGCTGAGCGAGGGCAACGTCTTCCGGGTCCTTGGCTACGAAGAAGACCGTCTCAAGAGGATGTCTTTGGACCTGCACGAAAACTCGCGCGACGCCTACGAGAAGTACCTCTGCCAGATGCTCTACGAATGGGCGAGCCACCCCGAAGGCGCGAAGGCGCTTGCTCCCCACGTCTCCCCCGCCGTCCTCCAGCAGATGCAGACCCTCTTCCACGCCGCGGACCGCTCGCTCCTCGAGTGGGACTACACCGCCGCGCGTTACGTGGGCCCGCGCCGCTTCATCATGCACGTCGGGCCGACGAACTCGGGCAAGACGCACCACGCCCTCCGCGCCCTCGCCGCGTCCAAGCGCGGGCTCTACGCGGGCCCGCTCCGCCTGCTCGCGTACGAGATCTTCGACCGGCTCAACAAGGGCCAGATCGTGCCCGCTGGCATCGACGCCGCCGACGCGGAGCCGGACGCGGACAGCCACGTCGCCGACGCCGACGACGCGCAGCGGGACGTGGTGGTGACGAAGAAGGGCAACCCGCGCTGGGCGCGCGAGTGCAACATGATCACGGGCGAGGAGATGCGGATCGTGAGCGCGGACGCGCAGCTGCTCAGCTGCACGGTCGAGATGGTCCCAATCTCGTCCCGGTGGCAGGTTGCGGTGGTGGACGAGATCCAGCTGATTGCGGACCCGCAGCGGGGAGGGGCGTGGGTCACCGCGGTGCTCGGGTTGAACGCGGAGGAGATCCACCTATGCGGTGAGGAGTCGGCGGTTCCTCTGGTCGAGGCCATGATCAAGGATCTGGGGACACACTGGAGGTCAAGAGGTATCAACGCCTGACGCCGTTGGTCGTTGCGGACAAGGCTCTGGGGACTTCTCGCAAATTACCAAAGGCGATTGCGTCGTCACTTTCTCGCGGAGCGGCCTCTTCCACGTCAAGGAACAAATCGAGCAGAAGGTCAAAGGAGTCAGGTGCGCTCTCGCCTACGGACGTCTTCCTCCCGAACTCCGCACGGAACAAGCTGCACTCTTCAACGATCCGAACAACAACTACGACGTCCTCGCTGGAAGTGACGCTATTGGGATGGGGTTGAACCTGTATGTCTGTCGTTCCTTCATCACGAACCTGGTACTAATCGTCCCCGCATAGGAAAATCAAACGCGTCATCTTTGAGGCCGTCGAGAAATTCAACGGCAAGAGCTTCACACCTCTGTCGACATCGCAAATCAAGCAGATTGCGGGGCGCGCCGGTCGCTTTGGCCTCCACGACGAGAATCCGGCCGGTGTCGTGACTACATTGAAACAGGAAGACCTCCCCGCTCTCCGCGAAGCTGTTGCGGCCGCCTTCCAGCCCCTTCCGCACGGCTATGTGACCATGACCAAAGGGACCTTCAATGCCATCGTGAGCGCGCTGCCCGTGGGCTCGTCGAATCTCACCGTCGCTATGGTGCACAAGTATGTTTCGAAGCAGTCTCCCTTGTACGACTTCCAGTCACTACAGGACATCACGCACACTTTGAAGGCTCTCGACGATCTGAACATCAAGCTCCCTGTTCCCGACCGCGTCACCTTGAGCAACGCACCTGTGCCGTGGCGGGACCCCAAGTGCGCGGCTGCGGTGAAGAAACTGCTCCAGATCTTCTCGCGCAAATCGTATGTCACTGTCGAGGAGGTCCTTGAGCGCGCGCAGCTGCTCAAGCCCCTCAACGACACTCTGGTCATGCTAGAGGCGAAGACAACCCGTCGTTGGGGATGATCCAGCGTTCACTCAGCTCCCTCGAGACGATTCACAAACTGCTCGTCGTCTACCTCTGGCTCACATTCCGATACACCATCCAATTTCCGGACCGCAATAAGGCGTACAACCTGCAGCACACGACAGAGGCCGCCATGGACTGGTGTCTGGAGATGATGCATCTGCTGCGCAAGGGTCAAGGAATACCGCAGTCGCGGAAGCCCGGGCAAAGATTCGGCGTCGCAGACCTGTAGAGGCTAGCTCTGAGCCGATCGTACACATGCCACAGGTCGCATAAAACACCTGAATCGCTCACGTATGTATACCCTCGTCGCTCTTCGGGTCTTTTCTCATCGATGTGCCCTTCAGGTTGTCGCGCCGCGTCCTTCACGCACCCTTCACCCACGTGAGAGGTTGTTTGCCCTGCTTTGTCCGCCCGTCCAGCCCGGTTCAAAAGCTCGCTCCGAGCGGCGTCGTTGCCCATTCGCTGCCCATCCCTCCTCCCGGCCCCTCCTACTCACCCCGCTCGTCCACCCGCGACACTTCCGCTCCTTTGTCTCCGGCGACCCGACACACCCTACTTCTGCCCCATCATGTTACTCATCCCCGTAATCAGCTTCGTCTCGCTCGTCTTTGGGCGGCCCACTGGTACGCCCCTGATGGTCCGCACCCCCGCCTCCTCCCTCGAGCCCGGCACCCTACTTGGGCGACATTACATCATCACCGGCCAGCACGCCATCCACACCTCTTCCACCCCCCACCTCGCTCGCGCCGACCCCGCACCCTCCGAACGCAAGTCCCGCTCCGTGCCCTTCCCCAAGTACCTCCAAGACCGCTCGGACGCCCATTGGGCACACGCGCCGCGGGCCGCGTCCGTCGACGATCTCATCCCTCCTGGGACGGAAGCGAACTACGTGTCGCACGTGGGCCCGTTCGTGCCCTCCGATGCGAGTGAGGGCCCTCCCTACGGCCCCCCGCCTGTGGTTGCGTACACGCCGCCGTCGAACTACACGGCGGCCGCGTCGCCGAAGAAGATGATCAAGGCCAAGGGGCTCAAAGTCGCCGGGCCACACTCAGCGAGCGCGCTCTGAAGGCTGAGGAGGGCAGCGGCGTCGGCGCGCCCAATGTCTCAAGGGGATGCATAGTGGGATCTTACCAAGTACGTTAGATAATTGTAATGGACACCACGACTCGCGCATCATGACCTAGACCACCACTCTACTACATAGACCTTGTACATCTGTAAGGGTACTAATTGACGCGGCCTACCGGCCAGCTACCTGGATCTCTGTGACTTCTGCGGTGTGCTGAGGACACTCCGCGAGCGTTGGCGAGTTGATGGTAGGTGACAATCGTCGTCCTGGTGTTCTCAGTTGGCGTTCCCCTTGGCCTCTCCAACTTGGAGATATACTGCACGCCCGTTCAGGCTGTGCGTGGGAAGTCGATGTCATGGGTCGCTTGAGGTTCTATTTCCTTCTTCCTTCCGCCTTCTATGCCGCCGTCTTACAGCGCACGACGGGGCGCATTTTGAGCATCTCAGGCAAGCTTTGTCTCATGGGACTTGCGAGTTCTGGATTAACTTCATCGAATACATCCAGATAGACAGTCACATCGGGCGCGCGGTATCATATGGACGACCTCTCAGTACAGGTTGATATAGAACCTCCGACCCCAGGCACAGATATTGTCGCAGAAGAGGATACTTTGAGTACTCCGGTCGCGCCTGTCCCTGTGCGCCCTTTGTCATCCCTCCAAGAACGCAAGCTGGTTGAATACCTGGAAGAGCAGTTCCTCGACATCACTCGAAACTACAAGAAACGGTTCGAACCTCTTCTGACCTCCCGCCTCAAGACCGCCTTTCTCACCTAACGCCTTCTCCCACAGATCAGACCCATCGTCCTCGCTCCCCACGCTCGCAGCCTACCTCGAAGCCACCCACCGCCTCCTCTCGCTCATCCTCCAAATCCCCCCGGTCGACCCCTCGACCCCGCTCCGGACCACCCTCCTCCTCCGCCTCACGAGCGAGGTCCTGCAGTCCATCCCCGGCTACGCCCCCGACCCCAACACGCTCCCCGCGCTCCTCGCCTGGCTGCGCGACCTCGACGCCGGCTGGCTCGCCACCCTCCGCGCGGACGCGTGGGACTCGAACGCGTCCGCCGCGCGGCCCGCGCGCATCTCTTCGCCGCCCCCGCCCGACGCCGGCGGTGAGGACGCGCTGGACGAGCGCCGGCGCGAGGCGCGGGTGACGCGGCCGAGCCAGACGGAGCGGACGCGGCTGCGGAGCGCGCTGCTCGCCGGCACGGATGCGCTCGAGGAGTGGCTCGAGCGGCTTGACGCAGGGGCGCGGGGGAGGGGTTCGCAGATGCGCTGCAGCGGGTGGGGCTCGAGCGGGAGTTCGACGATCTGTTTGCGGGGACGCTGGCGGAGATGGGGTCGTTGGCGGGGAGCGAGCCCGTGCCAAGCACAAAGGGGATGTGTTGAACGGCCAAGGCGGATGTATGAGTAGAGTAGCATTTCAGGGAATTAGGTACGATATGGAGGAGTGTAGGATTAGTAGAGTCCGGTACGCTTGCGGACCTCGTCGATCGTCTTTTCGGTGATCTCCATCGCGCGCGCTGCGCCCGACTTGCTGACCGAGTCGAGATACGCAATGTCTCGGCGAAGACGCTCGAACTCGCGTCGCGGCCCGCTCATGAGCCCCTCCACGGCCTCCGCAACGTCCATCTTGAACTCGGCGTGGCTCCTGTTCGCGTAGCGCACAGCGACGTCTTGAGGCTTGGCGTCCTCGCATGCAGCAAGGATGTCAACCAAGTTGGCAATTCCGGGACGCGTGTCGGAGTCATAGGAGATCCCCGTGATCGAGTCGGTTACTGCCCTGCGGATCTTCTTGTTGATCTGCTCAGCCGAATCGGTGAGGAGGATCCGGGAGTTGACATCAGGGGACGACTTCGACATCTTCGACGACGGGTCCTTTAGCGAGAGCACTCGACATGACGTCGAAGCTGGTTGCATGTGTTAGACTCAAGGGGCATGGCAGATGAAGGAGCACGTACGAATGACATGGCGAGGCAGAGGGAACACTGGCGGGTCGTCCTTGCCCCCCTTGAACGTCTTGTTGAAGGTGACCGCCAGGTCTCTGCACAGCTCGATATGCTGCTGTTGGTCTTCACCAACTGGCACGTGCGTAGTCCTGTACGACGGTGAGCATACCACCCGTATACATATAGCGGGATCATACGCACTTGTAAGCTAAGATATCTGCGGCTTGCAATACAGGGTAGGTGAAGAGCCCAACGTTGAGGAGAGACTCGTCTACCTCCGAATCATCGCGGGCGTTCCGAGACGCGGCGAGCCTGGACTTTCCGAGATTGTAGGTAGACACGCAAGACAGAAACTGCAGTATATACCTTCCAGGTGGTCATCCTGTGCAACTTCCCCATGGGTGTGATGCAGTTCAAGATCCAGGCAAGCTCCGCATGGTGCCGGTTCTGTAGCAGAGGTCAGAATACGCGAGGATGCAGAGGATGGAGCACACCCACCTCGTCCTGGTGGAACACAATCGACCGCTTGGGGTCAATCCCACACGCCAATAGAACGGCAAGTATCTCTCTCCGCGCAGCGCTGAGTTCCTTGGGATCTTGAGGTAGCGTAAGGGCGTGCCACCCGACGATCGAGAAGATGAGCTTGTCTTCTGGTGCGGCTTCTCGCTGAAGCTTGACCCAGTTCATGAGCGCGCCGAGCATATTGCCCAGCTATATACGTGATGTTGGGAGGGAGTATGAAGCAGAGCGCGTGAAACACGTACGTGAGGCATTCCAGTGGGCTGTATCCCGGAAAACACCACCCTTGGATGGGTAGGCCGCGTTTGAGACGCGTTCTGCGCGACATCCTTGGTATGGACGGTGCGCCGCACATGACTAGGGCTATGAGAGAGCAAGCATGAAGGAAAGAGACTGCGGGCGGCACCACGGACGTGCTGGCGGAGGAGAGACATGGGCCGCCGCCACTGGCCACAGCGCTTGCCGACGCGTCCCGGAGCGCGTTGGGTGGCGCAGTCACTGCTCTTGCCTGGACTTCCATCATCTCACCCTCCAGTCTCTTTCTCTCTTAGCCACGTTCCCTGGGCTCTACTCCTCTGTTTCTTCCCTCTGGTCTGGGCTCTCCAGTGCTTTTGCTACGATGTCCGACTTCGACGATTGGTTCGACATGCCCAGTGGCGACGATTTCGAGGATGTAACAGGGCTATTTGTTACTGCAGGTCAAGGTACGTCTGTTATCGCTCGTCGAGTACATCGTCGTTCTCAAGGCCCCTCTTTGCGCGCAGAAATGGAACCTGAAGAGGTCATCCTCATGGACGGCATGACGCTCATGGATGCAATGAGTGCTTTCGAAGTGCGTAAAACGCCACCGTCCTAAGGCTCGCGCTGCCTGCTCACACACGGAAACCATAGATCGGAGAGCCTCGTTTAGACAGCGGGATGATCCTCGAGGAGCAGCGCCGCCCACCGTTCGACCCGCTCGCGCCCTTGTTACCGGAGGAGGTCTGCTGGATCCTGGACCGGACCTTCGCGTGCGAGGTGAATCCGGCCCTGCGTCGTATCTACCGCCCCTATTTCATGTCTTTCGTTTGTCGGTACAGATGGAATGGCATTCCGGGAAGACGCTCTCCCAGAGCGTGTTTACCATTCTCTTCGTCCACCATCTGCCGGACATCAACCCTGAGTACCTCATCCCCGAGGACGACGAAGATCCGGCGAGGCCGCGATGGCTTATTACCATCGTCCTCCGCGCGGGCGTTCTAGGTATGCTCAAGTGCTGCGACCTCGCGTGGCGCGAGCTGTCGAAGAACCGTGTGCAGGATGTCCGTACCCGCCGTGCGTCGCGTTGTGTGACCATGCTCAGACGCGTTTTCAGATCGAGGACTGGCAAGGGGAGAAGTGCGACGTGTCCTTGCTAGAGGGAATCAACACCAGCGTGGTTCTGCACATGCTGGACATCGCCTGCGACTGGGTGCGGCAGTCTAACCTGTCGCCGCAACAGGTTTCTGCGCTCTGCGATAGGCTGGCTCTGCGGAAGGCAAGCTCATCGCACTCTCACTTCACCACTCCTAACTTGATGTTGCATTCAGGCCCTCATGGAGCTCTACAAGCTCGAGCCCCTACGAGAAGTCGAAAACCTACCGTTGGCTTTGGCTGTAGCCCAAGGGCTCATCCACCGTGTACGGTCATTGCCACAAGAGCTGCCGCAGGGATCCTCTGCGCTACTGGTCATGGACCCCTACATTGCACGGCGACTACCAAATTTCATGCCAATACGCGTCACTGAGATGCCACCGCCAAATCAAAGCTGGGATGTCCTTCAAGACTTCGTCGAGTACTGGGTGACTATCGGGCAACTCGTGACGTCGCCGTCACTACTCAAATGGAAGGTTGGACCTTGTTGTTTCTCCGTCGAGATCGAGTGATGTCACGCTTCCCCAGGTCCGCGGAGATTCGTGGATTGCACTGAACAGGGAACCACCGGCCGCATTTCACCGTTCATCACTCCAGGCAAGTCTCCTTTGCAGTTTTTGACCATGCTCTCATTCCTCTACAGAGTCTCTTCTTCGACTCTGGATTCGTGCTGGGTTCCCATCGGACAACATGGCTACTTGAGCGGTATTTCTACGAAGCCCTCGGGACGCCGTACTCGACCATTTTGGCCGCGTTCGAGCGCAGCGCTCCCTATATGCAAAAGGCAACGATGCGAGATGTTATTGAGCGACGGATCGTCAAGGTGGGTTATCCGATCAAACTCTCGTTGCTCAAGGTTGACTCCGTTCCTCAGTTGATGGTCCCCCACATTCGATCGAGTTGGTACAACCCTCCGCGACGACGACGACACCTGATGAAGGAGGTCCTACAGTGGCATATGTTGTATGATGTGATGTTGAAAGACGTTGACCAACACCGACCACCTGTGAGTATTCTCACAATATGCCATGAGGCACAGTCTTCATCAGAGACAGGACGCCGACGCTGCCGCCATCCTCAAAGCCATCCCTCAAACGGCACTCATGCGGCGATTATCAGCATGTCGAGAGGTCATCTTGTCTGGCTTCCAACAAGAGCTATATGCGCCTGATGAGAAGCCGATCGCATACTGGCGCCTTGCAAACGTCCTTGAGGCACATCTGGACTGCATCGAAAGATTGCTTCTTATAGTCCCACCAGGTTCGTCATTCCCCCCTTGTTCGTTCTTCATCAGCTCATCAGACGACCAGGTACTATGGCCCACCACGAGCTTATATTCCAATCCCAGCATCTCGCGGCGCTGCAGATGATCTCGGTGACTCTCGTTCCTGTGAGCCTTCCGGCTGCCGATTTATGTTGACGATGTGGAGGCTAACTCCTCTGCTTCGTAGCTGACAGCTAACTGTATTACGTCGCCGTGGTCCCGAATTGCTCTGAACTTCATGCGAAGATACAAGTGGCTGTTCGCGCCGCAGTTCAACGACCTTGTGCCAGCGGAACCTGTAGCGGATCTCACGCGATTCCCGCAACAGCTGGACGAAGCCGTGCGGGACCTTCACTACTCCCCTTCCGAGACCTTCAAACTGGCCCAAAACATCCTCTCGCGTCTCAGCGAGTCGCCGCAAGAGTGGGTCGGACATTCAGCCAACGGCCGACGAGAAGTAAGGGTCTTTCATTTCCGTCTTCGTTTATATGTTCACCTTCTTTCTGCAGTATTTGCAAAAGCTGGCAGATGTCTGCGAGAACCTCACACAACATACTCCGAGGAGCCAGCTTGAGCTGCCCAATTTCAACCATAGGACGTTGAAGTGGATACCCGAGGTGCATCCTTGGTTTCCGACTGTTCCTCTCTCGTCGTGACCGACGACTGCGGCGCTGTCGACCGTAGTGGTGGATCTATGCGCGCCGCACCGCGACTACCTAGATTGTACAACGTAGATGGTAGGTTGTATGCTTGATTATCGTGCAGTTTCATCTAGAATCGGCCCGGACCGCATCTTCGCCGGACCGGCCCGTGGGTGCCAAAGTTGAGGCAAGGCTGGGCAAAGTTCAAACGACTTGTTCTGCATCCTCCACGACGTCAGCCTACGACTCACTTGTTGCGATGGCCAGCCATCCTCCAGTAGCACTCACGATTGCAGGTTCTGACCCCAGCGGAGGAGCTGGGATTCAAGTCAGTATCTGACCGCTGTCATCTCGCAGCGATTAATGTTGATGGTTTTTCGCAGGCTGATCTGAAGACGTTTACCGTCCATGGCTGTTACGGAATGGCTGTTATCACTGCGTTGACAGCTCAGAACACTCAAGGCGTTCAGGCCGTACACCCTTCCCCTCCCGAGTTCGTAGCTCAGCAGGTATAGCTAGTCTCAAACACTCTAGGCGCCTACGAATGACTCACATATGGCATTTCCCCATAGCTCCGCGCGGTGCTGGAAGACTCCAACGTTCACGCGCTCAAAACAGGCATGCTCTACGACGCCGCGACCACCCGCGCCGTGGCACAGACGCTGCGCGCACACTACTTCTTCTCCCCGGACCCGCTCCTCGAGCCCCCGCGCGCCGGCCGGCTCCAGCTCGTCATCGACCCCGTCGCGCTCTCAACCTCTGGCCACACCCTCCTCACGCCCGACGCGCTCGAGGTGCTCATCTCCGAGCTCCTTCCTCTCGCCGCGCTTGTCACCCCCAACGTTCCCGAGGCCGCGCTCCTGCTCGCCTGTGCACACCCGCACGACCCCCCACCCGTGATCGCGACACTCGAGGACATGGTCTCCGCCGCGCTGGCTCTGCGCGGCCTCGGCCCGTTCACCGCTTTGGTCAAGGGAGGACATGTCGCGCTCACATGGGCGGACGTGCGGCGCGTGCTCGGGGCGCGGCCCTCGGTCGAGGTCGTCCAGGACTCGTTCCTCGACGATAACATGGAGATCCTGCGCGCGAACGAGCCCGGGGGCACGCGGTGGGACCGTGGGTCGGGGCCGGTGGTTGTGGACGTCATGTGCGGGGGGACGTTGGAAATCATCACGTTGTTCGTGCGCCCGAAGATCGAGAGCACGAGCACGCATGGGACGGGGTGCACGCTGTCGGCGGCGATCGCCGCAAACATGGCGAATGGACTGACTGGTGAGGGTGATTGCCTTCAAGGAATGTGACGCTGATGTTCGCCGCAGTGTGGGAGGCGACGAGGAGGGCGACGGTGTTCACGCATCTCGGGATCGAGACTGCGTTCCCGGTCGGGCTCGGTAATGGACCAATCAACCACCTCCACAGCCTTTCGAAGAGGCTTGTTCCTCCGTAAGCTTTGTTCGAGTTGATCGTCGATGGGTGCTGAAACATCCCGATTCAGGAAGACGCTCAACAACCGCCACCCTCTGACACGGATCTTGATACGCTCTGCCAGCTCGACATGGAAGGAATACGTGGAGCACGAATTCGTGAAGCAGCTCGCGCGCGGCACGCTCAAAAAGGGGTGTTTCCTCCACTTCATCAAGTCCGTCGTTCCCGCCATGCTCTGCTCTTTCTCCTGCTGAACTCTTGCCAGACAGGACTATCTGTATTTGAAGTACTACGCGCGAGCATACGGGTACGCACTCTATCATCTCTGGCGGTTTTCTCTCACGCGTCCGCAGCTTGCTCATCGCGAAGTCCGCCACATACTCCTCCATCCAGTCCGCCACGCAGACGATCATCAACATCCTCACCGAGATCGCGACGCACACCACCTTCTGTGCCCAGTGGGGCATCACCGAAGCCGACCTCGCGTCGACGCCCGAGTCCCCGAGCACGACTGCGTACGGCGCGTACCTCCTCGACGTCGGCCTGCAGGGCGACGGCGCGAAGCTGGTCATGGCGCTCGCCGCGTGTCTGCTCGGCTACGGCGAGGTCGGGCTGTGGCTCAGAAAGGAGGCGGTGCGGCCGGCCAGTTGGGTCGTGCTCGAAGGGAACCCTTACCTGCGGTGGATCGAAGACTACTCGGGCGAGGCGTACCAAGGCGCGGTACGTCTCGGACTCGGTGCGTACCCGCTGCTCTGGGGAATCCGGGACGATCTGACGGCGGGGTTGCAGAGACGATCGAGACGTTGGCGGTGGAGAACCCGCCGAACGAGCTGCAGTTCCGGGAGTGGTGCGCGGTGTGGGAAAGGTGCACGCGGCTGGAGAAGGGGTTCTGGGACGCGTCGCTGAACTTGCTTTGATTGTCGTTGCGTTTCGGCGAGCGACTGACAGAATACACAAATATGTATACATCTCGACAATCGAAGCCACAATAAGACCTTGCCCTCCTCCTAGCCTCGAATGTCCAACAATCGTACTGCTGCAAGGGAGCTCCTACGCGCTCTGGATACCCCGAGCCCGGGACACCAAGCTGCCGAGATAGCGCCCTCACTTGAACCGAAGCCGTCCGGTCGCCTCCACAACCACCGGTCCGTCGACGCAGCCGCGCAGGTCCGCCGGCACCTCGCACGCGCCCCCATCGAGCTCCACCACGCCGTCCGACGCCCTCTCCGCCGCCCACTCGAGGGTGACCTGCAGGGACTGGAGCCGCGCGGCGCCCAGTCTGGTCCGGCACGCGAGGATGTACGCGAGCGGCTTGAAGTACCCGTCGCGGACGTGCGCCGCGGCCGCGTCGAGCTGCCCGTCGACGAGCGGCACGCGCAGGCGACACGCCTGGTCGACGAGGATCGTGAGCTTGAGATGCGCCAGGCGCGGGCAGACGATCCGCGGCTCCTCCCCCGGCGCACGACAGGACTCGTCCATGAGACCCCCACCGTGGTCAGTAAACAACGTGAAGACGCCCACGATGGGGCCGTACAGCTCGAGCGCGCGGAGCTCGGGGAACGCGCGGAGGATGGTCGCGAAGTGCCAGCGCTGTTCGCCGACGGCGGCCTGGAACATGCTGCTGAGGCGGAGGCTAGTGATCGGCGCTTGTTGGAACGCGATGAGGAACGTTGGCCGATCGAGGGCGAGGCGGGAGATAAGGCGAAAAACAGGTTCATCATAGGCTAACACGAGTAGCGAGGTGAGACCTCTGTCTCCGCCTACGTCCTCGGCGACGAGAGAGGTGATGCGAGAGAAGGCGTGTTTCGCCCAGGCGGGATTTCCGTCCAGGAGATGTAGAACAGTCGGATGGAAATAATCCAGGACGTCGACGAAGGCGGAGGTGGGGAAAGAGAGTATGGACATGGTGGCTTGTATGCTGACTTCGCCTAGAAATTGAAGTCTGAGAGTGCTGAGCAGTGGGAAATGAATGGGGCGCCGGGAGCGCTGGGTGACCGTTTCGTCGGGAGGAAGGTCGACCAAGAGCCCGTGTTCTGGTAGGCAGATGAGACTGAGATCGACAATGTGCGGACAATTGCGCAGCGCGATGCGGATGTGGTCCATTGTGTACATCACAAGGAAGGGACCCAAGAGCTCAAGGATGCGGAGAGTACCGGTGGCCAAGAGTGGAAAATACCACAGCGGAGCGACAAGCTTATGGAGCCGGGGCATTCGAGTGCGAGAGTGTTGTGGAGGAAATGGAGAATCCTTGCATATCTCAGGTGCTCTTCTGTTGCATCTTTGAGGTGTTCCTTTGCCCGGACGGTGATAAACGCGCGTAGTTCATCGTGCACGGAGAGAGCTCTGATACCATCCGCGTCTTCGAGTGGGAGTTCGTTGACTAGACACCAGGCCTCGAGCGGCAGGACCGAGACCATTGCGAAGGGATCCACTATATACGATGGCGTGAGTCTTAGAGGAGCAGTAGGGATGGGCATCGTCGACCTATTGGTATGCTTGGTAGTGGTGGTAGTGGTGGAAGAAAGCAAGGTGTGCGCGACAATTACGGTCGACTCCAATGTAAGAGGCTATGTACCTCGATCGACGTCCCGAGTCAGTACAGTCCATGCCTCGGCAGCCGGGGGTTGCATACCATAGGTTACCCACAACGCTGACCGCATCTTGACATGCCTGTAGACTGTACAGCATGCTGCAGCGGTATCGTGGTATGTAAGTGTGGATGGTTAACTCATGCATATAGTCTATGGACGGTCGCAGTGGGAGGCGTTGAAGGTGCGGGCGTCAACACAGGTCAGCACGCGCATTGGGTCGGTCTCGGGCGTCCTCCGGTCACTTGGTTTCATCCGCCCAGCTCTCAGCTCTCATCTTCATCCCCCGCACTCTCTGTCCTATCTCCAGAAAAAGTTCCGTCCCGTCTCTCTGAGCATCTGGTCCAGCATGCCATCTCGCGCGCTCACCCATCGAAGACGGGGCAATCCGCACATGGAGTTCACGTCTCTTCGAGACGACCTTTAGAGGGGCCATGGATCCTGGAGTGTCCCATGCAGCATGAATCTAGGAGGCTGGTTAGCGCAGCGCTGCTAAGGGTACGTTTGAGCGTCGCATTCCCCGTTCTCTTGCGTTCCCCAACATCCGAATCAAATATCCCCTCGCATATACGCTCGCCCCCCGTGCGGTTCTGGAAAGGCCCCGACCCGTCGTTTGAGCTGTGTTTCTGCTTTTCCGACACGCTCTTACACTCTTTTTGTAGCCAATTCCGCGTCAAACCTGGACAGCCGAGCCTGAGCAATCCGTGAGTGCACAAGTCGCATCTGCGCACCTCCTTTCTGAGCCTTTGATCACGCGTAGATGCATTCTCGCGCAGTAGCTTTCGACATTGCGTAATCCCGCGACCCCGCGGTGGCAGTCGACGCCCAACTGGTGGCGGCTGCGCTTCCGCACCGCGTGTAGCCGCCGCGGCAAGTTCATGGCTCCAGAACATTGTCTATCGACCGATCAAACCCTCCGGTAGGAGGCGGAGCGGATGGATTGGGCGGAAACGGGTGGCGGCAGTGCGGAGCGGAGCGGAAAGCGGGTCTCGAGCCAAGGTAGTCGCCTGCGGCCAAATTCGCAACCGCCCGGGTCACTATTTAAGATCCTACCCAAGCCACCACAGTCACCATCGGTTAATTCTTTCATCCTCCTCTCACCGGACTCTCCATTACCAACGCAACCCGTCGCCGTTCGCGCCAATCGCGCCCTCACTCCCCAGCCGTCCACCACCCTTTACGGCTCCATCCAGGTAGATCTGTTGGCCACCGTCCAGTTCAAAACCCAGCATCAAAATGCAGTCGCTTCACATCAACCATTTCCTCAGTCTCCAGCGCCCTGATGTCTTCGCTCCCGCCGCCGCCGGCATCCCCGATGTGTCGACCCTCGCGGCCCATGACTTCGATGTAGACACTCGCACTGGGTTCATGCCGCCCCAACCCCCGATCGCCCGCCTACCCGCCGCATGGGAGCTCTGGGAGGCCACGCTCGACGATGCCATCAACAGCAAGCTCGAGCTCGTTGATAAGCCTGGTATTTCGCAAGATGACGAAGAGCGTTCGGCGCATTGGCGGAGCTCGGTCCGAAAGGTGCGGAGATCCCTTCACGGTACTTTTGGGGGCAAATCTGATGCGTCATGCATCGCTTGCAGCTGCCCATCCTTTGTACTGAGGAAGTCAAGGCATCCGAGATCCTTCTCCGTCGCGGGCACTGCGTGCTGGCCTGGATCATGCACTTCTACGTGCACACGACGCCGGTCTCGGAGATGAGCATCCACATCCCAGCCCCCGTCACGGTGCCGCTCCTTCAGATCTGCGCACAGCTCCAGTTGCCGCCTGTTCTCACCTACTCGGACGACGTTCTCTACAACTGGGCGTTCAAGACCCCGCCCGCAGCCAACACCCACTTCGAGCCCAAGAATGAGCTATACAACCTCCGATGCAACACGCTTTTCACCGGCTCGACCGACGAGGAGGAGTTCTATCTCTCGTCTGCGCGCATCGAGCTCCGCGGCGTGGAAGCGCTCTCGCTCATGCGCGCGATCATGGACGAGGCCTTCGTCAACGACGCGATCGCCCACCGCCGCATCACGTCGTACCTCACCGAGCTCGCGGGCGTCGTCCGCCACTGCCGCCAGTTGCTCGGCGCGGTCCGCGAGGGGTGCGATCCCAGCACGTTCTACCACGAGATCCGCCCCTGGTTCCGCGGCTGCGACTCGGACACGCGCGGCCGCCGGTGGGTCTTCGACGGCCTCGAGCTCGACCCGAGCCTCGAGGTGCCCACTGAGCTCTCGGGCCCCAGCGCGGGCCAGAGCTCGATGATCCACGCGCTCGACATCTTCCTGGGCGTCGATCGCTACTCGCACTCGAACTTCAAGGCCGCCACCGCCGCGCCAGCGACCCCGCCTGCATTCCCGCCCCCGCTCCAAGCGTCCTCCAGCTCGTCGTCGTCGTCGTCGTCGTCCTCATCCTCCTCGTCCGCCCCGGCGACCCCGCTCGCATTCCCGCCCCCGCTCAGGGCGTCCTCCGGGTCCTCTTCCTCTTCTGCCTCGTCAGCCCCTGCGAGTCCCGTTCCCGCCTCCGCACACCTCACGCCCGGGTCCGAGTCCTTGTACGACTCCGACTCCGAACCCGACTCCTCGCCCACTGTGGCGACGAAGACGCCGGTTGCAATCCTCGTGCCCCTCCCCCTGCCCACCCCAGCGCACGCCGCGACCCCCTTCCTCACACGGATGCAGAAGTACATGCCGCGCCACCACCGCGCGTTCCTCCGGCACCTGCACACGAGCCCGCGCCCGCTCCGGCAGCTCGTCGAGGCCGCGAACGACGACCGGCTGCGCGCCGCATACGACGAGGCGGTGACCGCGCTCAAGGAGTTCCGCGACGAGCACGTCCGGATCGTCGCGCTCTACATCATCGTGCCCGCGCGCCAGGGCCAGGGCGCGGCGGTGAGCACCGGGGCGGGCGTGCCGAAGGGCACTGGCGGCACGGACGCGTACCAGTTCGTCAAGGGCGTGCGCGACCAGACTGCGGGTGCGATCATGGGCCCTCGAAGGGTGTGAGATGGAGTTCGGCCAGGGCGGAAAGTTGGGAGTTTAGATTATGGCGGTATACTTATATGGGTTGCTTCGTTCGCCGTGTTGGAGGAGCTCGTGTTGTAGTGCCTCACGCAATGCAACTATCGACGCTTTGCTGTGTATGTCGAGTGAGACTCACATCGCCTACTGGCTGTGGTATGTATGGCCGGCTAAAATGAGTTGCCCCTTAATGAACTAGTTCCACCCGTCTGACGAAAGACCGCTCGACTCGCTGAATTCGCCGGTTCCTCGAGGTACGGACTCGGGGTTGGGAAACACGCGGGGTGACAGCGGCAGGGAAGGCACGGCTCGGGAAGATCCGGAGGACAGCAGGACTGGGCGCCCGCGGATTGTCCCTTCCCTGCTCTCGTCCAAGCTGCTCCCCGCCTGCCACACCCACACCGCCTGCGAGCGACTTCTTGCCCCCACGCCCATATGCTCCCCTACCCACACACGTCGCAAGTTGCCAGCATGAGCCGCCCCCCGCCGCTCACCTGCTTCCGTGGATCGCGGTCGACGGAGCACAGCGCGCACAGCCGACGGAAGACACGGACATAGAACAGAACCTTGCTGATACATTGAGCCCTTCGGAGGTCGCTAGGCCTTTTATACGGCCACCCCTCGCTCTGAAGACGAATGCTGCCGGCCCCGACTAGCTAGTGCTCGCGTTGCAGCCTCCCATGGCTACACTCCGCGACGCTTCCATGCTCTCCACCGACACGGTGCCTCCCGGGCCCCAGATCGCCGTCCAGAGCTCCATTGCTGCCGGCCTCGTTGGCACGACCGTCGGCTCCCTGTGCGTATCCGCCTTCCGACCTGCCAGTCCTGCTCGTGACGTGACTGACGTCCCCGGCCCAGCTTCTACGGGGTCATGCTCCTCCAGGCCCTCATGTACTTCTACAAATACAAGAACGACCAACCCATCCTGAAGCTCATGGTGCGCTTCGTGACAACCCGGCCTTGGCGCGACTTCTCACCTCTTCCTTCTAGGTGCTGGTCATCGTGTACGTACTCGAGACATCGTCTGCTTTGTACGATCGATGTTCAACTCCACCCTGGCGCCCATCCAGCTTAGCGGAGACTGCACATGTGGGCATCTCCATGCACGTCGAGTAAGATCGTTGCGTCTGGTGGGATCTCTGCCCCGCTAAAGGCCTCCCACCCAGATACCACTACCTCATCAGTCACCACGCTGACCCCGACGCGGACAACTTCGCTACTGTGTGAGCCTCTCCCCGGTCTAGAACGAGAGTAGCGTGCTGAAAGCGCGACATTTGCAGATCGATAATCGTACGTACACACCGTCGTCCATAAGAAGGGAACGACGCTGACATTCCTGCTGGCGCCAGCTGCTTGCCCCTGTCTCGGTCAGCCACCTACACAGGTTTCCGCCGAGATTTCCACTGATCCCCCAAACAGGCCTTAGTGATCCTCATTTCGGACATGTTCGTGGCATTTCCGATTAACTTTCGAGAGTGCGCTAACCACCGTCCGCTAGCTTTTATGCTCGGCGTGTGTGGTTATGTGGGTATAGGAACTGGGTCGACCTGTGGGTACCGACTGACGTCGTCTTCAGTCAATCCTCCGTACCGGATTGTGTTCTTCGCTGCATGGGTAAGATTCACAAACGTAGCGTGCCGGCATCGCACTGACCCTGTTGGTGTAGGCCTCATTTGTGGGCGCGGGAACAGGTAGGCATTGTATCAACATCCGCAAGCATTGCTCCTGACGACTCCGTTACTGCGCGTCCAGGATTTGTGCTTGGTGAGTAATGTGGCATCAGATGACGATGATGTGAACTCACCTGTAATGTAGCCGCGTTTTTCAAGCTGTGCGTGCCGTTCCGTTGAGATTCGGACCGACGCTTACCCACACTGCGCAGATTGATGAACAGGACATACCAGCACTGGGTCGCAGTCAAGGTAGTTCTTCATAGCTCGCTTCGTTCGCTGTCGCTCATGCGTCTTCGACAGTGGCTGACCACTGTGGCGTTTGCATGCGCTGCGGTCAGCGATGTGTTGGTCGCCATTTCTCTCGTGTATCATCTCTACAGACAGAAGACGGGGTTCGGGCGGTATGTCGGCGAACAGCACTTCGAGCAGATGCGTTTCTCATCGTTCTTGCAGCACCGATAGGCTCGTAGACACACTGACGACATACGCCATCAACACAGGTACGTAGGCGAGCAACTCGTACTGTCCTGTCAGCTGAATGAACGCTATCATAGGGCTTGTAACGAGGTACGACCGAATGCTTTGCGCGCATGGCTACGAGCTAAAGGGCTGCTCCAGCTTATCCAGCCTCTTCTGCGTCATTCTGGTGAGCTGCGCCTCATCTTGGCGGTCCTGTACGTGATATTGATCGACCGCACAGTCCGTGCTCGAAGGGCCACATCACCTGTACCTCGTCGCGCTCAGCGTGGTCACCACAAAATGTGAGCGCGTCTCGCTCGACGCACTCCCCTGGCGGCGGTTCTCACTGTATCTCTCCCTCCCAGTCTACGCCATCTCGGTGCTCGTAACGTGCGCTTTGCCACTTCGTCACCCCCACCTCTGAGTGCTGACGCCCCCTCCCACCTGCGCAGACTGAACTCGCGCGAGTATTTGTCGGCCAGGCTGCACGGCCGCGCAGAGGCCGCCGACGCGACGGAGACCGTCGTCTTCACGACCGTCCCCTCCTTCTTCCTCACCCAGTTCCGCTCCTCCTTCTGGACCCGAACCGCGACCCGCCCCCGTACAGATATAGGTGCGCCTGCTGCTGCCGTGCGCGCTGCGTCTGTCGTCCGCTGACCGCGCTTCTCCTCCACAGACACCGAGCTCGGGGTGTGACGCGCCTAAGCCTAAGCCGGTGGCTAGGCCCGGACTCCGAGCGGCGCACGGATTGTAGCACTACGCGGACTCTTGCACTGTAAAACACCATCCACATTATACTATCGCTCCCGCCAGCGCGCGCGGCCGCGACACTCGTCACTGGTGAGACATCGTTCTCGAACACGCCGAAAGATTCGTATGTGATATACATACATGGGCGATGGAGGATACGGGCCCGCGGCACCTGGCTCCGCAGCCCGGGAAACGCGAGAGGCGCGAAGGGACAGGAAGAGGAGATGATGCCGGTGCCGGCTGCGCGGGGGGATGTCGCGGGGCTCGCGGAGGTCTTTCAGCCACGGTTCCCCCTCATTGGGGGTGGATCGAACGCACGTCCCGAACGCACCGCTGCACACTGGGGCTCGATTCGAAGTTGGTGGATCCCCCGCCGACGTGTTCGGTGGGGTCGTTTGCGAGATGCAGGTCGGCCCTTTTGTTCATTGCGGTGGTCGATGCATGTCTGACGTTGTTTTTCTCTTTGCCTATCGCGCGGCGACCTCACATACGACCGTAGCTACAAGCACGGCCCGGCGACGTCATGAGCTTGTCGTGCCTGCTGCGACGATCCGACGAAGGGCATGAAGCCGTGGTGCATCATCAAGACGGAGGAAGAGACGAACGAGACGAGCCTAGTAGTGGCGCGTAACGTGAGGGCGCGCACGAAGGAGTCGGACAGATAGCGTGCCGTGAGGTAGAGAGCCTCGGGAGAGGACCTTTCTGGAACGAACGCTGCAAACCTGCTGCGCGACTCCTCGAGAGCTGCGTCGCCGGGGGCTTTGAACTTGGTGAGTTCGCCCGGAGCTGCGATCGCCGGCGCGATGCGACGGCCAAGCCGCGTCTATCTTTCCAACAGTTGGGGAACACCTCGGAGAGGATTTCCGTGGGGAAAGCGCGGTGAACGGGCGCCACGGCGTCGTAGACTCCAGACTCCAACGGAGCCGTGATTCGGATGGAATCCTGTACATACTCCTCCACGCGCGCTGCGGAAATCCATATGCGCATTGCTTTGTCAACCCGGACAACGCGTCACGATCCGACTCTGCGACTGGGATCAAGTCTGTGCCATACAACCACTACACTGGTACGAGCGGCACGTCGCTAGCGGTGCCAGTTGATGTGTATCACGGGTCTCACACGTCCGTGACTGTCACCATTGTGACATCTAGCGTAACCAGATCCCCTGTCCGAATCATCGGCCCGCTGGTGCTTCTGTCACTATCATGATCAAGGTGTGACGGGTGATAGGCTGGTGAGTCGGAGGGCAAAACTATCAGTGCTGTACCTGCTTGTTCTTATACTACCACTTCAACCTTGCCCACCCCTTCCCCCCTCAACCCCACATCCAATATGCCCAAAGCAGTACGCAATTTTGACACTGTCACACTTCTGGATGCACTAACATCCAGGCCTCGTCCGCCACCCGAAAGACAAAGCAGGGGAAGGAGAAAACAGTGTCTTCTCTGACACCAATGGAGAAGTTTGAGAAGACTGGACATGCCAGCAAACAGGTGAAGGAAACATTCCGGGAGCAGGTCGCCATGGCTGCCCTTTCCAATGCCCAATCCGACTTTGAGGCAACTGGTCTCAAGGTTCTCACCAACAAGGATCACGGCGACAAGTCACAGGTCGACAAGGCATTCCTCGGCATGTGCATGATCTCCGTCGCTGGTCCCAATGCGGTCGCCTTCGCCCACAATGTTGGTGTAAACCGAACTACAAACCAACATCATGTGCGTAGTATCGCCAACAATATGCATGCCTCATCTCGTCGGTCTGTCAAGCACCCCATCCGTATTGCTGTCCATCGGGAGTCTATCAACCCCACCTTAGTCTCCAAGACATGGCCCAACGGCAAGAGCGACAACCCACCCACTCTCAAGATCCTTCAAGGTGGCAAGGTGGAGCTCCTCGACGGCAACCATCGTGTTGAGGCCGCCAAGCTTCACTCCCAGATGATGGTCGAGCTCATCACCTTGAAGAAGCTGGAGCTCAGGAGCTCCGAAGTCAAGCACATCACAGGACCAGAGGACCTCAAAGCTCTGGAGCACGAGGTGGAGGTGTTGACCAATGCCCTTGCCGGCACGTACTGGTGGGTGGCGGAGGTGTACGATCTGGGTAAGTGCAGCCATGAATTGTTTGTGCTCAGATTGGTCCTAGTGGCATGCCGCTGCCAGTCCCAGTCCTTCTCTCTCTCAGAGTCTTGGTTGCTCACTCCATTTAAATGTCTGTTCAGACGCGCCAAAGGACATTCTCCTGAAGCTGTCCGAGAATGCCACCGGTCCCGTCCTGCCCCAGACCCCTTCTGAACAACTCTGGGCTGCTGCACGCCAAGTTGCTAACCACATCAATAACCCTGCGAATGGCATCAGCGAGGAGGACCGACGCACTCTCCCACCCAAGGTGCTGCAGGAAGCTCTCGGCAATGTCACTGTCAAGAACAACCGCAAGAACCTCCTGATGAGCAAGCCGGCAACCTGGGCAGTTGTTCAACTCGCTGTCGAGTTTTCCTACTTTCACAAGGAGGACGTCATGCCGACCACAAAGTGGATCGAAGAGAACTCAAAGGGCGGCCACTTCGGTCACGGCATTGGCTTTGTGAGTTCTAGACCCATATGGGCTCTCCTGATTCACGCTCACAAAGCCATCAGCTTCGGATGCAAATGCTGCACGATGGGTTCAGAAAGCTGGCGCTCATCGCCTCCTACGACAAATGGACTGCACCGGGTGTCACAGCCACCACCAAGGCCTACAACAAGGCCGTCACGGAGCAATGGGCACAAGTCAAAGAAAGGCTTGCCAAAGACAAGGATGTCGACTTGCTGGTGCTGGAGCCTTTCAAGAAGGACGACAAGAAGGACAAGTCCTGGACCTCTGCTACCACCGCATACGAGCAGCTCGTGGAGAGGTTCACCAAGAACGGGGTTTGCCACGAGGTGTGGCCGCCTGAGCTACTCGAGAAGCTCGACGGTGTCTTCGTCAAACACCTCCAGCACTGCACGCACGAGTTTGGGCAGCTTGAGTCTGTGGAGTGGTCTCGTGGTCTCAGCAAGTATTGGCCCGACGTGCTCGTGATGTGCAAGTCGTACTGGGAGGCCCTCATCGAGCAAGCTGACACTGACAAGCTCTCCGACAATGCCAAGGGTGCACTTTCTTATGCCTATGACAAGTTGGTGTGGGTGTCGACCCTGTCGCAAAATGGGTCAACCTTTGTGCTGCCTTTGCTCAGCAAGTCAGCACTCTCAGCGATGAACACGATGCTGCTCAATATCCAGAGCGGTGTGAACTGGGTGAGTCCCTTTCCCGCGCTGGACTGGTTCTAGCGGCATGCCGCTGGGACCAGTCGCGCAGCCACAGCTAACATGCTTTCCTAGCTCACCCTTATGATGGATCCTGTTGCTCCCTTGTCCTCTCGTCTCGATGGCACCCCCGACGTTTGGGACCTCTCGTCGGTTCTCAACAAGGACCTGCAGGCGGCCTCCTTCCTTCCATCCTCTCGTCTGTTCTTGATCCATGTGGGTGATATGGTTCACGTTCACTCTCTCATCAGATTGTTTACTTCACCCCCCTCATAGTTCTGGAACTCTGTCCTGTCCGAGTCTAGGTCCCTCAAGTTTATCGGCAAGAAGTTCGAGCAGCATCTCACTCCAGTCCATTACAACATCCTGTCCTCCCACCTCAAGGCCCTCATGCAACATTGGGACCACATTGTAGGTCCCCTCAATGTTGGCGAGCAGCTCAGCAAGTCCAACGATGCCAAGGTCGCTGCCCCCCACGCTGAGGAAGACCACGAGCACGTCAATTTGGGCTCTTCAAGCAAAGGGAAGGGCAAGGGCAAACACGTCTCGGTCAAGCCCAATTGCAAACTGGCACACGTCAAGTTGCCTGACAACCATGACTGGGCCAACATCCTGTACACCGGATATCATGCTGTCTGTCGCTCCATCTCCGACGTCAATGGCAGGAGCTGCCACTCCCAAATGGAGTCCCTGGGTCCTCACGCGCGGCTCGAGCAGGGCGTGTACTTCCATCCGAAAACCTTGGAAGACCTGCCCATCCTCCGACGCCTTGAGATGTGCTCCTGGTCCTATCACGTTCTCACCGGATCGAGTCGCAACATGAAGCAACGCGCCGGAGCGCTGGTCATGTTCATCGCACTCTTCGATGTGGTGTTCCAGGAGGCTGTCGCGCCTGTGCTGGTGGAACACCTCGCAGTCATCTCACTGAAACGGATCGTCAACTTCCTCCGTGTCCACACAACGCCACGCCCTTTCGTCGCTCCTCCTGGTCTCAAAGAGCTCCCGAATGCCAATGGCGACGTTGTGTACTACATCCCTTGGTTCTGGCCCACGCTGTCACAGGCCACTCGTGCGGCGCGTGTCCGCCTGGAGCCAACCATAGAGTCTCAAAATGAAGGCCCGGACCTCTGCAAGTTCTTGACCCAGCACCTCAAGCACATGCACAAGACCCTCATGAAGTCCCCGCTCCTGGCCTCTGAGCTCGAGGTGAACCCCAAGGACAGCAAGTACCGCACTAAGGACGGCTTCCTGGACCATGTCGTCATCCAGAAGTTCAAGGAGCTCATGATGGTGAGTATCCAGCTCTTCCAAACTATGGGTCCATTCTCACAGTCATGACACCCTCAGGCCATGGTGGTCAACGCTTCTCGCATCGCCGCGCGTGCAGAGGGGATTGAGGGTGATTGGGTTTACCCGTTCAAGCGAAACGACTCGTTGCACCCCCTGCCCGACCTCCATGTCGACGAGAACATGCTTGTGACCGACAGGGACGCGTTCGAAAGCCTCCAGCAGTACAGGGAGACCGCTCCAGACCGCCATGTGGACTACTACAAGAGGCTTATCGCCATGGGCATTCCAAACCCGAGGTCTGCCCCCCAGATTGTGTCGTCCTCCCTCAGGACCTCGAGCCTCTCGAGCAGATCTTCAACGAGATCAACAACGCTATCATGCGGCCCAAGAATTCTGTGACTCCCTACGATGTCATGCGTCTCATCGGACCCGTTCAGATTCGGACCGGGGATGCGTTGGAACTCGCTGAGAAGATCCAGGAAGACTCCATGGATGTCAACACCCTTGACGACAAGAGGCGTGGTCAGTGGACGATCAATAATCTGGACCATGACCAAAATTCATCCGACGATTCCAACTATGAGTATCCATATGCCCTCACCTTTTCAGGCGAGCGTTTGCCTGACCAGGATCCGGAGCTCCCCTCTTCCCCCTCATCCTGCTCCCGTAACTCCCAATCATTAGAGTCTGGTGGAGAAGACACCAACTGGGATGCCACTCCTATCAGTAACAACTTGGGGTCAGTAGAGAAGGTGCAGGAGAAGCAATACTCGAAGGCAGAGCGCAAGCGACCTCGATGCAAGTTGTTTTAACCAGCTTTTATGTGCTGTGCTTACTGACTCTGAACAGCGCACACTGGGGACAATGAACCCTCCACACGCAAGCGTTCAAAGCTTGATCATGCAAACAATGATGACAACTCCTCCTCCTCCTCCTCCTCTAGCTCAGATGCCATGGAGGAGTAGACACAACACTGAGCTGCATCAATGTCATCTTCCTTGCACCCCTCGTCCTTCCTCACCTCTCTTCTCTTGCAGTTCCGTCATCCTGTAGTATGTACAATATTCGGTCCCGTTGCTCCCCTGTGCCGTAGTCACTCCCACCTCAGCTTGCTGCTCCCCTCCCGCCCCCGCTTCCCCCAGGAATTTTCACACACATCCACAACATCAGGCGAACCCGATGGCGACCGTGCATGTCTGAGAGCACTGTGGTCGTCTGGAAGACCAAAACCGACGTGTTAGCAGAGGTTTCGCCCGGCCACGGCGACAGCGGAAAGACGATGGAGAGCGCGGGCGGGCGTCGTGGGCACGCGTCCGGATCGTCGCCGTCGGGCGTAGGGCTGGCTGGAGCGCGCGCAGGACGCGGCGGACGCAGGGCCCGGCGACGTCGGGGGACGCACCGTGGTGAGACGCGAACGGGATGGGTTGGCGGTGGGAGGGCGCGGCGGCCCGGGTGATGTCGAGGACGGGTGGGCGATGTGTGGCGCGTGGACGATGTCCGTGCGATCGTTCGGAGTGCTGGTTTGCCAGGCGGAGAACTTCAGCAGGAGCTTGTCCTATGGGCGCCGTGACTCGGAGAGTCGGACACCATCTTCGTCACCGGTGGCGCGCGAGCGATGTATGCCGTCCGGATCCGTGCTGGAACTGGTGAATGAGAGAGAGCGCTGCAGGGAATGTTCCGACGTTGACGACCGGCGCTTCCAAGCGAGCTCCGGGAGAATACAGGGACATGGTCCCCGCAGATGAGGAGACCGTCCTCTGCGAAGCGTACGCTCATTATCCACAAATCAGGTGGATGAACTCTGGGGTGACGCCGATGCTGCGCGAATCCGTCCAGCAATACACGAAGATCTGGGAGGGGAAGACGCTGTTGATGAACTTGTTGGGACAGGAGCAACCGCCTGCTTCTTGACGAAAGCGACTATCCACGCTTCTCTGGCGGGTCGCGACGGCTGATGAGATTCAAGACGGACAATCGCAGGTGCATGGTGCTTACTGAGATATCGTATTCACCATTCTTCTCGATAGAGATCAACAAGCGACGATGCCTAGTTGAGTAGGCCGAATCTACGTGAGGAACCTCGTCTTCTACAGTCAGAGGCAAATTCGTCAGGATCTCCGGATATATAAATAGGTGGGAGCATACCTGCAGTACTTCGCAGATTCTATTGCACAATCAAACCGGTCCACCGAGGAGCGACAGCCGGAGAGGAAAGTGGCCTAAAGGAGCATCCCGCGTACCAAGGTCGAGGGAGGGCGACACGTTGGCATCCAGCGTTATGTCCAATGTCCAAATCTATCTCATTCGACGTAAAATCATAAAGGCGTCACCAGCCGCGCATACCACAGCTCGAGCTGCTCGTGGTCGTTAGATTACGGTAGTTCCCAAACTCCCACTTGAAGCAGTCCTTGGAGGTGCAGTCAGCCTCACGCACAACGGACGACTTGAAATCTGCTCACCGTGCAGTCATCCTCGTTGGTGATGGGCGGAACCTTCTCCCCGTTCTCGCCCCACACCAAATCCTCCTTCGCCAGAACGCCTTCGATGAGTGCGACAATCCCATGATGAATGACGTTCACGCTCCATCCGAGCTTCGTGACGGTGTCGTAAAGGACAGTCTGGCCTAAGTGGCAGCGCGTCTCGAGCGCAACGCCTGCGGTGTAGCATGTCGAGGCGCTACCGGTGCAAGTGCCCATCGGGATGGGATCGCCCGTGTTGTATACGTGGGTGACATGTCGCGTGGACGGCTGCAACGACCGTCAGACCGGACGAAACACGCGCAACAACAGAGAGACGGGCTTACGGGAGAAGGGAGATGAAGACGGGTCGCTGCCAGCTTCTCAGCCGGAGCCTCAAATGCCACTACGGGTACGCCGAAGGTGATGCCAACGAGAGATGCGAGTCCACCGCCGAGAGAATGCCCTAACCAACGCATATAAGAGCCGGGGAAGCACGGAGATAGGGAAAGACGTACCGATTAACCAAATGTTAGCGTTTGGATACATATACGTGATGTTATTGTACAGATTCTGCGGTTTTCTCAGTCATCGGTAGCATACGCAGAGAAGGAACAAAAGTACTCACAATACCGATTGAGTAAAAGAGACTATCCTCGGCCAAGCTCTGCTCTAAGCATCCTTGGTCGCACTTGTTCCCCTGCTGGCTCTTCTCGTAGCAATCGCAAACGGTGCTCCAGGTCCAGTCGATGCGTGCACAGCAGCACGAAAACAATAGGTTGTCGTTCAGCTTGTCCTTGGCCTGCGTTGGGCCTCCGCCGCCGATGGGCCATACGATGGACGTGCCCTTGACGGAGACGACGACGGTGGAATTGTCCGCGGTCGCGAAGACGTGTCCACGGAAACCATCGTCCTCGGGCTGCCAGCCGAAGGGATAGCTCTATGAGGGGGAGCGATCGTGAACTTCACCACCCACGTCGCGAAGGAGGGGTGCGCAAGAAAGGGGAGCCACTCACGCTGTTCCAGTCAGACCCGAGGTCGTACCAGTCCTTCTTGTCCGGCTCTGTGTACGCGTTGTTCGCCATCCTTGCGAGCAAAAGCAGCGACTCCCGGTCCTGTACGTCTGGCCCATCTACCTCGGTACCCTCCCACAAAACGTCCGCCCCGCGAAACCGCGCACTGTTGAAGCTCTTCATGTCAAGCGCAGGCTTGTGCACCGCCGTCCGTCGAGTGCCGACAGAGAACGTGTCCGGTGCAAATCCTACTTGAGGTTGGATATCCGCGAAGACGACCTGGAGCTATTAGAGAGACCATGAGCATGACGCAGCTGGAATTGCAGCGTTGGAGGTCGTGATGGTGCTGCCGAAGACCAGAGTAAAGAAGTAAGAAGAGCTTGGAGTGTCGCCGGAAGCACGTTATAAAGCATGAATATGAGGATTGAGAGAGAAGGGAGAGGGAGAGAGCAGACGAAGCACAAGTCGGAGACAACGCCTTGTGCAACGAGTCACGGCTGCGGCGTGCCACCGGGCCTCAGTCGCCGGTTTGGTGATGTCACGCTCACGGAGGGACGAGCGCCCATTGCCTCCGCGGCCGCAGCGGCTCAATCAGTGTGCATCTTGCATGTCTTGCAGTCTCGTCTATCGAGCACGACGTGTCAAGGAATCGGTGCAGCAAGGTCACTACACGACTACTGGCTTCCGACCTACTTTATACGCGGCCAATTTCGCACATACACCCACATACACCTGTTACGATAGAATGGCAAGATCTACTTCATACGCCACGATCTTGAGCGATCGGTGAACGGAACGTCTTGGTGGCCTATGCAACCGTCCATTCCCAGATGCGACGTTCAAATGAGGCGCATGCGTACCTCGAGTTCACAGTTCGTCGCCTCCCCTCTTGGCCCTCAGTTTCGGCAGGCCCTGGACGTCCACCCTCAGCACTCCAGGCAGACTGTTCAATGCATCTAATACGCCCGTCTCAACCTGCGGCCAGCTCTGCCGAGGACCCCGAGCAGCTGGACGTCCTGGAGTTCTCCAACCCGCCCTAGACGGGTGATGAGCGGGTGTACGAGGAGCGCGTCTGGGTGGCTCAAGAGCGCGGAGGCGGGCGAGAGGGTGACTGAAATGAAGATGTTGTCTTCGTGCTGTGCGAGCGGGGTGGCCATGGCTGATCGTGCTGGTGGCCGTGTGGTCGCGCGCGAGGGGGGTTGAAGGTGATGATGGTAAGAGCTAAGGACAGGGTCCGAGCAGCAATCCAAATGCGTCCTCTTCCTCATACTCCCACCATCCACCACGCGCGATGACCCCGATGACGGACACGCCTGCTCGTCGGAGCACGCGCCGGGCCACCCTTTGCACCTTGTTTCGCGCGCCGACTGAGCAGCCCACCTAGTCCGAGCAATCCGAGTACAGCTACCAGGCCGCCCACCTTGCCTTGATACCATCACCTCCTCCAGTCCACACAAACGCAATACCCAACATGGCCACCGACGATCTCCCCGTCCCGCAACAACTGCAACCGTCCCACTCAACTCCCAGGTTGGCGGCCACCCGGGAGTACTCACAAGCGAGGATGGCTCGCTGCTCATCAAGCCCGCGCTCGCGGCCGAAGTCGCCTTCTACCAGTCCGTCGTTGCAGACGCTGCCTTCGCGTCCCTGCGCCCGTTCCTGCCAAAGTTCTACGGCACCCTCAGGCTACAAGGCAAGGTGGATGAGAATGCGCCGCCACCCGCAGAGGGCGAGCCGATGCAGATTCAGCCTGCCGCGGTGGCGGAGAGCGAGAAAGATGAGTGGCCTTCATTTCCATACTTTCCCGCATCGTGCCGCGCGCCTCGCCACCCTTGTCTCTTCCTTGCTCTGTCCCCTTGGCGAGCGCGCATCATGCGATGTGTCCGCGATCCGGGACGTGGGAGCAGCGAGCAAGGATGCGGATGCGCCGGAGGCAGCAGAGCCTGACAAGTGTGCGCCTACACAGTCTCTTGTGCTCGAGAACCTCTCACAGCCATTCCTGAAGCCGAACATCCTCGACATCAAGCTCGGGACCGTGCTCTACGACGACGGTGCGAGCGCAGACAAGCGCGCGCGCATGGAGAAGGCCGCGCGCGAGACGACCTCGCTCGAGACCGGCGTCCGCCTCACTGGTTTTCAGGTGCGAAGCTGCTTCATCCCACATCTGTCCGTCCACCGTCCACCCCCACCCCCACAGTGGGGATCCATTGTTCGAGTCTCCGATCGCACTGTCCCCGCTGTCGACTTTTGCTCAATCTCGTGCGTTCTGGGGTCCCTAACGACCGTCCACCACATCGCGATCTCATCCACCGGGTGTGTCTCGTTCCCCGCGTGCACAGTGCTCACACGCGCGCTCTGCGCCACAGGTGTACGACCTCGCGACGAACGAAGCGGTGAACACCCCCAAGTCGTACGGCAAGTCCATCCAGCCCGCCGACCTCCCCGATGGCATCGCACGCTTCTTCCCGCTCTCCCCGGACGCTCCCCCCGCGCACGCCGAGCCTGCGCCCGAGGCGCCCCCGCCGATCACGGGCACCGGTCTCCCCGCGGAGCTGCTGCTGCCGGTGCTCGAGTCCGTCCGGGAGGACGTCGCCGAGGTGCGGGACGCGCTGGCGGCGGTCGAGATGCGCATGGTCGGCGGCAGCCTGCTCGTTATCTACGAAGCGGACTGGGACCGGGCGCGCGCGGGGATTAAGTGGATGGAGGAGGTCGGGGAGGATGATGAGGACGACGATGAGGATGAGGACGAGGACGAGGAGAGCGTGGCGTCGAAGCCTGGGCCGCCGTACATCGTCAAGCTTATCGACTTTGCGCATACGAAGATTGTGCCGGGCGAAGGGCCGGATGAAGGGGTGCTGAAGGGCGTAGACACGGTGCTGGGCCTGCTGGACGGACGCATCGCGCAGGTCAAGGCGGCATACTGATGAGCGAGGGGTGTACGAAGTCATGAATCATGTATCTTGAACAAGCAATTTTTTACCTGACTTGAGATTTGTGGACGCCCGTAGACTCCGCAGTAGGCCCATTGTATCGAAGTACACTGGCAGTGGCTCGTAGTGGTTTGCACCTGCTCGCGGGCATTCCCGGGAGGACATTAGGCCGATATTCCCACGGATACCAGGGTGCTGTTGAGGGCCTGAAGGCTATTCGTGGGAACGACCCTGTTCATTACAGAACCCGCGCCTCATGCTCGCAACGTGTCTCTAAGCCACGCCCAACACAAGACACGCGTTGGCCACACGCAAGATCGAACCTCTCCTCATCCCCGCGAACCAAACAAGCACGACTCACTGCCTCAAACTAATACAATCTGGGCAAATGAGCCCAAGAACGAGGTGACGCTCAGTTACACACCCGGCGAGTCAGGCAGGCCGCTAAACCTGGACGGAGTTTGTTGCAGAGCCCGCCGCGCAGAGCTACCGGCGACCCACGTATCGCATTTTCCCGGTGCTGTGAGCCCTCTGTGAGTCAGGCCTTGGGTTCAGAGCGAAGCTGATGCTCACCACATGCTCTCTCCGCGACCTCGCGCTCGCGCCACCGCTAGGTACGATGTCGGAGAAGCCGTCACTGCTATCGGCGACCCTGGCGTCCGGCTCGAGCCTCGTCCTGCTCCAGATATTCTCGCGCGGTGTCACCTTCGTCCTCAACCAGGCCTCGTCCGCCTCGTATCGCCGCAAGTCTTCGGGACGACCTCGATCCAGTTCGAGCTGCTCCTCTCCACCATCCTCTTTCTCTCGCGCGAGGGCGTCCGGAACGCGCTCCTCAGGGCGTCCTCCGACCCGGAAAAGGACGCGGACCGGAGCTCCGCGAGCCCGCTCGTCGCCAACATAGCCCTCCTGCCCATCCTGCTCGGGATCCCCACCGCGGTCGGATCGGCCTTCATCTATCTCGGGACCTCTTCGTCCTCGACGTCGTCCCAGCCGCACTTCCGCGCGAGCGTGGCGCTCTACGTCTTCGCGGCCCTGTCAGAGCTCCTCTCGGAACCCATGTACATCCGCACCCAAAACGAGCTGCGGTTCCACGTCCGCGTCCGCGCCGAAGGGGCCGCGGTGATGCTGAAGACCATCACCACCTTCGTCGTCCTTGTGGTCGCTCCCAAAGATTGGAGTCTGGTGGCTTTCGCGCTAGGCCAGACTGCGTATGGTCTAACCACGCTGGTGTCTTTCGTTGTGGCCTGCCGCGAAAATCTCGATTTCCGGCCGAGGAAGGTGGCCGTCGCTGTCAAGGACCAGTGAGTCAGTCCCCGCGGTGACTGTCGCGACGCTGAACCCCCCGCAGCGAGAAACGATGTACTTCGACCCCGGACTGTTCAGTCTGTCGATGGCGATGACGGGTCAGTCGCTCATCAAGCACTTTCTCACCGAAGGGGACAAGTTCCTCGTGTCACGGCTCAGCCCGCTGGCTGACCAGGGCGGGTACGCCGTCGCCGCGAACTACGGCTCCCTCGTCGCGCGAATCGTGTTCCAACCCATCGAAGAGACCGCGCGGGTGTTCTTCTCCAAGACCCTCATCACGACCCCAGAATCCAAGGCGCAGCGGACGCCCCCACCGTCCAAGACAAGCAGGCCGCCGAGACCGCCGCCACGGTGCTGCTCACCCTCCTCCTCGCGTTCACGCACCTGCTCCTCTTGCTCGCGGCGTTCGGACCGCCGTATCTCCCCCTCGCAGTGGGCCTCGCCCTCCCCCGGCGGTACCTGAGCACGTCCGCGCCCCAGATCCTCAGCGTCTACGTGTACTACATCCCCGCCATGGCCTACAACGGCGTCCTCGAGGCGCTGCTCGCGTCCGCCGCGTCCCCAGCGGACCTCGCCGCGCACGCACGCGCCCTCACCCTCGGGGCCCCGCTCTTCCCCCTCGCCGCGGCCGCGCTCGCGCGGTACACCGAGCTCGGCGACGCGGGGCTCGTCTGGGCCAACGTCGCGAACCTCGCGCTGCGCGCGGCGTACGCGGCCCGCTTCGCCCGCCGCTTCTTCGCCGCGCGCGGCGTCGCCCTGTCCTGGTCCCGCGCCGTCCCCCCGCCCCCGGTGCTCGTGGCGTTCGCCGCCGCCGCCACCGTCGTGCGCGCGTACCCACACGAGGCGGTCGCGGGCAGCGGCGTCGCGGCGGTGTGGGCCGCGCGCGACCACGTCGGGGTCGGCGCGGCGTGCGTGCTCGCGTGTTTGCTGACATGGTGAGTTGTCCCCGTCCCCGTCTTCTCCCGCGCCCCGCGCCCTTCTCTCGTCCGTTCCCCGGACCCGCACGCGCTCCTTATCCTGTCCCCCCCCACCCCCCTTGCGTGTTCCGCCCGTCCTCCGCGCATCGCACCTTCCGTCCGCTCGCGCCGCTTGCTGACTGTTTTGTCCTCTTTCCATGCTCGCTCCTCTTGCCGTCGCGGGCCGTCCGCCTTCCAACGCGCTCCCCGCCGTGCCACTGGCTCCCACATCCGGATTTCCGCCTGGCCGCACACACGCACGCCACACGCAAACGCCACGCCACCCCACCCCACCCCCGTCCGCGATCAGCGTCGTCCGCGAGCGGACGCAGGTCGTGCAGCTGGTCGGATCTCTGCGTCGCACGCGGTAGAATATAGCAGAGCCCGCGGCGTTCCGCCCGTGCATGTATAGAGGCTAGCCATAGTACGTTGCCGACCCGAGCCCGCGGGCCGCGGGCCACAGCGTGGGCGTATGTGTCCAAACCTTGCCTGCAACGAGACAGATCTGTTCACTGTTCGAGCTACGTGTCGGACATGGGTCGAGGACGCGCACGGTGCTGCAGCCAGGGCCACTGCAGGGGAGCAGCGCGGGGGCCACGATGCGCGCGTGGCGGCGGGAGAACGGTGCACCGGGCCCGCGCTCCGGGCTCCAAGGCTTCGCGCACAGGTGTGCCACTAGCCGGCCGCATAGCGCATACGCATACGTCCCCGAGCCGCCCCGCCCAGCGCCGCTGCATCACGGCCGCGGAAGGGCGGTATGAGGGTTTGGAAGGCCGGACCCGATCTCCTCGTGGATCAGACGTGCGTGCGGGGGCGGGGGCGGAGTGCGGACGGCGAGGTCGAGTGGGAGATCTCTCCTTTGCGCCGGGGAGTGGGTGGTGGTGGCAATCATACTCCCCAACGGCAGGAACCGGGTGGGCTGCGGAAGGCCGGAGCGCGCGTAGGCGGCGGAGTCGACGTCGAGGGCTCAGGGAGGGGGCAGAATCCAGATCGATCTGTTGTGGGTGCTGCGAGGGTTCCGAAGAGAGCGAGTGGATCGGAGCGGCACAAGGGACAATAGGATTAGAGCGTACGGACGGCGTTCCGCAGCGGGCTTCTACAAGTACAACACGGAGGAGACGTATAAGGAAGGGGCTAAATCGGTGTGGACGAGCATGCATGGGCGTCAGGCTGGCGGAGCGCGGTCGATCCAGGGCCCAGCTGGCTACGGGGACCGCATGGGGGGACGGGAAAGCAACGGCAGAGGAGCGGACGGCTTGATAAGTGACGTGTGGGGGAGGATTACCGGGACTTAGTCGCGAGAGGAGGTGTAGAGTACAGTAGAGATGAATGCATGTGGTCAAGGTGGCGCTGGAGGAGGTGAAGAGAGCATGGTATGAGCAGCGGAGGGCGAGAGTAGAACAAGAAGTGTGGGGAAGGGGAGTTAGAGATGTGCAGCACATCACAAGGCCAGCTCGAGCTGCGCAATCCAGCTCCCTCGGTGGGCGGCGGGCGCGACTCGAGTGAGCCATAAGTTGTTGGTGCTGATACGAGGGTTGTCGCTGGACCTGGGAATAATCCACATGGCGTCGCTGGAAGACTTCGTTTTCTGCGAGAGCACAGTTGAGCGACCCGCGCTCAGAAGACGCGTGCAGATAACTCACCGCAGCCTGAGCCATGAAGATCTTGACACGTTCACAGATGGCTCTAGCAAGCTCTCTGCGGGTGATGTAGGTCCCATTCTCTTGTACCTTGATGTACTTGCCGGACGACGCGTATCCAGGCCACTTGAAGGAAATCAGGACAAGCTTGTGAGGGCTCAGCGACATATAACTGACCTCAAGACTGAGCCGGAACATCCGGACGCTCGTGTTCTCGAGGACGATGCTGTCCCCCTCTTGCATCCTGGCGCAGCCTTTGAGCACGTCGCGCACGGAAACCCCGAGCGCGCCGTCGCTCATGAAGGACACCGCGCATTCCTGACGGTTTGTGTCCAACGCGGAGTGGGGCACCCGTACGCGCTGCGGAACGGGACGGCTAGAGACGGCATCGTCGAGGTGGAGGTTGGAGAACCGGCGAATGGGGGAAGGGACGTAGAGCTGGTCGAGGGGGATCATGGGTTCTTCGGTGTGGCCCATGAAGAAGCCAGCGTCGCCAAGCGGGTTGGCGGTCGGAGAGCCCATCCTGCTGTGGCAGGTGTGGTAGCTCGAGGGGGACGAGGTCATGACCGAGTCAAACTGCGCCCTCGCGGTGGCGCTTGACTGGGAAGTGGGGGAAGATGTGGTGGGAAAGCCGTATCCCTGGCTCGAAGAACCCAGGAAAGGTGAAGTGGTCCGTCGATACGGGCTTCCAACGGACGACGGGACGGAGAGGAAGGACGGCGAAGGTGAAACGCATGTCTCATTGCCTGACACGTCGGGGAGCGGGCTTAGGGAGGTACGCGATGTATGGTAGGGGGTTGACGATGACGGAAGAGAGGCGTCGAGTCTAGGGGGAGTGGGTGGCTGCGCGGTATCGAAGTCGATGTTGATTTGAAGAGACGGCAGCGTAGGAAGAGGGGATGGTGTCCGCTATACGAGCAAACGGTCAGGTAGGTGCGAGCGAAGGGCTGGAGGGACATACTTGATCGAGCCGAGTGAACGGCTCTTCGTGCATGCGCATATTGGGCGGTAAGGAGAAGGGGGTGTGGTGAACGCGCGTGTCGTTGAATGAGTATGACGGGCTGGGGGTGTAAGCGAGCTGCGAGGAAGTGATGTTGTTGTACGCCGAGGGCAGGTAGGGTGGCGGGTATGAATGTGATTGCTGGGGAAACCAGCGCGAGTTCTACCAGACACCAAGAATGAGTGCGCGAATCCATTACGTCACAGACTGCGGACGTACCGGGGATTCAAGTCCGTTGGCCCATGGAGAATGGCGGGGGTCGTTGGTATCGGCATGCGAGTAGAAGAACTCTGGCGGAGAGGAGTGGGCGTGGGCGTGGGCGGACGCAGGGGACATAGAAGGCCGGAGTGACCGGGTGGGCAAGCAGATAAGTGTGGTCGGCGATCGTACTTATAGCCTGGTGTGCGGAGAGGGAACGTGTTCGAACGCGACCCAAGGCGATGAGCGGCATCGTGAGCTCCCACAGCTTCTGTCGGGCTGGAGAGCTCGCAGGGTGTGACGTCCGCCGCCGCGAGAGACAGGACCGCGATGGAATTCTGGTTGGAACGGTGGCCATGATCTCTCCGGGAGCGCGGGGGGAGGCAGACGAGGCTGATGGGGACGGAATTCCAGAATTTGCACAGTGTGTGCACAGGTTCGTGCCACCTGTACAAAAGTGGTCATAAAGCAATATCCCGGGCTGTATTACGCAAGCAGGCGCAAGAGCGCACCTTGTCGGCTGTGCAGCAGCGTTCCGTCCAAGGGCGGGGCGATGCGCGAGCGACGGTGTGCGGCCAGCGGACTCTCAACGCGCCTCGTGTCCGACGCGTTCCGTGCTGACATGAGAGGAGTGCCCGACGGGCGGCTCCGCCTGGGAGACAAGGCGATGCTGCCGTACCTCGAGCACGGGGCCAGATGCTGCCTTCGACGCTCGGCCGCTTGACTGACGCCAGTGCGAGCTCGGTGAGTTCGTGATCTCCATCTGGCGACATAGAAGATGGCCATGCACGGTGAGCACTCAAGCCTGCACAACGTGTCCCGTTACGTACCACATGTGTACCACCACACAAACCCGCCTAGCGGCCCAGCACTGCCCAATGTTATCACCCCGAAATTGCCCGTCGTACGACGCTTCCAAGTGTGCATCTCCTGGGATGTGACCATCTCCACTTCTGTCCTGGGCGCAGTATCGATTAGCACAGTTGAACGTGCCGGGTAATAGGTCTTGGGCCCTCTTGCCGCTTGGTCGAGGGAGAGGACGCAGACGGAGGCATGAATGTTCAAAGTACTCACAGAGCTGACGCTGAGCTGCATACCGCTTGAGGCCACAGCTGCTGGTCGTCGCAGCGCTACGACGTAATGTCGACTCTCAGAGGACTGGCAAGAGGCGATGCAGCGCTATATGCTGCCAAGACTGGGCCTTCTCATCTTCTGCTTGGAGTGCACGTCGGCTCGTGTGGAGGCAGTAGACGGAGACATATGCGCGGTGTCGATGGGAGCTGGCAGTGGTAGAAGCGAACCGACGCTCCGACTTGACGCTCGAGGGATCGGGGAATCCTCGGTAAGTTGCCATAAGTTACCGGGCAAGTAAGAAACCGACTTACAGCTTGCACAAAGCGATACTAATGGGTCTATATGGAGTAAACATCAGTAAGAAAAGCCTAAGACCTGGAGCAATCAATGAGCCAATAGGCTATATTAGTCTTCCGTTCTAAAGGCTCCCGAAAGTGGTGCCACAATACACCCTCCACACTGGTGCTGTTGTCGACGCTCACGACCTCGTCTTGACGACTTGACACGACCTCACCCCCCAATGCCTCGCGTCCCCGCACTATCTCCAACGACTGGCAAGACTGTACCTTCATATTTCGTGCACACCACCGACGCCCAATTCGTCGACAACGCTGGCCGTACCCTTCTCCTCCGCGGCGTCAACCTCTCTGGCGCAGACAAGGCTCCCGTGGGTGCCCCGTCACAACGCCATGAAGACTTCTGGGAGTCAGGAGAGAGCGGCGAGATGAGCTTCGTGGGGCGACCATTAGACCTAGAAGACGGCTCTGCCGACGTCCACCTCGCGCGCCTCAAGGGATGGGGCTACAACATGCTGCGGTATGTCGTCACTTGGGAGTCGCTGGAACATGCGGGACCGTGAGTGGCTCTTGTCTTCGCTCGTATCCCCTCTCATGTCCCCCCAGCGGCAAGTATGACACTGAGTTCATGGACTACACCGTCCACGTGCTTCGGAAGTGCAAAGAGTTTGGTTTCCGTGTGTACATGGACCCTCACCAAGACATTGTGAGTAGACTCCTCTTTCAACTCACCACCGCAAGAGTGGACTGCGCAGGCGTTGCATTGGAAGCACGCAGGCACAGAGGCTTGTACGCAGATTCTCGGCCCATGCGCTCGTGTGCCTGGGAGTCGAGACGCGAGGCCATGCAGAGATGAAACCGTCGAGGTTTATGGGAGATGCTTGGCAGGATGACGATGAATCCATGCACCTGAGCGATGTCAAGGGAGCGCGGACCTTCACGCCGACCGGGCGCGGAACTTCCGTTACCAGGCGCTAGGGAGCGCGCCCACCACCATCCTATGTTCTCATTATGTGTAGCGACGGTCAACCCACTGCGTTGGGAGCTTAGGTGGCCTTCCCCGTCTCCGACGGGTGTGGGGCCGGCCTTAACGTCTTCCTTGACGTCGTGGCTAATCTCTCCTCTGCAGTGGTCAAGATTCTCCGGCGGGTCCGGGGCACCATACTGGACCATCCCTGCCTGCGGTATCAACCCTCGCAACTTCACCGCGACGAAAGGCGCCATCCTTCACTCGGAGTGGCCGTCAACATCCGACGCAGACCCAGCAAACCTCCCCGCGATGATCTGGAGCACGAACTACGGCAGGCTAGCGGCCCAAACGCTGTTCACCCTGTTCTTCGCCGGCCGCGAGTACGCACCAAAGTGCATCATCGACGGGCAAAACATCCAGGACTACCTCCAGTCCCACTACATCGCCGCGTTCGGCCAGCTCGCGGACCGGATACGCGACGCCAGCGACCTGCTCGACGAGTGCGTCATCGGCTGGGACAGCATGAACGAGCCTTTCGAGGGCTTCTGCACGTACGAAGACCTCAACATGGTGCCGAGCAAACAGGGCTCCACTTTGAAGAAGGGCCCGTTCCCCTCTCCCGCGCAGTCTCTCCGCCTCGGCATGGGCACGGCGCAAACCGTCGAGTGCTGGAAGTTCACTTCAACGGGTCCCTCGCGCGACGGCACCACTACCATCGACCCACAAGGACAGAAGATGTGGGCCGACCCCTCGTCCGAGCCGAACGGCGTCCACCCAAAGTGGGGCTGGAAGCGCGACCCGGGCTGGAGTCTCGGGACCTGCGTATGGGCCCAGCACGGAGTATGGGACACCGCAAGCGGCACCGTGCTCATCCCCGACTACTTTCGCAACCTCCGAAACGGACAGCCGTTCGTGTTCATCGACGAGTTCTGGAGGGCGCACTGGGAGACGTTCGCGACGCGGATGCGCGAGTCCCACCCAGAAGCCATCCTGTTCGTTGCCCCACCCGTCTTCTCTCCCCCACCACAACTCGACGAGCGCTACCTCAAGGGCCGATGCTGCCTGTCGACACACTACTACGACGGTCTCACGCTCGTGTCTCGCCACTGGAGCTGGTACAACGCCGACGCCCTCGGTCTCATTCGTGGCAAGTACTCGTCGAGCCTGCCTGCGGTCCGGATCGGGGAGCGTGCGATCCGGAAGTGCTTGCAGGAACAGCTCGGGTATCTGAAGGACGACGCGAAGATCCTGGGCGCGTACCCGACGATCATCGGCGAGATCGGCATCCCGTACGACATGGACGGGAAGAAGGCGTACGGCTGGACGGACAACGGCAAGTACAAGGGCGACTACTCGAGCCAGCAGAAGGCGCTCGACGCGAGCCTCAACGCGGCGGACGGGCCGAACGCGCTCAACTTCACGCTCTGGAACTACTGCCCTGACAACTCGCACCAGTGGGGCGACGGCTGGAACATGGAGGACCTGAGCATCTGGAGCGCCGACGACCTGCAGAACGCGGGGCAGTTCAAGATGGACGCGTCCGCGGAGATCTCGTCCGCGTCGCTCCTGAAGAAGGACAAGGATGGCGCGAGCGTGCACACGTCCTCGGCGGCGACCTCGAGCGTCTCGCTGCCCACGCTCGCCGGCGGCTCGGACGCGGACGCGTCCACGCTGACCACGCCGCGGGTGCCGCGCTCGCTCGCCAGCTGGGACAACATCTACGACTTCCTCACCGACGGCGCGCGCGCGCCCAAAGCGTTCTGCCGCCCGTTCCCGACCGCCGTCGTCGGCGTCCCCACCGGCATCCAGTTCGACCTCGCGACGGCCGTTTTCAAGCTCACGGTCCGCGTCCGCGCGGAGGACGCGCCCTCGGCCGAGCGCCTCGGGCTCGCCGCCCTCCTCCGCGAACCGGGCGAGGCGGAGCTCCCGACGGAGATCTACGTCCCACTCGTGCACTACGCGAGCGACCACCTCCTCGACGGGTCGACCTCCGCGGCCCACACGCCCCTCGTTGACCACCCCCCTGCGACGCCGTCGGACCCGCTCGCCACGCTCGCTGGACCCAGCCCGCTGCTCGCGCTCGACGTCGAGGTCTCGGAGGGCCGGTGGGCCGTCGAGGGCCAGACGCTCAAGTGGTGGTACCCGGTGCCAGAGAGCGGGACGCGGGAGTACGCGATCGTGGTCCGCCGGTCGAAGGGGGCGATCAAGGCGCTTGGTGAGGAGGAGGCGGAGGTGTCGTGCGTGGACCGGGTCCTCAGCGGCTGCTCGGAGTGCACGATCATGTAGAGGCGAGGCGGGCGAGTGTGGTTCTTGGATCTGGACGGACATGTGTACTCTATCTTGTGTAATCCGCACGCACGACTTTATGGCCTTTACGACTTGATGCTTGCACGATGCAGTTGACGGTGAACCCGGTCATCCCCTGTGGTATGGCCTTCACGGGATTTGTGTCACGTGTGCTTGGGCTTGTTTGGCAGATCCTTCAAGGCCCGCCGCCTCCTGCTGATTGGACTTCTCTGCAACCCACCAACCGCCCGCACTAAGTACTCAAATCCGAACTGCTTTTTCATGACTGCTGCCGTCCAAAGTCTACCCTTCCTCTCATGCGCAATCCCCGCTGCAGACCGTGCTACATTAGCCCGTCTGTCTAACGACGCCGTGCGCCCGTGGGTGCTCATCCGAGCCCAAGAGTACCGCGACATCGCGCTCGCCCTCCTCTCCATCTGCAATGCTGTCGCGCCCATCCACCGCGCCTTCCCCACAGAAGTTCTCTCCGAGATCTTTTCACACTGTTGGCAAGACCCTCAAAGCATCGCCGTCATCCATGTCTGCCGCCACTGGCGTTCGATTGCGCTCAAGACTCCCAGCCTCTGGACCGCCGCCCTCGCCGCACCTGGAAAGCTGCTTTCCCAACGCCGGAGATGCAGATCCAGCCGCCACGAGTTTGCAGAGTTTGCCCTAGCACGATCGTCTCCTCAGCCTCTTCGCCTCAAAATTTACCACTTCCTCGATCACTTCGCCACCACGCTCGCCCCACACGCTGCGCGCCTCGTCGATCTCTACGTCCGCCTCGTCGATGTATCGAACCTCTCCACTCTATGCAAGTTCCTCAACTCGGCTGCGCCGAACCTCGAAGTGCTCGGCATCGCATTTCCAGGCTATGTGGGGATGTACGAGGATTGGCTGCCGCTCCGCGAGGACACGGACGACGACGACGACGGCTTTGGCCACACTATCGCCGACAGAAACGTTATCCGAGACGAGCTCGAGGAGGATCTATGGGAGTGGAGCGAAAGCACACAAGGCCCGGTTCTCGACGCCGTAGCCCTTCCTCGCCTCCACACCATCCGGTGTATCCCCATCGACCTCTTCCCGCACTTCGCTACCCCTGCACTTCGCGACGTGTGTGTCACCCCCGCGCAGTTCATCCCTGACCACCTGGCTGGCTTCACCGAAGCGCTGACTTGGTGTCCCGCGCTTGAACGCCTCAAGTTCTGGATAGTCGGCAAAGACTTCAAGATGCACCCGGATTGGAAGATCAGGTCTTACTATGATGAGAGTGAAGGGGTTGATAGAGATCCGGTCGAGAGCTATCTTCCCGATTTCAATTCGTCCATATGGGACAGTGTCGATCCAGTAACCATGCCCGCCTTGCAAACCGTCGTTCTCAACACTGATATCTATCCTGGGTCGCATCTCTACCTCCGTTGCCTCTCGTGCCCCCTTCCTATCACCCTCGAAGTCATCGCTGAACACACGACACTACCACGCTTGATGGCCAGCGACGAGAAGCTTGAGGAACGCATCCAGAACGCAGACATGGTTCGCATCTGCGACTGCACGCCCGGCGACAAATGGAAGACCACCGAGGTCGCTACCTTCAAGGACGGCGTCGCTCTCGCTCGACTCACGCTTGCAGCATTTAGATGGAGAGCGGAGCCGATCAGATTGGACTGCGCCTCCGTATTCGACAAGCACGGCGCGAATATCACGCGGCTTGTCATCCACCAGAACCAAGACACAATCTATTCCGAACTTGACAAAATCCTAGACGCTCTCCCCAATCTCATGTCTCTTGACGTCGCCGGCCAATGCGTCTCGTGTGCCCTGTGGGCGCTATCTGGACCGGAACCCGACGACTCGGGGGAGTCCGAGGACAGCGACTATCCGTTTGTCTCTCAGCATCTACGCACCCTCGTCGTCGCATTCCCTCGGAAGCGCGGCTCGGTTCAGAAGTTGATCGAAGCCAACCCAGCGGAGTGGGAGGAGAAGATCGCGACGGGCGCCGAGAGGACTTTGCAAGGCTCGTGGGGATGCTGCGCGACCGAGCGTCGAGCGGTCTTCGCCTGGAACGACTGGAGTGGCGAGTGGTGGAGTGGGACGAGGAGCTCCGGCTCGAGTTCCCTCCGACGGTGATCGTCCGCACGTATGTGCCACCTCCAGCGCTGTATAACCAGACGGAGCTCGAGGCGTTGGTCGACGGGCCGGTCGTGTTCGGCGGGGTCACCTACCAGATCCGCCTCCAATGAGCCGCGAGCCTGTGACGACCCATCACGACAGCGACTTGGAGAGCGGAGCGTTCGGACAATGACGTTGCACCGTCGTTACTACACGTGTCGTGTACGTATCCGTCTCAGTGGACCAATAGAGTCGGCAGTATGTATACGCTCACCTTCGCTGCATGCACTAATTGACTGCGATCACTGCTTGAACGTCGTGCTAATTCGCAGTTGGGTGAGAAGACCGGTTCCCAAATGCTCCGCTGGGCAGCTGCGCCCGCGCACCTCGAACGGCCCGACGTCCGCTTACCCATTGACCAGCTCTCGCATCACCCATCTCCCCCACTGCCACCGACGGTGGGGACTCCACCCTCAATGTCGCGTCCTATTCCCGACTTCGCGATAAAGAACATTCTTGCCGGCTCTCATTTCAAGAGGTGCGTCGCGAATCTTGTTGCTGCTCGTTGGAACTCACCCAACGACTCGCACGACGAGTAGACAGCACAACGAGCTTCTGGCGAGACTGGCAGTAGTAAAAACCATTGCGCTGTGGGAGAAGAAACGCAGCGGTTGAACTAGACACGATGGCGACGACGTTTGTAAACCGAGCTCGTGTCTATTCCAGGCGAATCGCAACATCAACAAAGTTCGCCTCATTCACTCTACTTACCGGGTTCGTCATGTTAGTATTAGAGCGGAATTTTGCGGAATGTTTCAGCTGATCATGTAGTACGTCTGGTCCGCGCACACGCGACGGGTGAGGTATCAAGCAGTCCGCTGTCCAGCGCGCCGCCACACGGGTAGGGTTGCATACGTGTTTCTGGTCTGAGTCTTGATGTATTCACGGGACGCGCAAGGAGAAGATGGAAGACTGTTGTTATTCCGACCCGCTCCACTGTAGGTACAAGACATGAGAACCCCGCGTGAGCAATACAATTATTAAAAAAGATGCGCAAGTCCATGTATCCCCGAGCCGAGAAGTCGCCTCCTTATCCATCTGGATCTCCAGGAGACAAGCCTGCTCGCGCAGAGCGCGAGGCTGACGGCGGGACCTGCGAAGTCGACTCGAGCGTCGTGTGAGCGCTCGGGCGGCACGGACGCGAGGACGAGGACGGCATTGATGCCGCGGGACAGCGTCGACCGCGGACTTGACTTGTGTGCAGGCGATGGTCGCCGCGCGAGTGTATGTTTGAAGGAAGGGGGCTGGGCTGGCTCGGGGACGACGCCCGCGAGCGGCGCGCGCGCTCACAGCCCGAAGTACTTCTTCAGCCCGCCCTTCGCCGACGTCTTCTTCTGCCCGTTCGATGGGCGAAGGACGTGCCGCGCCTCGTCGTAGAGCCCGTAAGTGTCGCGCGGCGACTGGGTGGAACCAAACAGCGCAAACGCGTTCGGCGCGGCGGGGGCCGCGAAGGAGTAGGTGACGACGGTGGTGTAGGCCATTGCGGATGAGGTGGACTCGAGGATGTGTGCGAGTGTTTGGGAGTTCGAGTGGACGCTGGACGATGCGAGTGATGACGGTGGCTTACCATCCGCTGTCCGTGTCTTAAGTACACACTTGCTCACGACGGATTGCTCCTGGATTGCTTCTGGACGCGAACGATAGGCAATTGCGCGGCGCCCACACGAGGTTTCCATTCCGGGCAAGTGTTGGAGGCAGACCAAACAAGTGCACAAATTGTTATCCACGGTGGTCGTGTCGCCAGGATACAGAGCACGTAAGAGAGAGAGACACCAGTGGCAGCGAGGAGGTCGTCGTCGACAATGAAGAGTGAAAGGAAGCGCACGCCGGCCCGCCAGACGCGTATTTGGCAGTGTTTGGCTGCCAGGTGCGCAAACAATCTGGCGCCAATCCAGAGGTGGCACCGCCGACCCAACTTCATCGCAAGCTTGAAGTACTGGTACTCAATGTTCCACTGAGAAGCGGGAAAGTACGTCCGTCCGGACACGAACCAGCGTACATGCTACGGGCGATTGTCTCAGTAAGCGAACCTCTTCAACTCCGAATCCTGTCACCACTGGTCGAAGGCTGAGTGAGGTCGACAAAGTACGCAGTGAAATTCGTGAAATGCCGACTTGGAGAACCCACTGCTAGATCTACTACATCGATAGCTCGCTGAGTGCACAAAACTACATCCTCGCCAAGAATGTCACCGCATGTCTAAATTAAAATTCCAGGCACGAGAGTCGTCTTTATAGCTGTATTTTACATCGCACACCAGCTCAGCTCTCTCATCGTGTCGGATCAGTTGTCCCGATCCGTGGCGGTGAAGCCGAGGCCCAACCGTGATCGCCATACCAAATCACCGCCATGGTGATCCTGCACATACCCGGTGAGAACGAAGTCGCTACTCGGAATGCAAAGTCCACTCACCCAAACCCGTCACCCCGGTTTCGGTTTGCTTTAGCTATCTCCACCCCGCGTCTCTAGCAGACGCGGCCGACGGGTCGTGAGCTCCGGCGCGCGCAGACGCGCCGCAGGGAGGCACACACGGGAAAATGCGCGCTAAACCGCAGTAAACGTATACGTTATGCTCCACGTACTTGACTTCCCCCATACGCATTGCTTGTCGCTGTGTATTGTAGCTACTTGGTAGATCGACTTCTGCCGTGGCTCAGGGGTTTTTGAGGGCTGTTGTCGAATAAAGACACATTTGCCGTTTCTTGACGTTGTCTGCCGCCGTGTCGTGATCAAAGGCTCTGAGATCATGTCCATCTACGCGACGCCGACCGCGTCGATCAGAGGCAACGTGCCCGCAGTCACGAACGCGATTATCAACGCCCGGAACGACCTGGAGAGACGGCAGCCACAATCAGACAACCAGGTGTGCCGTGTACGCCTTTTGGGTATGGGCGGAACGCGAGGCTGCCGTCGTGTGTGCGCTAGCTGCGTCCGTGTCCATCGTCGCCTTGTGAGTACCTCCGACCGTCGACGTGGTGGCGGTCGGCTCGGGCAACGCGTGCACAGCGCAGACGGTATGCTGCGAGAACAACAACATCGTGAGCGTTTCGTGGTTAATTCGGTGGGATCGTGGGCTTACATGGCGCTCTGCAGGGCGATAGCTGTGTGCTGGTCTCGGTCTAAGCGTTTGGTCTCGTGTTTTAGTACTGTGCTCATGCGGTAATTGTTATGCCTAGATGTCTTGGTCGATGATCGCTATGTCGTCGAAGATCTTACATTTCCTCTTAATACATGCTTCACGTCTCGTCTGTACCAATTGCGAGTGACAAGGCTGGAAGTCGGGTCGGTATCAGTGACAGGGGATTGCGGGGAAGAACACACATACTCGTAATTGGGCTTTATAAGTGCCACGAATCCAAGGAACCCGCCGAACGAGCCCTCTTCAAGTATTTCCTCGGCCAAGCACTTGAGGTCGAGAAGTGGGAGTCCGCGGCTGCGACTCCACGAAGCCCGGCTGTCGAACAGAGACGCACGCACACATAGTCGTCCTTCGCCTCGCCGCTCAACTTCCAACTCTTCGACTCTCGCGCCGCAATGGCGCTCGAGCTCGTCGGAAAGCTGCACAGGGTCAGCATCCCTCGCTCCTTCGCTCCAAGCACTCTGAACCGCTCCACTGCTTCTGCACCCTTCCTTCCCTGTCGACCTGCCCCTTCCCCAGAGCGTGAGTCCGTCTGTTGATGTCCATCGCACTCACGAAACTCACCTCGACAGATCTAGAGTGCTCGCCCATCTCCGCCACCGGCCTCGAGCTCGCTAGAGCCAACGCCTGCCAGGTGCAGCGCGTGTGCTGCGAAAGCAACAACGCCGTGAGTGTCTCTGTTTCTGACGTTCTTGCTTGCTTACATGGTAGAAGGCGTCGCGAGCGCAGGGTGAACTCATTTCCATCGGATGCTTGCTGACCTCGCCGTAGATAGAGACCCGGGGCGGCGTGTAGGGATGCTCGCTAGCCACCATTTATGCACGTGCTGCGAGGGAGGGGAACGTCTTCAGACGCAGATGAGCATCGCGCACGGAGCGCGACTGCGACTGGATGTGTCTTGCGGCGCGGAAGTGTATTTCTCAAGGACATATGGGGACCCATGTTGTAAAAAGGAAGGGTATGGGGTGCACGAGGAGTGCGAAGTGGGGAGTGGATGACGGGCTGCTTGCGTGGATGTGCGGCACATGGACGAAGTCAATCCGGACGTGCAACAGCCGCAGCATCGATTGATTCGAACACGGCACGAGATGTACAAAGTGCGACAATTTTGGGAAGCGAGAGAACGCGAGAGAGCGGCCGAGGTGGAACGTACGCGCAGTGACCTACTCTCTCGCGACCTCTTTCTCTTCACGTCTGCCCTCCGTTCGTCCAGCTTTTGTCAGGCCGTACGTAGCGTCAGGTACACGCTGAACACTGGCTGATTGTCGTTCTGCTGTCAGCTGTCCGTCGAGGGGAAGATTGGAAGTCCGTGCAGGCGATGAGCGGAACGAGCGGGCCAGATGGAATCGTGGTCGAGGAGGGAAGGAGACAGACACAGCCTAGCGCTTGCTGCTGTTTCAGCGCAACTACAGTACCATCTGCTCCGAGCTCAAGACCTCATGACTATCACCGTCCCCTTCCTCTCAAGCTCAATCCCCGCCGCAGACCATGCTGCATTAGCCGGCCTCTCTGACGACGCCGTGCGCGCATGGGTGACCACCCGTGCCCAAGAGTACCACGACATCGCGGCCGCCCTCTTCTCCATCTACAACGCTGTCGCGCCCATCCACCGCGCCTTCCCCACGGAAATCCTCTCCGAGATCTTTTCACACTGTTGGAAAGACCCTCGAAGCATCGCCGTCATCCATGTCTGCCGCCACTGGCGTTCAATCGCGCTCAAGACTCCCAGCCTCTGGACCGCCGCCCTCGCCGCACCTGGAAAGCTGCTTGGATCCCAACGCCGGAGATGCAGATCCAGCCGCCGCGATTTTGCAGAGTTTGCCCTAGCACGATCGTCTCCTCAGCCTCTTCGCCTCAAAATTTACCACTTCTTCGATCACTTCGCCAGCACGCTTGCCCCACACGCTGCGCGCCTCGTCGATCTCTACGTCCGCCTCGTCGACGTATCGAACCTCTCCACTCTATGCAGGTTCCTCAACTCGGGTGCGCCGAACCTCGAAGTGCTCGGCATCACATTTCCGGGGTACGTGGGGATGTACGAAGATTGGCTGTCGCTCCACGAGGACGAAGACAACTCAGACTTTGGCCTCACTCTCACCGCCCGATCCGAGATCCAAGAGGTGCTTGGGGAGAACCTATGGGGGTGGAGCGAAGGCACACAAGGCCCGGTTCTCGACGCCGTAGCCCTTCCTCGCCTCCACACATCCGGTGCATTCCCATCGACCTCTTCCCGACTTCACCACTCCTACACTTCGCGACGTGTGCGTCACCCCCGCGCAGTTCGACGACCACCTGGACGACTTTGCAGAAGCGCTGACTCGGTGTCCCGCGCTTGAGCGCCTCAAGTTCTGGATACTCGGCAAACAGATACACCTGGAGTACGATGTTACTAGGGAAGAGGCCGGTAGATTTATAGATTCGGTCGAGTACTATCTTCCCCATTTCAATGCGTCTATATGGAACAGCGTCGATCCAGTAACCATGCCCGCCTTGCAAATCGTCGTTCTCAACACTCATATCTATCGCGCGTCGCATCTCTACCTCCGTTGCCTCTCATGTCCCCTTTCTATCACCCTCGACATCATCGCTAAATACTCGACACTGCAAGATTCGGTCGACAGAAACGAGGAGCTTGAGGAACGCATCCAGAATGCAGACACGGCACAAATCTGCGACTCCGACTCCAGCGGATGGATGTCCACCGAGCTCACTACGTTCAAGGACGACGTCGCGCTCGCTCGACTCGCGCTTTCAACGTTGAGATGGATGTGGTCGGACTGCGCCCGCGTATTCTGCAACCACGGCGCGAACATCACACGGCTCGTCATCCGCCAGAACGAGCACCGATCCTATTCTCAGTCCGACATGCGCGAAGTCCTCCACGCTCTCCCCAATCTCACGTCGCTTGATATCGCCGGCCAATGTGTGTCGGACGTCTTGCGAGCACTACTTCGACCGGAAGCCCAGGAACCGGACAGCGACGGTCCGAACCGTCAGCATCTGCGCACCCTCGCCGTCGCATTCCCTCGAGTGCGCGGCTCGGTTCAAACGGTGGTCGAAGCGAATCCAGCGGGGTGGGAGAAAACGATCGGGACGGACATTCAAAACGACTTTGGGGAGCTCGTGAAGATGCTGCGCGACCGAGCGTCGAGCGGTCTTCGCCTGGAGCGTCTCGAGTGGCGAGTGGCCGAGTGGGACGAGGCGCTCCGGCTCGAGTTCCCTCTGACCGCGGTCGTCCGCACGTATGTGCCACCTCCGGCGCTGTTCCACCAGATGGAGCTCGAGACGTTGGTCGACGGGCCGGTCGTGTTCGGCGGGGTCACCTACCAGGTCAGCCCCCTGGAGCTCTGAGCGTATGACGACCCGTCACGCGCACGACGGCGACTCGAAGAGTGGGAGGATTCGGACGGTGACGACTGCGAAACTTGATGATGACGTTACGCGGTCGTTACTATACACGTCGTGTACATGGATCAATAGCAGGGTATAAGGCTCATCCTCTCCGCGTGCACTAATTGACTGTGAGGCCACTACTTGAACGTCATTCTATTTCCCACTCCAGTGTGAAGACCGGAAGTTCCCAATGCACCACCGTGCTGCGCCCGCACACCTCGAACGACCCCACTCCGTCCACTTGACCATCGGCCGAATCTCGCAGCACCCTCTCCATCTCCGTCTCAACGCCGCAGATGCGCTCGCACGGTTCCTCGCCACCGGCGGCCTTGCGCTCCGACCATGGCACCGAAGAATCTTCAACAGCGACTCTCCGAGCGCCGCCCACCGCTCACCCGCTTCGGATTCAGGTCGCACATGAGCAGGCGCGGACATCGGCGGCGGCGGCGACGTTCTCCACATCCACGTCCGGCGTCGGATCGGTGACCTTGTGTCCTTCGTTTCCGGCAACGCTGGCGTGGGCGGCAGCCATGCGAAACGGATGTCGACGCCGAGCGGCGCCACGCGGGCTCGGGCCGCGGCGAAGGGCGGGTCGACGTCGAGCAGGTCGTCGTGTGATACACGGAGGACCTCGCGCTCGTCGCTCGATGTCCGCCGCGTTACGGTGCCTTCCCACCTCGCATTCTGATCGAGTACCGGACAAGCCAGATAGGTATATGTATGGCCTTGCAGGGTGTTTTCTCGGCGCAATGGGCGGAGCACATCTTGGGGATGTGGCCCAGAAAAGCGCGTAAGAAAGGTCATGTGGGCATGGAGGCAGGGGAACCGCGACGGCTCAACTTCATCCGGAGTACCCGTGCGTTATAAGTCGTAAAGTCCGTCCGTCCGTCCAGGCCACAACACACACTCTACTGACACTCTACTCAGCCATCTCCTGGTACGTGAACCCCCCAAAGACGACTGGCCCGTCCACCAGCTTCTCGAGCTCCTCCTGATCAAACGACCCAGGGCCCGGAACGTACGTCCCCACCACCGCCGACGGCGGGAAATCCAGCCTCAACGTCGGGTCCCACTCCCGGTCCTCCCACTCCAGCCGCTCCAACCGGAGCCCTCGCTTCGCGCGGTGCTCCAGCGGCTTCACCACCGCCGCGACCCGCGCCGGGATCGTGCGCAGCACCGTCTCCTCCCACCCCGCCGGCCGCACCCTCAGCGCCGCCCACGCCTTGCGCGACGCCGACTTGTCGTCCCCGCGGTTCAGCCCGAACGCGACCTTGAGCGTCTTCAGCCGCGGGCACACGAGCGCGTCGGGGGCCCCGTCGACGTCCGGGTGCTGGAGCGCCTTGATGACACGGTGCGCGCGGGGGCCGGCGAGGTCGAGCGAGGTGAGGTGGGGGAACGCGCGGAAGTAGTCCGGCGGGCCGCTCGTGCTCTGTATCGTCCAGGTCTGGTGGAGGACGAGGTGGGTCACGGTGGCGCCGGTGTCGCGGAAGGTCTCGATGAGGTGGAACGAGCCGAGGTAGGGCGTGCCGTGCGAATGGGCGGAAAGGGTGACGCGGATGAGCTCCTTGTCGTCCCGCGATGTCGAAACGGCGGTGTTGGGGATGTTCCACTTGTCGTACGAGTCGCACACGTGAACTGCGCTTGCAGACTGCACTCGATCTCGGAGGAGCGGGGTGTGGCGAGAGGGGAGGTCTTCGTAGAGCTTGTGCGAAATGCCCAGGTCGCATCGTATAAGGTTGATGCCGACGGAAGACGAAAGCGAGATAAGGTCCAGGTACTTTGCCGTCTTGATGTTGCTGTCGAGGTTGACTACCAACGTCCGCAGCGCCGGAAGGTCGACGGGCCTCGCCGCCCATCCGGGAGCGTCATCGTCCGGCCTGAGCATGAAGCCCATGTTTACCATGCACAGATCGAGGCGCATGAGGTTCGGGGTGTTCTTCAGCGCTTGAACGAAGCCCTTCAAATGATCCGGGTTGAATACTGCGGGAGTGATGCACATGTCGCGCACGGTGGGGCAAGCGAATTGAGCCACGAGATCGATCGGAACGCATCGGAGCGTCTGAAGACGAGGAGTGTCTGCGACCAGGCCTCGAACACCCGAGCTCCAACTGATAAGTTCCTTGGAGAGGTTCCGTGGGTCGCCTTGCTCGTCGGTGTCGTCGTGGTGGTGTCTTACTCCTGGCCCCAGCCACTCTCGGTACATCCCTGTATATCCTGGGAACGCGATACCGAGAATGTCGAGGTTGGGGACGCCGTTGGCAAGAAGTACGCATAGTGACTTGAGCTGCGCGGCGCTTTGGAGGCGGACGAACAAATCGACGAGTCGGGAGGTGTGCGGCGAGAGCGTCTGGGATAGAGCATTAGGGAGAAAATGAATCTTGAGGCGCAGCGATGCCGGAGACGACCATTCTACCGCGGTAGCCACGAACGAGAGGCGGTTGTCCTCCAGGTGTTGACACTGCGCTTCCATCCTGGCCTTGTTGAATGTGAGCTGGGCGCCCGGAGCTGCGACGGCTTCTGCCCACAGTCGCGGGGTCTTGAGCGCTGTCGCACGCCAGAGACGGCAGACGTGCATGAGGCGCACACTGCGCATGTCGTCCCAGCAGTGTGAAAGAACCTCGGAGAGGAGTTCCGTAGGCAAAGCGCGATGAATCGGTGCGATTGAGTTGTGGAGAGATAGCAGAGAGAGTGCGATCTTGCGGTACTCCTCCGCCTTAGCTACGACCCATTCGCGAATAGCAGCGTCCGAGAGCCCCGACAGTGAAGTACGATCTGCAGCAGGGATGGAGCGCGCGAAGGCAGGGAAGGGAAGGGCGTCGACGTTGGCCATTACTGTGTTCATCTATGGTCTCGTCAGCTGGAGTTGGTTCCACAATGTGAGAAGCAGAGCCCGTACTCTCGATGATGTGGCCAGGAGGAAGACGCGCGCGTGAACCGAACCGGTGTGGTCGCAGGCGCTGGCAAGTCTGCAGCTTTATAATTATTATTTGGCGCGAGCAAACAAATCCGCTCGTGGAGAAGCGCCGGTGACTGGCCGCTTCACCCGCGCTCCGACTCTCACCATCATCCTAAGATTAATTCCTCTTCGAAACTCGGCCATCGGACTACATGCCCGACCCCGTGGGTCTTTCTCACGGACCTTGGACTGCAGGTGTCTCGGCCTTCTGAGCTTCGCACGGCAGTCTCCGATCTGAGATTCGTCAGGCAGCATTGATTATATGACCCATGGTGCGCGGCTGTGGGTTTCCTGAGCTTCGCAATGGGACGACTGACTAACGATCATATAGATTATGCCAGCTCTTCCTGGCCGACACGTTGGATGGGTTGATAAAAGGCACGTCGAGCAAACAGGCTGCCTAACCGAGTTCAAACGGAAATCCCCTCCGCCTCTGCACCATGTCTTCGCCGCAACCCCACTTCACCCTCTTCTCGATGAAAGGCCTGCCTCCCAATCCATGGTGAGCGGTATTTATTGCGGGCGTGTGTGTTTGAAGCCAAACACGTTTTCACAGGAAGGTCGTCATGATTCTCGAAGAGCTTGGCCTCGAGTACGAGTCCGTTTACCTCGACATCGGCAAGGGCGACCACAAGCTGGAATCGCACACGAAGCACAACCCGAACGGCCGTGCACCTACGCTTATCGACCACAAGAACAACGATTTTGTCGTCTGGTACTGTGTCGTCTCTGTGCATCGCCCGTACTTACGCGCTGACTCCGTTTCACAGGGAGTCTTGCGCCATCGTCCAGTACCTCGTTGAGAAGTACGATACCGAGCGCAAGATCTCGTTCGCAGGGTTCGAAGACCGCATCCTGCTCTCGCAGTGGCTCTTCTTCCAGGCATCGGGCCAAGGGTAGTGTCTCCGTCGTTCGCCGTTCACTTCCTGCGCATGTTCACTCCGTCCATTGCGCAGCCCGTACTTTGGCCAGGCCGGATGGTTCACTTTCTTCACTCCGAGAAGATCCCGAGCGCATCGAACGGTACCGCAAGGAGATGTGCGCGTCATCGGCGTGCTCGACGCGACGCTCGCGACGCGCCAGTGGCTCGTCGGCGACAAACCGAGTGCCGCGGACTTGTCCTTCGTTGTGTATGCTCTCCTGTCTATGTGGACCGGCGTGTGGCTCACATATTGTGCTCACAGGTGGAATCGTGTCGCGGTGAAGGACGTTCTTGCGGCTGGGACGGGCTCAAGGTGGATGAGTTCCCGCATTTCAAGAGGTGCGTCGCGATTGCTGTTGCTGCTCGTTGGAAATCACCTAACGATGAGTAGATGGCACAACGAGCTTCTCGCGAGGCCTGCGGTAGCGAAAACCATCGCGATGTGGGACGAGACACGCAGCGGTTAAGGTAGAGGCGATGGCCACAAGGTTTCGATATGCCTATTCAGAGTACTACTGCCTCAGGCGAATCGCAACATCGACCATGTTTACTTCATACACTCTACTTACCGGCAGCGGTGCCGAAATTGTCATACCGGTATCAGGGTGACGTTCCGCGAAATGGATATGTTCGTTGCTGCTGATCATGCAATGCGTGCGGTCTACGAACGCACGACGGGTGCGACATCATAGAGTCTGCCATCCAAGGCGCCGCCGCGCGGGTTGGGCATATTCTATGTAGCCTGTTGGATCCGTGTTTCAGGCTCAATTCCGAGTGTTCATGTATGCATGGGACACAAAGAGAGGCCAGACGATTATTGTTGCTTTAACCCGCTACACTGTGAGATGTACGAGGCATGGCAGCGCGAGCGATACAAAGTATAACAAAGAATATGCGCAAGTCCGTAGATCTCCGAGAAGTAGCCTCCGTATCCATCTGGATCTCCAGGAGACGAGCCTGCTCGCGCAGAGCGCGAGGCTGACGGTGGGACCGGCGCGAGGCGCGGCGCTGGGTGGGTCTTGCGGAGTCGACTCGAGCGTCGTGTGCGCGCTCGGGCAGCACGGACGTGAAGACGAGGACGACGTTGATGCCGCAGGGCGGGTTCGACCGCGGAATTGTGCAGGCGATGGTCGCCGTGCGAGTGTATGTTTGAAGGTGGCGGGGCTGGCTCAGGGACGATGCCCGCAAGCCGCGCGCGCTCACAGCCTGAAGTACTTCTTCAGGCCGCCCTTCGTGGACGTCTTCTTCTGCCCATTCGGCCGATGGAGGACGTGCCGTGCCTCGTCGTAGAGCCCGTAGGTGTCACGCGGTGACTGAGTGGAACCAAACAACGCAAACGCGTTCGGCGCGGCGGGGGCCGCGAAGGAGTAGGTGGCGACGGTGGTGTAGGCCATTGCGGATGAGGTGGACTCGAAGATGTGTGCGAGTGTATATGCGAGTGGAGGGTCGAGTGGACGGTAGACGATGCGAATGATGGTGACGACTCACCCTCCGCCGTCCGTGTCTTAAGTACACACTTGCTCGCGACGGATTGCTCTTGGATTGCGTCTGGACGCGAACGACAGGCAATCGCGTTGCACCAACAGGAGGTTTCCATTCCAGGCAAGTGTTGGAGGCGGACCAAACAAGTGCACAAAGTGTCGTCCACAGTGGTCGTGTCGCCAGGATACAGAGCACGTAAGAGGGAGGGGGCGGCAGGAGGCTCTGGAGGTCGGAGGAGCTCGTCGTCGACAATGAAGTGCACAAGAAGGCGTCCGCCGGCCCGCCAGACGCGTGTTTGGCTTGCAGGCAGCGTGCAAACAAACGGCCGGCGCCAATACAGAGGAGCCAGCCGCCGCCGACCCAACTTCATCAAAAGCTTGAAGAACTTACGTTGAATGTTCCACTGAGAGGCAGGAAAGTACGTCCGTCTGGACACGAAGCATCGTACATGCTACTGACGAATATCTCAGTAAGCGAACCTCTTCAACTCCGAACCTGTCGCCAGTCGAGAAATTCGTGAACTTCCGCGGAGTTTAGTCGCGATGCACTGTGTACGTCTACTGCTACAGGTACACTACAGTTACTGAGTGTAAAATCCTACATCCTGTCCAAGAATATCACTGCTGTGTCCGATCAGTTGTCCCGACTCGTGGTGGTGAAGCCGAGATCCAACCATGCTCGTATGCGATCGCCATACCAAATCACCAGCATGGTTATCCTGCGCACACCCGGTGACTCAACGAAGCCGGTGCTCGAAACGCGAAGGCCACTTACCCAAATCTGATCCACACGACGAAGGAGAAGATCGCATCCGTCCACGCTACGCCCACCCTGTCGATCAGCGGCAACGTGCCCGCAGTCATGAGATTATCAACGCCCGGAACGACCTGGAGAGACGGCAGCCACAATCAGACAACCAGGTGTGCCGTGTACGCCATTTGGCTACGCGCGGAACGCGAGGTTGCCGTCGTGCGCACGCTAGCTGCGTTGGTGTTTCTCATCCCCTTGTGAGGACCACCGACCATCGACGTGGTGACTGTCAACTCGGGCAACGCGTGCACGGCGCAGACGGTATGCTGCGAGAACAACAACATCGTGAGCGTTTCGTCGTTAATTCGGTGGGATCGTGGGCTTACGTGTTGCTCTGTAGGGCGATCCCTGTGTGCCGGTCTCGGTCTAAGCGATTGGTCTCGTGTTTTCGTACTGTGCTCATGCGGTAGTTGTTATGCCTGGATGTCTTGGTCGACGGTCGTTATGTCGTCGAAGACCTTGCATTTCCTCTTAATACATGCTTGATGTTTCGTCTGTTCCAAATACGAGCGGCAAGGCTGGAAATCGGATTGGTACAAGAGATTGCGGGGAAGAACACACGCACTCGTAATTGGGCTTTATGAGTGGCACGAATCCAAGGAACACGCCGAACGAGCCCTTCTCAAGTGTTGCATTGGCCAAGCACCTGAGGTCGAGTCCGCGGCTGCGACTCCACGAAGCTCAGCGCTCGAGGTCGCCGGGAACCTGCACATGGACCGACATCTCGTCAGCATCCCTCTAACCCACATTCGCTCTAGGCACTCACGACTGCCCTCTCGCTTCTGTACCCTTCCTCCCCTTGTCGACATGCCCCTTCCCCAGAGCGTGAGTCCCTCTGTTGATTTCCATCGCACCCACGATACCCACCTCGGGATGTTCCCTAGGCAAGCGACGCTTCGTCCTCCGCCATCTTCACTCTCCTCGGCTTGTTCCTCCACGACACCACCGCTCAGATCGATATTGAGTGCTCGCCCATCTCCGCCACTGGCCTCGCTAGAGCCAACGCCTGCCAGGTTCAGCCCGTGCGCTGCGAAAGCAACAACACCGCGAGTGTCTGTGTCTCGGGAGTTCAGGATGCTAGTTAGTCGCTACTTATGTACGTGCTGAGAGGCAGGGGAACATCTTCAGACGCAGACGAGCATCGCGCACAGAGCTCGGCTGCGACTGGAGACACGGCGATGGGTTTTGTGGTGCGGGAGTGCATGTCTCAAGGACATGTAGGGACCCATGTTGACAGAAAGGGAGGGTACGGGGTGCACGAGCAGTGCGGAGTGCGGAGGTACGCCTCGTCTATGGATGACGGGCTGCTTGCGTGGATGCGCCACACATTGACGAAGTCAATCCGGACGTGCAACAGCCGAAGCATCGATTGATTCGAACGCGGGACGAGGTGTACAAAGTGCGACCATGCTGGGAAGCGAGAGAACGCGAGAGGACGGCGAAGGTGGAACGTACGCGCAGTGAGTTGTGGACTTCCAATCTTCCCCTCGAGGGACAGCGCAGAACTACAATCGGCCGATGTTCAACGTATGCCTGATGCTACGTATGACTTGACAAGAGCTGAACGAACGGAGAGCAGACAATATGAAGAGAAGAAGGTCGCGAGAGAGTGCAGGCGAGCGAGCCAGATGTAATCGTGGTCGAGGAGAGAGAGAGAGTCACAGCCTAGCGCTTGCTGCTGTTTCAGCGCAACTACCATCTGCTCCGAGCTCAAGACCTCATGACTGTCGCAGTCCCCTTCTTCTCATGCTCACTCCCCGCTGCAGACCGTGCTGCATTAGCCGGCCTCTCTGACGACGCCGTGCGCGCATGGGTAGCCACTCGCGCCCAAGAGTACCGCGACATTGCCCTCGCCCTCCTCTCCATCTACAACGCCGTCGCGCCCATCCACCGCGCCTTCCCCACAGAAATTCTCTCCGAAGTCTTTTCACACTGCTGGAAAGACCCTCAAAGCATCGCCGTCATCCATGTCTGCCGCCACTGGCGTTCAATCGCGCTCAAGACTCCCCGCCTTTGGGCCGCCGCCCTCGCCGCACCTGGGAAGCTGCTCTCCCAATACTGGGGATGTAGATCCAGCCGCCACGACTTTGCAGAGTTTGCGCTCGAGCGATCTTCTCCTCAGCCTCTTTGCCTTAAAGTCTACTATTTCATCGATCGCTTCGCCAGCACGCTCACCCCACACACTGCGCGCCTCGTCGATCTCTACGTCCGCCTCGGCGATGCATCGAACCTCTCCACTTTATGCGAGTTTCTCAACTCGGGTGCGCCGAATCTCGAAGTCCTCGGTATCACATTCCCGGGGTACGTGGGGATGTACGAAGATTGGCTGCCGCTCTGTGAGGACGACGACGATGGGGACTTTGGCCCCACTCCCACCGCTCGATCCAAAATCCACGAGGAGCTTGCGGAGGATCTATGGGAGTGGAGCGAAAGCGCACGAGGCCCGGTCCTTGGCGCTGCAGCCCTCCCTCGCCTCCACACCATCCGGTGCATCCCCATCGACCTCTTCCCGTACTTCACCACACCTACGCTCCGCGACGTGTGCGTCACCCCCGCGCAGTTCACCAACGACCACCTGGACGACTTCGCCAAAGCGCCGACTTGGTGTCCTGCGCTTCAGCGCCTCAAGTTCTGGATTGTCGGCAAAGACTTCACTACGTATGAGAGTGAACAGCTCGGTGGACATCCGGTCGAGAGCTATCTTCCCGCTTTCGATTCGTTCATCTGGGACAGTGTCGCTCCAGTAACCATGCCCGCGTTGTTCTCAACGCTGGTATCTATCCTGGGTCGCATCTCTATCTCCGTTGCCTCTCGTGTCCCCTTCCTATCACCCTCGAAGTCATCGCTGAACACACGACACTGCCACAGATGGTGGGCAGGGACGAGAAGCTTGAGGAACGCATCCAGAACGCAGACATGGTTCGCATCTGCGACTGCAACCCCCGCGACAAATGGAAGACCACCGAGGTCTCCACGTTCAAGGACGGCGTCGCGCTCGCTCGACTCACGCTTGCAACATTTAGATGGAGAGCGGAGCCGGCCAGATTGGACTGCGCCTCCGTATTCCGCGAGCACGGCGCGAACATCACGTGGCTTGTCGTTCACCAGAACCAAGACACCGAACTTGACAAAATCCTCGACGCTCTCCCCAATCTCACGTCCCTTGACGTCGCCGGCCAATGCGTCTCGCGTACCCCGTGGGCGCTATCTCGACCGGTACACGAGTACCCGGGGCAGCCCCAGGACACCGACTATCCGTTAAACTGTCGACATCTGCGCACCCTCGCCGTCGCATTCCCTCGAAAGCGCCGCTCGGTCCAGAAGGTGACCAAAGCCAACCCAGCAGGGTGGGAGGAGAAGATCGCGACGGGTGTACGAGAGGACTTTGCAACGCTCGTGAAGATGCTGAGGGACCGAGCGTCGGGCGGTCTTCGCCTGGAACGGCTGGAGTGGCGAGTGGTGGAGTGGGACGAGGCGCTCCGGCTCGAGTTCCCCCCGACTGCGATCGTCCGCACCTATGTGCCACCTCCGGCGCTGTTCCACCAGATGGAGCTCGAGACGTTGGTCGACGGGCCGATCGTGTTCGGCGGGGTTACCTACCAGGGTCGACTCCCATGAACCACGAGCCTACGACGAGCCATTACGACAGCGACTCGGAATGTGGGGGATTCGGACAATGAATCGGACTCCGAGACTTGAGCTTGATGATCACGCTGCGCCCATCGCTATTACAGGAGTGGTGTATGTAGTACTCCCCCGTCTGATCGATCAATAGTAGGGTTGGCAGTATATACTCATCCTCGCCGCAAATGCACACATTGACTATGACCACAACAACGTCATTCTAACTCCGAGATGAGTCTGAAGGCCCACGTCTCATGCAGATTCCGATTCACCGCCGGGCTGCGCTCGTGCATCCCGATTCCCGAATGGCCCACCGACCACTTCCCATCGACAGACTCTCGTAGCACCCATCTCCGTCTCTGTCCCGATGGTGCATATGCGCGGGCGTGGCTCCCCGCCATCGGCCTCGCGCTTCGACCGCCGAAGGGCCTCTAACCGTGATATCAGCGCCGCCGGGATGAAGTTACCGGCACGAGGAAAGCTCAAGGAAGAGTCTGCGCAATCATATATGATCTAGAGTCAAAGTTTGCAAAGTTAAAGTACATCCATCCGTCTGGCAGGCAACAGAACACCTCTACTCAGCAATCTCCTGGTACGTGAACCCCCCAAAGACGACCGGCCCGTCCACCAGCTTCTCGAGCTCCTCCTGATCAAACAGCCCAGGGCCCGGAACGTACGTCCCCACCACCACCGACGGCGGGAACTCCAGCCTCAACGTCGGGTCCCACTCCCGGTCCTCCCACTCCAGCCGCTCCAACCGGAGCCCTCGCTTCGCGCGGTGCTCCAGCGGCTTCACCAGCGCCGCGACCCGCGCCGGGATCCCGCGGAACACCGTTTCCCTCCACCCCGAGGGCCGCACCCGCACCCGCAGCGCCTCCCACGCCTTGCGCGACGCCGACTTGTAGTCCCCGCGGTTTAGCGCGAACACGATCTTGAGCGTCTTCAGCCGCGGGCACACGAGCGCGTCGGGGGCCCCGTCGATGTCCAGGTGCTGGAGCGCCTTGATGACGCGGTGCGCGCGGGGGCCGGCGAGGTCGAGCGAGGTGAGGTGCGGGAACGCGCGGAAGAAGTCGGGCTGCCCGTTCGGGGTCTGGATCGACCAGTTTTGGTGGAGGACGAGGCGAGTGACGGCCGCGCCGGTGTCGCGGAAGGTCTGGATGAGGTCGAACGAGGTCAGATACGGCGAGTCATGCACGTCCGCGGAGATGGTGAAGCGGATGAGCTCCTCGTCGTCCTTCGACGTTGAGACGATGGCGGTGGGAATCTCCCACTGGTCGTAAGAGTCCCAGATGTGGACGGTGCTTGCGGACTGTACTCGAGATTGGATGAACGGAGTGTGTCGAGAAGGGAGGTCTTGGCAGAGGTGCGAAAGGCCGAGATCGCCTTCTATGAGGTTGACTCTGACGGAGGACGAAATGGAGATGAGATCCATGTACTGTGCCGTGTATAGGTTGCAGTTGAGGTTGACGACCAACGTCCGCAGCGCTGGAAGGTCGACGGGATTGACCGCCCACCCGGGTGCGTCATCGTCCGGTCTCAGCCGGGCACTGTTCCTGTTCTCCATGCACAGATCGAGGCGCGTGAGGTCCGGAGTGTTCTTCAACGCGTGAACGAAGTCCTCCAAGTGATCCGTGTTGAATACCGCGGGAGTGATACACATGTCGCGTACGCTGGGGCAAGCAAAGTGAGACACGAGATCGATCGGAACGCATCGAAGCGTCTGGAGACGAGGAGTGTCTGCGATCAGGCCTTGAGCACCCGAGTTCCATTTCGTGAGCTCCTTGGAAAGGTTCCTTTGGTTGTCTTGCTCGTCGATGTCGTTGTAGTGGCGTCTGGCTCCCGGCGCCAACCACTCTCGGTACATCCCTGTATATCCGGGAAACGCAATGCCGAGGACGTTGAGGTTGGGTACGCCGTTGGCAAGAAGTGCACACAGAGACTTCAACTGCGCGGCGCTTTGGATGCGAACGAACAAATCGGCGAGTCGGGAGGTGTGCGACGAGAGCGTCTGGGATAGGGCATCGGGGAGAAAATGAATCTTGAGGCGCAGTGGTGCTGGAGACGACAACTCTATCGCGGTAGTCGCAAACGAGATGCGGTTGTCCTCCAGGTCTTGACACTGCGCCTCGATCCTGGCCTTGTTGAATGTGAGCTGGGTACCCGGAGCTGCGACGGCTTCTGCCCACAGTTGCGGTGTTTTGAGGGCTACCGCGCGCCAGAGACGACAGACGTGCATGAGGTGCACACTGCGCATGTCGTGCCAGCAGTGTGAAAGAACCTCAGAGAGGAGTTCCGTAGGCAAAGCGCGATGAATCGGTGCGATTGAGTTGTGGAGAAATAGTAGAGACAGTGCGATCTCGCGGTACTCCTCCGCCTTGACGACAACCGACTTGCGAATGGCAGCATCCGAGAGTCCTGAGAGCGAAGCACGATCTGCAGCAGGGATAGAGCGCGCGAAGGCAGGAAAGGGAAGGATGTCGACGGCGGCCATGAGTGTGGATATCCGCGTTCTCGTCGACTGGTGGGTGGTTGCACGATGTGAGGACCTCAACGGACTGTCGATGATGTGGCCAGGAGCAGAACTCGCGAACGGCGCCGACGCGGTCGCATGCGCAGGTGCTCAAGCGCTCAGGCCTGCGGCCCGACGAACCGCTGGCTTCGAGAAGCGCCGGTGACTGGCTACCTTACTAAAGTCCTTGACGACTTGGTGTGCTCACCATCCTACGAATGATTCCTCTTCGAAATTCGGCCATCGGACTACGTGTCCGACCCCGGATGTCTTTCTCATTAGTAGGCCTTTGGCGGCAGGTTTCTCGGTCTTTTCAATCCCTCATAACAACCTCTCAGACTTTCGTCAAGCAGCGGCGTTGATTGCATATGATCCCATGGCCCGCGGCTGCAGTGCCAGGCCCGCCGTACGTCCCAGTGGGACGATTGACTGACATTTGCATAAATGGCACTGAATGCGTGGATAAAAGGGACGTCGAGCACACAGGCTGCCCACCAGTCGACTGATCGAAGTCAAAGTACGCAACATTGAAGTTCTGGCCGTGAACTACGTACTCCCGTGTTCTCGTCGTGCGCTCCAGACCGTCTTTGAGCCTCGAAAGAGTTAAACGCAAGAGAGAGACGGTGCCAATATTTGGATCGGCGGCCCGGCGGCCCGGTGTCAACCTGAGCCTAGCCAGACGAGCGTGTATTCTGCGACTCGGTGCGCACTCAAGCACGAGCCTTCAAGTACTCATCGTGGACCGGCTCATCCCCACTCTGGCATGACCGGCGACCTGCCCACCAGGCTCCAACTCATGCCGCGAGTATCAGCGCATGCCCAGAATTCGATGCCGCTGTCGATGCGACTTCGAGCTCCGACGCGTCGCTCGTGCGAAGCCCCGGGCCCGGACTGGCTCAGTGGCGCGACGTGGCCCCTAGCGGGTGCTCCCGGCGAGCGAGCTCCTCTCCCGGCTCCTCTCCCAGCAAAGGGCATGATGAGAGAGCGAGAGACGATTGCATCCCATCCATCTCTTCCTTCCTGCCGCCAGGTGAGTACGCCGGCTCCTCGCGCCCGTCCCCTGCCAGCTCATAGGAGGGACCGCAGTACGTGAATAAGAATTGGTACCGTTCACTGAACGCACACCTATTTCCCCAGGGGAAATACAGGGCGCTTAAAGGATAGCATGTGACCACAGTTGGCGCCGGATAATATCAGGCAACCAAAATACAAAGCCCCAGGCGGGAATCGAACACGGACATCTAGATTCTAGAAGCACCCAGGCGCTGTACCAACTCCGCCATCTTCGCATTATAGTGAACCACATTTTGTACTTTATATCCCGTTGGCTAAGAATTCCCCCCTCCCCGACGTCCCCGAAGGCTTCCTGGCTGCCTGTGGGCGCTCACACGCCACCCCGATATATCCGGATACTGCACTCCGCCGGCGCCTCCCACCTCCGCCACCCGCGCTCATCGTTCCAGACAGCGAGCTCACTGTCCCTGCGCCCTGCCTCTCCCTCCTTTCCGTTTCCTTCCGTTCCTCTTGATATACCCTCGCATTTAAAATGCGCGCTCAATGGTACACAATACAGTAGCTACAGCGGGCTGGATGTGCCTGCACTGAGCCCTTACACCTCTCACGATGCGTGCAACATAGAAACATATGCACGCATTCCATTGATAGAATAACTTCTGCATAAAATGGTCGTATGTGATAGCTGGTTTAATCTTGAGGTAGCAGGTGAATAACTGCAGAGGTGGTGGTATGATGTCACATGTTATTTCAGAATGACATACTGTACAGTGATGTGACATACACATGTATCGCTGTATTCACCATTGAGCGCGCATTTTAAATGCGAGGATATCACAAAAAGAACGGAAGGAAACGGAGGGGAGGGAGAGGCAGGGCGCAGGGACAGTGAGCTCGCTGTCTGGCACAATGAGCACGGGTGGCGGAGGCGGGAGGCGCCGGCGGGGCGGCGAGCGCGGGGCGACAAGCGCCCGCAAGAAATTGGCCAGAGATGAAGTTTATTGCCCTGGATGTAAGATAACAGGACATGAAATATATAATGTAGCGCTTTGCACTTGGGTTGTGGCGTAGTTGGTAAAGCGTGCAGGTGTTCTATATGTGCGCATGTTCGACTCCGATCCAACGCGTTTGTATTTTGGTTGGCAGCTGGTCTCGGGCGCCAGATGGAGTCATGTGCTCCCCTTTAAGCGCCCCTTATTTCCCCCAGGGAAATTGGCCTGCGTTGGGCGAACGGTACGAATATATATTCACGTACTTACATACATGGCTCATAGATCTCTTCCATCCTGCCGTCAGCGCTCGTGACTGGAGCATCTTCGAGCTAGTACCCGCCTTCCCGCACCTGTTTCTTTTGCTTCCTACCCGAACTGCTTCTTCATGAATACCTCCATCGGCGTCCTCTTGGGCTCAATCCCCGCTGCAGACCGTGCTGCCTTGGCCGGGCTCTCTGACGACGCCGTGCGCGCATGGGTGTCCACCCACACTCAAAAGCAGCGCGACAACACGCTCGCCCTCCTCTCCATCTACAACGCCGTCGCGCCCATCCACCGCGCCTTCCCCACCGAAGTCCTCTCCGAAATCTTCTCACACTGCTGGCAAGACCCTCGAAGCATCGCCGTTGCCCATGTCTGCCGCCACTGGCGTTCAATCGCACTCAAGACTCCCCGCCTATGGGCCGCCGCCCTCACCGCGCCTGGGAAGTTGCTCTCCCAACCCCGGAAATGTAAAGCCAGCCGCCGCGAGTTTGCAGCCTTCGCCCTCGAACGGTCTTCTCCTCAGCCTCTCCGCCTCAAAGTTTACCACTTCCTCGATCACTTCGCCAACACTCTCGCCCCGCACGCTGCCCGTATCGTTGATCTGTATGTCCGCCTCGGCAATGCACCAAGTTTCTTCTTCAATGGATCGACCCTCTCCGCTCTATGCAAGTTCCTCGCCTCAGGCGCGCCCAACCTCGAAGTCCTCGGCATCACCTTTCCGGGCTACGTGGGGATGTACGAAGATTGGCTGCCGCCCCGCGAGGACCGAGACAACGACGACTTTGGCCGCACCGCCTCCGCCCGGGGCACTATCCAAGATGAGCTCGAGCATGATCTACGGGGGTGGAGCACAGACACACAAGCCCCTGTTCTCAACCCCGTAGCCCTCCCCCGCCTCCACACCCTCCGGTGCATCCCCATCGACCTCTTCCCGCACTTCACCACTCCCACACTCCGCGACGTGTGCGTCACCCCCGCGCAGTTCACCGACGACCACCTCGAAGACTTCGCTGAAGCGCTGACTCAGTGCCCCGCGCTTGAGCGCCTCAAGTTCTGGATAGTCGGCGGGGACTTCTCGGAGGATGAGGAGGAGGTGGATGATTATGATTCCGAAGGTGAGGCGGCCGATAGAGGTACGGTCGAGAGCTATCTCCGCAGTTTCGATTCGTCGAGATGGAGCCGCGTCGATCCCGTGACCGTGCCTGCCTTGCGACACGTCGTTCTCAACACCGGCATCTATCCCGCGTCGCACCTCTACCTCCGGTCCCTCTCCTGCCCCCTCCCCACCACCCTCGAAGTCACCACGAAAGACTTGAGGCTATCGGATCTAGTCAGTAGCCACGAGAAGCTTGGGGAATGCATCCAGAACGCGGACACGGCGCGCATCTGCAACTCCGACCGCGGCGACACGTGGATGTCCACCGAGCTCACCACCCTCAAGGACGGCGTCGCGCTCGCTCGATTCGCGCTCTCGATGTCGGAGTCGTACACGGGACCGGCCGCGCCGGACTGTGCCCCCGTGTTCCGCAAGCACGGCGCGCACATCACGTCGCTCGCCGTCCGTCAGAACGAAGACATGTATTTCGACACTCGCGACGTCCTCCACGCTCTCCCCAACCTCACCTCGCTCGACGTCGCCGGCGAATGCGTGCCGGGCGTCTTTCGGACGCTCCTTCGACGGGAACCCGAGTACGGGACGCCCCAGGACATCGACGGTCCGAACTGTCGGCGTCTGCGCACCCTCGTCGTCGCATTCCCTCGGGCGCGCGGCTCGGTCCAGAAGGTCATCGAAGCCAGCCCAGCGGGGTGGGAGGAGGCGATCGCGACGGGCGTCCGGGACGACTTGGCAGAGCTCGTCAAGATGCTGAGCGGCCGCGCGTCGAGCGGCCTTCGTCTGGAGCGGCTGGAGTGGCGGGTGGCGGAGTGGGACAAGGAGCTCCGGCTCGAGCCCCCTCCGACCGCGGTCGTCAGCACGTACGTGCCACCTCCGGCGCTGTACGACCAGGCGGAGCTCGAGACGTTGGTCGACGGGCCGGTCGTGTTCAGCGGAATCACCTACCAGGCCAATTTCCCGAAAGCCCCGAGAGCCCCGAGGCTGCCGAAATTTGATGATGAGGATATGGCCGCGTTACTGCACGAGTACCAAACGACTGGTGTACTTCCCCGCGGTGTGGATGGACTGTAGGCTCGGCAGCATATATGCTCACCCCGCTGCATGTGCACCAATCGAATGTGGCCACTACACATCATTCTAATTCCAAGTTGAGTGTAAAGACCACCCACATCTCACAGTACGCCTTCCAATGCACCCCTGGGATACGCTCGTGAATCAAACGACCCGACGTCCAATTGTCCGTCGACGGCATCGAGCAACTCTCGCTAGTCGCAGCACTCATCTCCATCTCCGTCTCGGTGTGCTCGCACGGCTCCTTGCCCCCGACCTTAAGCTCTGCCCGTCAAAGCGTCTCCAACCATGGCACGCCTATCGAGCATGCTCGCCAGCCTCGCACAGCGGGCGCGGACATGCGCGGTGGCGGCGACAGGTCGACGTTCTCCGCACCCACGTCCGGCGTCGGATCGGCGACTTCGTGCTGAATAGGCTGCTCGCAACCAGTCGTACAATGCATCCGTCCGTCCAGGCAACAACACACCCTCTACTCAGCAATCTCTTGGTACGTAAATCCCCCAAAGACGACCGGCCCGTCCACCAGCTTCTCGAGCTCCTCCTGATCAAACGACCCAGGGCCCGGAACGTACGTCCCCACCACCGCCGACGGCGGGAACTCCAGCCTCAACGTCGGGTCCCACTCCCGGTCCTCCCACTCCAGCCGCGCCAACCGGAGCCCCCGCTTCGCGCGGTGCTCCAGCGGCTTCACCATGGCCGCAACCCGTGCCGGGATCGTGCGGAGCACCGTCTCCTCCCACCCTGCCGGCCGCGCCCTCAGCGCCGCCCACGCCTTGCGCGGCGCCGACTGGTCGTCCCCGAGGTTCAGCCCGAACGCGATCTTGAGCGTCTTCAGCCGCGGGCACACGAGCGCGTCGGGAGCGTAGTCGTCGTCCAGGTGCTGGAGCGCCTTGATGACGCGGTGCGCGCGGGGGCCGGCGAGGTCGAGCGAGGTGAGGTACGGGAACGCGCAGAAGATCTCCGACGGACTGCTTTCGGCAGTCTTCGTCGCCCAGTTTTGGTGGAAGACGAGGTGAGTAATGTACGCGCCGGTGTCGAAGGTCTCGATGAGGTCGAACGAGGGGAGATAGGGTGTTGTGTCCGGCAGGTCGATGGAGAGAGTGAAGCGGATGAGCTCCTCGTCGTCCTTCGACGTTGAGACGACGGCGGTGGGAATCTCCCACTTGTCGTAAGAGTCGCAGATGTGGACGGTGCTTGCGGAGTGTATTCGAGATGGGATGAACGGAGTGTGGCGAGAAGGGAGGTTGACGAGGTTCAAAAGTTCATCTCCTATGAGGTTGACTCTGACGGAGGACGAAATGGAGATGAGATCCAGGTACTGTACCGCGTCTTCGTTGAAGTGGAGGTTGACGACCAACGTCCGCAGCGCCGGAAGGTCGACGGGATTGACCGCCCACCCAGGTGCGTCACGGTCTGGTTCCATCCGGGAACCTCTCTCCATGCACAGATCGAGGCGCGTGAGGTCCGGAGTGTTCTTCAACGCGTGAACGAAGCCCTCCAAGTGATGCGGGTTGAATACCGCGGGAGTGATGCACATGTCGCGTACGCTGGGGCAAGCAAAGTGAGACACGAGATCGATCGGAACACATCGAAGCGCCCGGAGACGAGGAGTGTCTGCGATCAGACCTTGAACACCTGAGCTCCAACTGATAAGTTCCTTGGAGAGGTTCCGTGGGTCGCCTTGATCGTCGGTGTCGTCGTGGCGGTGTCTTACTCCCGGCCCCAGCCACTCTCGGTACATCCCTGTATATCCTGGGAATGCGATACCGAGAACGTCGAGGTTGGGTACGCCGTTCGCAAGAAGTACGCATAGTGAGTTGAGCTGCGCGGCGCTTTGGAGGCGGACGAACAAATCGACGAGTCGGGAGGTGTGCGACGAGAGTGTCTGGGATAGACCATTGGGGAGAAAATGAATTTTGAGGCGCAGCGGTTCCGGACACGATAGTTCTATCGCAGTAGCCGCAAACGAGATGCGGCTCTCCTCCAGGTGTTGACACTGCGCCTCGATCCTGGCCTTGTTGAACGTGAGCTGGTTACCGGGAGCTGCGACGGCTTCGGCCCACAGTCGCGGGGTCTTGAGCGCTGTCGCGCGCCAGAGACGGCAGACGTGCATAAGGCGCACACTGCGCATGTCGTCCCAACAGTATGAAATGATTTCAGAGAGGAGTTCCGTTGGGAAAGCGCGATGAATCGGTGCGATTGAGTTGTGGAGAGATAGCAGAGAGAGTGCGATCTCGCGGTACTCCTCCGCCTTGGCTACGACCCATTCACGAATGGCATCGTCCGAAAGCCCTGAAAGTGAAGCACGATCGGCAGCAGGGATGGAGCGCGCGAAGGCAGGAAAGGGCAGGGTGTCGACGGTGGCCATGACTGTGTGTAGTCGTGGTCTCGTCAGCTGGGGGTGGTTGGACAATGTGAGAAGCTGACCGTACTGTTGATGATGTTGCCAGGAGCAATGCGCGAACCGCAGCGGCGCAGTCGCAGGTGCTCAGGCGCTCGATCCTGCGGGCCGACGCCCCGCCGGCGCCGTGAGCTTGAAGCGCCGGCGGTGACATGACCCTACTAAGTCCTCCGGCAACGACGTCGACCATCCTACGAATGATTCCTCTTCGAAATTCGGCCATCGGACTACGTGCCCGACCCCGGGTGTCTTGCTCATGGCCCTTTGTCGGTTGGTTTCTCGGTTTTTTCAAACCCGCATAGCAGCCTCTCAGACTTTCGTCAAACACTGGCATTGATTGCATATTCAATGGCGCGCCACCGGGGGTCCCCTGTGCTTCGCAACGGGACGACTGACTAACATTTTCATGGATGACACTGGATGCGTGGATAAAAGGCACATCGAGCACACAGGCTGCCTGACGGACATCCCCCCAGCCTCTGCAGTCCAACATGTCTTCGCCAAAACCCCACTTCACTCTTTTCTCAGCGGTTGGCCCGCCTCCCAATCCGTGGTGAGTTGTCTCTCTTGCGGACGTTTCTGCACGAAAACGAACGCTTTGTCGGAGGAAGGTGGTCATGATCCTTGAAGAGCTCGGCCTCGAGTACGAGCCCATCTACCTCAACACCGGGAAGGGCGACACGAAGCTGGAGTCGTACACGAAGCACAACCCAAACGGCCGCGTGCCCGCGCTTATCGACCACAAGAACAACGATTTTGTCGTTTGGTGCTCTGACGTCTCTGCACATCGCCCATACGTGCACGCTGACTCCGTTTCACAGGGAGTCTTGCGCCATCATCCAGTACCTCGTCGAGAAGTACGACACCGAGCGCAAGATCTCGTTCGCAGGTTTCGAAGACCACATTCTGCTCTCGCAGTGGCTCTTCTTCCAGGCATCCGGTCAAGGGTAGGCACCGTTCGCCTTAACCGTTCGCGTCCCTGCGCACGCTCACTCCATCGCATCGCACAGCCCGTACTTTGGCCAGGCCGGATGGTTCACTTACTTCCACTCCGAGAAGATCCCGAGCGCTGTCGAGCGGTACCGCAAAGAGATCGTGCGCGTCATCGGCGTGCTCGACGCGACGCTCGCGACGCGCCAGTGGCTCGTTGGCGACAAGCCGAGCGCGGCGGACCTGTCCTTCATTCCGTATGTGCTCCTGTCTGTGTGCAACGACGTGTGGCTCACATCGCTGGGCTGGCAGGTGGAACTACTTCGTGGTAAAATACCTTCTTGCCGGCTGGGACGGGCTGAAGGTAGATGAGTTCCCGCATTTCAGGAGGTGCGTCGCGATTGTTGTTGCTGTTCGTTGGAAGTCACCTAACGATAACTAGATGGCACAACGAGCTTCTCGCAAGGCCGGCAGTAGCGAAGGCCATCGCGATGTGGGAGGAGAAACGTAGCGGTTAAAGTAGAGACGATACTAGCGACGAGGTTTCGATGTGTCAGGAAGTTTCCTCCGTTCACTCTATTTGCAGGCATCGTTTGTCGCCGCCACATCGGTGCCGTCATGCTAGTATCAGGGCGACGTTTTTTGGAATGGATGCATTCGTTCGCGTTACTACTGATCATGCAGTGCGCGCGGTCCGAGCACGCGTGACGTTTGCGATATCATAGAGTCCGCTGTCCAACGCGTCGCCTCGCGAGTGGGGTGTAATCTATGTAACCTGTTGCATACGGGTTACTAATCCAAGTCTTGATGCATGCACAGGACGCGCCAGGAGAAGATAGAAGAATCTGGTTACTTTGACCCACTATACTGTAGGTACAGGACATACCCGCGCGAGCAGTACGAAGTATAGCAAAGAAGATGACTAAGTCCGTGCATCCCCAATAAGTAGTCTCCTTATCTATCTGGATCTCCAGGAGGCGAGCCTGCTCGCGTAGAGTGCGAGGCTGACGGCGGGACGCGCCCGGTGGGTCTTGCGGAGTCGACTCCAGCGTCGTGTGCGCGCTCAGGCAGCACGGACGAGGACGGCGTTGATGCTGCGGGACAGCGTCGACCGCGGACTTGACTTGCGTGCAGGCGATGGTCGCCGCGCGAGTGTATGTTTGAAGGAAGGGGGCTGGGCTGGCTCGGGGACGACGCCCGCGAGCGGCGCGCGCGCTCACGGCTTGAAGTACTTCTTCAGGCCGCCCTTCGTTGACGTCTTCTTCTGCCCGTTGGAGGGACGGAGAACGTGCCGTGCCTCGTCGTATAGCCCGTAGGTGTCGCGCGGCGACTGGGCGGAGCCAAAGAGCGCGAATGCGTTCGGTGCCGCGGGGGCCGCGAAGGAGTAGGTGTCGACGGTGGTGTAGGCCATTGCGGATGAGGTGGACTCGAGGATGTGTGCGAGTGTATATGCGAGTGGGGGTCGAGTGGACGCTGGACGATGCGCAGGATGATGACTACTTACCCTCCGCTGTCCGTGTCTTAAGTACACACTTGCTCACGAGTCACGACGGATTGCTCCTGGATTGCTTCTGGACGCGAACGATAGGCAATCGCGCAGCACCCACAGGAAGTTTCCATTCCGGGCAAGTGTTGGAGGCGGACCAAACAAGTGCACAAAGTGTCGTCCACGGTGGCCGTGTCGCCAGGATACCTAGAGCACGTAAGAGGGAGAAACACTAGGGTAGCAGGGAGGAGAGAGACGTCGACAATGAAGAGTGCAAGAAAGCGCCCGCTGGCGCCTGACGTGTGTTTGGCAATATTTGGCTTGCAGGTGCGCAAACAATCTGGCGCCAATTCAGGCGCAGAGAGAGAATAGGCGTCTTCCGTCAACTTCCTCTCCTCCGTTCCCAGTCACTATACACAACATGCTTGCCAACATCAATATCGAATCGTCCGTGAACCCTTGGTGTATCCGACGTCACTATTGATCATGCATGATATCACAATTAAACCCGCTCAAAGGTAACGTGGTGCTCTGCTTATTTGGGAAGTCCGAACTGCAGACTCTCTCATGGACTACTTCGTGACTGCACTCCGCATGTGCCTCTTCTCGTAATGGCGGACTAAATGTACATAAACACTTCCGTTTCATCCGCGTCTCGCAACGCTAGAGGTGTGGATAAATGCCCGACAGCGGGTTCGGTTTCACCACCCTGCACCCACCATGCTCTCTTCGTGCCACTTCACCCTCTACTCTGCCATTGGCCTCGCTCCAAACCCATGGTGAGCTTTGTCCGCCGTTCATACAACTGACCGCGTCTAACACATGCACATCTAACAGGAAAGTGGTCATAATTCTCGAAGAACTCGGCCTCGAGTACGAGTCCATCTACCTCGACACCGGCAAGGGCGACCAGAAGCTGGAGTCGCACACGAAGCACAACCCGAACGGCCGCGTGCCGACTCTCATCGACTACAAGAACGACGAGTTTGTCGTCTGGTACGATCGCCCTGCACACGGCGTCCCTCGTGAGGCGATCGTGTTGATGCTGTCCAACAGGGAGTCCTGCGCCATCGTCCAGTACCTCATCGAGAAGTATGACACCGAGCACAAGATTTCCTTCGCCGGGCTCGAAGACCGGATCCTGCTCTCCCAATGGCTGTTCTTCCAAGCCTCGGGCCAAGGGCAGGTGCCGTTCACACTCCGTGTCGCCACATGTCCTCACCCGTCGTGTCCCGCAGCCCGTATTTCGGCCAGGCCGGATGGTTCACGTTCTACCACCACGAAACGGTCCCAAGCGCCATCGAGCGGTACCGCAACGAGATCGTGCGCGTCATCGGCGTGCTCGACTCCACCCTCGCGACGCGCCAGTGGCTCGTCGGCGACAAACCGAGCGCGCGGACCTAGCGTTGGTCGTGTGCGTAACCCGGACGTCTTCGAAAGCGTGCGCGACTGACCGGGTTGTACGTAGGTGGAACCGCGCGGCGATCGGCTACGCGCTTCAAGTGGGCTGGGACGGCTTGAACGTGGACGAGTTCCCACATTTTAAGAGGTGCGTCGCACTTCGGCGTACTCGCGGTGCTAGGCCGACCCTACCGCAGATGGCACAACGAGCTTCTCGCTCGGCCGGCCGTGGCTAAGACTATCGCGACGTGGGATAAGAAGGTATAACTTCGAGAGCACTTGCGAAGCTAGCGGTCGACAATCGAGCGTCTAAATAGAGTGATCGCAACGATCCTCAGCTATTTGCATATCTCATAATACGCAGTCGAGTATCACGAAGGTTGCGTTGGATCGTAGCACCACAAACATACACACAACAGATTACTCGGACACAGCATGCTTCCAGAGACGACGATGTGAACGACAGTGACAGTGTAGTATGACAGACAGACAACGTCCAACGGGGGGAGGTGATACAGATCTAAGAGGACAGGATGACGACAGGTGATACGGGCATGTGGACGTGCGAGGGGCATGAATGCAAGAATGGCGAGGGGCGTGGTGCTAGATGGGGAGGGGGTGAGGAGGCACGGGGAACGCTATGAGGTGATGCCGAGCCCAGCGAGCTCCTTCCTGATCTCCGCCTCCGTGTCGATCTTCTTGAGCTGCGTCGCCTCGAGCCGCTCGCCCTTCTGCTGCTTCTCCTTGAGCTCGTCGATCGCCTTGAGCTGCAGCCCGCCATCAGCGACATGTTCCCGCATGGACCAAGCACACGTACCTTCTTGCTCAAGTTCCTGACCTTCTTCGCAGTCGGATCCAACCCGCCGTCCCCTCCGGCGTTGGAGGTACCGACGCCGCGTCGTTGCCGCCGCCTCGCGCCGTTTCCGTTCGCGTCGCCATTTCCGTTCACCGCTGGTCCGTCACCGTTCGTCGCGAGCGTAATGTCGATCGACGGCCGACCCGCATCCGCATCCCGCTCTCTTCTGCCGCCCTCCTTTCCCTCGCCGCCCTTCTCCTTCCCCCCTTGCGTTTGCGTCCCCGCTTCTCCGGGTCGCCCTGCGCGTGCCGCACGGGAGGGCGACGTCGGTGCCCCGGGCACGTGTCTCCGTCCGTTCTGGAAGCGACCACCTGGTGCAGGGCTGCGGCTGAACCGGCCGTTGGGCGTCGACTGTCCGCTCGGCGTGTCGTCTTCGCGCTTGTATGCGTGCGAGGCTTCAAGACCCCGCGCGCCAGGGGGCCGGTACGCCCCAGCAGGCTTCGTCGGAGTAAGTTTCGCGACGGTGACGTGCTCGAGCACACTGGCCGAGGGGGCAGGGGCGGCCGGGATCGCCTGCGGGAACGCGGGCACGGCATCGACGGGGGTTGGCCTCCACGAGGTCTGGTAGAGCTCATCGCAATGCTGGATGTGAACGAGCGGGCCGGTACAATGCCAGATTTTGATGCCATTGTCGACTCGGAGGCGAGGGGAGAGCGTCGCGGTGAGTAGGAAGCGGCCGTCGGGCGACCACTCGCAGTGGGAGGTGTTGGAGGCGTCGATGGTGGTGAGCTTCGTGAGTGTCCGGCGGTCGTAGATGTCGACCTTGCCCGCGAGGTTGCCAAACCCAGCGAGCGCCATCAGTCGACCCTGGGGGTTGAAAGCGATAAAGTTGCAGAACGCAGTGCCGAAGTCGTGGAGGCTGCGCGCGCGCTGATCGAACAGCATCGTCTTGGCCGGCATGACTGCATATACGCGGTAAGAATCCGGTCCTTCCGCAAAAGGAGGAGCTTACAGCCATAGACGACCGAGAACTCTTTCGAGTTGGGACTCCAGGTGAAGTCGTGGACCGGGCCCTCCTTGTCCAGTGTCACCCGACAGTCGAAGTTGCCTGCCGCGCTGAGCAGGTACAGGCCACCGGTTTCACCGTAGTAGCTTTTGTTGGCCTGGTCGACGTCGGTTTGTGTGAGTACGAGGACCTGGGTGCCAAGCGTGTTCCATTTGACCTGGCCACGCTGTGCCTTGAAGAAGGTTTTCTGGCAAGTCGGTTGCGCGGAGAGAGCCAGCAGACTGTACACCTTGACGGTAGCCGGTTGACCCTGCATTACGAATTGTCAACATGATGCCCTCGTGAGTGAAAGCACGTGGACGGGAGTGAGCCTCCATCGGCCATACGTCTAGGGAGGCGCATATACGAGGGTAGGGCAAGGGGTGTATACACAAGCAAGGAGATCGCCGACACACCTTTTTCTCCGCAAAGAAAACGGCCACGGACGGGTTCAGCCCAGGGCTGAGGGTGACAGAGGTCGCACCCTCGACCTTGAGCTTGTCGACCACGCCCTTGGACCACTCCGCGGGGCGGAAGACCTGGATCTCGGAGCCCACCAAGCGAATGGCGTGCGATTCAGAGATCGTATATTGGAGATCCCAGCCATCCTGGCTCTTCTGGGTGAAGGCGAGGAGCTCCTCGCCGGTAGAGGCTGAGAAGATGCGGAGGTTCTTGTACTGGGAGCCGTCCTCGAGCTTTTGGGGCCTCTCCCAGATGGAGAGGTACGTGCCGCGGGGGGAGAAGTTGATATCAACAACGTTAGGCAGCTGGAGGTCCTGGACGAGCTGCGCGCCCTCGGCCTGGAAGATGCGGACGCCAGTGGGGATGGCGTAGGCGAAGAGGCGGCCATCGGCGCTGTACTGGTACGTCCGGGCGGCGACCTCGGGGGCCTGGAAGCTGTCGATGGCGTCGTAGCTGGGGCTCCCACCGACGAGACCGAACGACTTCTGCGCGCGGACTGTGCGGGCGGGGGTCAGCGCGGGGGGCGGGGACTCGGGGCGGGGACTGACAAGCGTACTGCTGGGACTGCTGGGAGGCCATGGTGCGTGCAAGAGGCGGCGAGAGAAGCAAGTTAATGCCTCAGACGGGGCGGGCGGTGAGGGCGAGGTCGAAAGCGTTCACTCTGCTGATTTCCATCTCGAAAAATGGTCTACGGCCGCTGAGATAAGCCTCCACAGGGTTAGGGCTTGTGGCCCCGCGTCACTCGCGGTTGTCGCGGCGCGCGTTCTGCTCGCCGCTCCCACCATCCTGGTTGTCCTCCACTATCTCTCCCTCTAGACGTGCTTCACCATGGGCTCCGGATCTGACCCCCTCCTGCTACTGCGTAAGGCTATCAAGGCTAAGAAGACCATCACCTACAAGAATGCTCGGCGTCCACATCCTCGTTCCCCGAGGCCACCCATCTCGCGCTCTCCTCCTCGATTACCGTCCCTAAGACCGCCCCTACAAGACTACGGCGACCAGGCTCCACTTCAACCGACCCCCAGAGCAACCCGAATGACTTTGTCTCCACGGGCGCGGTCTACCTCGCATGGCTTCTACGCGATGTGTCCGTAGCGGAGTACATGAAGCAAGTTCGGGAGAATGGCCTACCGACAGGTTTCGTCAGTGTAACGGAGAGGAAGAATGTCGTCGACTGGCTGGAGGACAAGACACAAAACCTCCCCAACCTGGTATCTGCTGAACGTGAGTATCTCACTTCAAGTGGCTCGTTTACCCTGTTTGAGAGCATATACCTGTTCTACGCACGCCTGCCGCCCATGATACACAGAGTGTTCGAATGCGCATCCTGTCGTTCTTCGTTTGTGTCACCGCGCGGCAGAACAGATGGTTGCGCATAATCTTTTGCATTTACCTACTATAGGCTGGTAGCCATAACTGCAGTGCGCTCACCCGCCCACAGCTGTTTCTACAACACCGCCCGGTACACCTCCCCAAGTCCGAGGAGGAGCACCCCTGCCGACCCCTTCGTCTTCTCATCGGATATCTGAGTCGACTTCAAGTGCTTTGAAGCGAAGATATGTCGCGGACACGGCCGATATTGAAGTGGTCAAGAAGATCAAGCAGAACGAGATTGAGCTCCAGGACCGGAACACGGTTCTCCGGGGAATCAAGCCAAACGTGAGCGGCCCTCGCATCGTATGAGTTCGTTCCAGTCGGTTTACCTCTGTCCTAGAATTTCCACTCCCTCAAGGAGTCGTTCGCAGAGAGACTCAAGAAGCTCAAAGAAGGGAGCAAGGGTGGCGCTTCCTTGTCGGCGTCCTCTAGCGGTGGTGAGTTTCTCTCCGCATGCCTCTGGAGCATTAGCTAATTTATATGTGAAGATCTCAAGATGCAGCCCAAGAAAGCCAGTGAGTGATCCGATATGCATTCAGATGACATACATTAACCAAATTTGCAGAGAACTACTACCCCATCATCATGATCTCCTCGTCACCTACATCCCTTGTCACGATGCACAACGTAAAAAAATTCCTCTCAGAGGCCGTGTTCGAGCCCTCACAAGACGCGCGAGCACGTGCGACCTCAGAGGGAAACGCGCGCCCTGAGGACATGATTCCCATCTACCGGAAGCGTACGATAATTGACTCTTCTGGGCGTGAGACCGAAATCCAGGCCAGGTCTGTTCCCCCACGCCTTCTCTTTTTAATCACTAGCGCTGATTACATACACACGATTCCTAGATACTTCGTTGTCGACAGCACGGAAGCACTTGCCAAGTTCGGGCCCGACGCGTGGGACCGTGTGGTATGCGTTATGACCACGGGTCAAGCTTGGCAGTTTAGACCATACAAGTGGACCGAGCCGAAAGCCCTGTTCCACCACGGTACGCTGCACCACGCGACATCTCGGAGATCTGCGAGCGAGGCGGCTGACTAGTGGCTGCGCAGTCAAAGGGATCTACTTTACGTGGACGAACGACCCTCAGAACACGAAGATCAAGGACTGGAATGTCACCGAGCTTAAGGTGTGTCCCTATTCTATCGACCGCGCCGCTGGTGGCTGACTCTTCTCAAGATCGATCCACACCGCCGCCACGTGGACAAATCCGTTGTGGCCCATTTCTGGAGGATTCTGGATCAGTGGACGAGCGCAAACAAACCATCACTCGTGCAGGGTTAACCCCGCTCCCACTCGCCATCGCTGTGCTTCTGTGTTTTGCTGATTGTATTGTTTAGTACCCGAGTAATCGCTACGTTTGGATTCTGCTGTGACATCCCATCACACCGCATCGACGATCGAGATCCGCCGCGCGCCCGTGATAATGTTATTCAAGAGCAAACATACCCTTCCGGAGCTCTCCTCCAGACACAGGTTCACCAGATGCTCCGCCGGATCCAGCTCGACGCTGAACGACCCCAGTCTCCCCGCGTGGCCGAGCTCCAGCCCGTCAATGTCGTCATCTCCATCCCCACCGTCGAGCACCCCGAGTACGCTGAGCGGGAGGGAATATGTCTGGAACCGGACGTACATCGACCCGTTCCGCGCCTCGGTGCAGTCCCATATCGCCCGTCGGAGCCCGACTGCCCCCAGACCCATGCACCCCACCTCAGCAGCGAGCGAGAACGGGTACGGGACCTCGCGGTGCGCTATGGCTGGCTCAGGTGCCGCGTCGCCCCCGTGCCCGCCGCGGACGGTGAGGATGTGGAGGGCGTGCGGTCCGGCAACGACAAGCGGCCGCGTGCCCCAGGTGGCGGGGCTGATGCGGTAGATGCCCGCGCCGACGTCGCACTCCCGGCTCCAGAGCGGGCGCACGGCGTGCACCGAGGGCTCCCGTGCGGCCTCCGTGCCCTCGGGATCCGCGCGTTCGAGCGGGGGGATGGCGTAGACGGCCAGCCCGGCGTGGTACGCGAGCAGGAGGAGCCTCTCGGAGAGCACGGAGATGGTGAAGTCCTCGTCCGCCTGGCCGGTGGCCGCGCCGGCCGGGATGTCAGGTGAGTGGATGACGTCCTCAGCGGAGATGACTGCCCTGGCGCGGAAGCGAGGAACGAGCGACTGAGACAGGTGCTAGTCTACGGCGGGAGGAGCGGCGGAGAGCAGACGCCCACGGCTTGCCTCCAACCACGACGCTCCTCCCGCCGCATCGTCCGCCTCCTTCCTCCCTCTCTCCTCCATCGCCTTTCCTCCGTCAGCTCGGCAAGTTCTTTCGACCCTTTGATCATGCCCCTCTCGGACGATCAGCAGAATGCGATCCTCGGGATCTTGGGTCCGCCTCCCCCTGATCCAGGCAACGAGGTTGCCCCTGACTACGCCGCGGACCAACATCAAGTTGAACGCCAAGATCTCATCGACCACAGGACCTGCGCGGACCATGCTGGCGCTGCGGCCATGCTCCGCACCGTTTGGACTTTGGGCAAGCCGGCACGCCAGGCTGCGTGGGACGACTATCAGGCACGTCTCGCTCTCCTCGAGGATCTCGACACCTTGCAGCCCCCCTCCCGTGGACCCTCCCCACCCCCTGAAGGCCCTCCCGCTCGCTCCCGATCCCGCGGGCGTACCCGGACACGCACAGGGCCGACGACCAATGCCATGGGCTCGACGTTCGACAGCACGTTGCCCGTGATCGACACCCTCGACAACCCTTCCTCGTTCGCCATTGCGCAACTCGCGAAAGGCGACTACGTCTTCATGTGGTATTTCTCGGCAGATGGGATGAGGGACCAGGGAGGCCAACGCTTCGCTCAAGCGATCGGCCAGTCAACGTTCAGCCTCGAAGGAACCCTCGACACCACAACCAACACCGTCAACTGGTCCCGAGCCCCGACTGGGGCGAAGCGCAGCACCAACGAAGTTCGCGACGCCGACATCACCTTTGAACAGTTCGTCGAGGCCAAGCACACCCTCTGCGCACAGTATGAGGCTGCAGTCGCCGATGGCAAGCGCGTCTACTCTGATCAGTTCGTACGCATGTGCCGGAAGCTTTTTGGGTTCGTCGAGCAGCACAGCCTGCGCAAGCACGACCCTGCTTTGGGCTGGAAAGCCTTGGCGTCGTACGTCGAACGGGTTCGCATCAATATCCATCAACGGCTGGTCCGGAAGGAGCCACTCCCAGACTTCGGTGTCCTCGACGATCGCCGCATCGAGACCATTCACCGCGAGCTGTCCATCCAGCAGATGGCATCCATGCGGGCCGCACATCTCCAAGAGCTAGAGTCCGTGCGAAGCTCTTCTACTTCGCGCTCGCGCTACAGCTCCCCCACCCCAGGGCAGTCACACGGTCCCAAAACTCGCTCCACACGAGGGGCCGAGGCATCCTCTTCCGCCGGCACCTCGGTTTTTGTCCCCGGCCACGCGTCCTCGACCAGCGCGTGCGCCGTGTGTCTCGGTCGACACCACCACAACGCTTCTACCTGCGCCGCAACCGAGCTGCACCACGCCCCCGGCACACCCACGTTCGTCAAGCGTGGGGCGGATGGCCGCGGTTTCTCCACCTCCAGCGGTGGTCAGATCTGCCTCCGCTACAACCTGCCGAAAGGATGCCCGAACAAGGACCCTTCCAAGTGCCGACCCCACGTCTGCAGTGGTTGCGGGTCAACCGCTCACTCCGCTCAGTCTTGCCATCTGTCACGTGCGCCAACACAACAGTAGCCCACTCAATGCAGACGAGTGGGAGCGGGAACTCCGTACCTTCGGACTCCTCGACCGCTACCCCACGCTGCCTCTCTCAATTCGGCAGGGGTTTATCGTCGGCATTCCAACAATCTCCATGCAGTTCACACCACCTAATCGCCCCTCGGTCATCGACCACGCCAACCACCTGGAGGAAATCGTGAGCAAAGAGCGCAGGCTCGGCCGTTACCTTGGACCATACACCTCTGACGAAATCCAATCCGTTCTCGGCCCCTTTCAAACGTCCCCTCTGTCCATCATCCCTAAACCGCACAAGCCAAACTCGTTCCGCCTCATCCAGAATTTCTCCTTCCCACACGAGCCCCGCAACGGTGTCTCCTCGATCAACTCGGCCATGGACGCCAGCTCATATCCTTGCACCTGGGGTACGTTCTTCGCTGTCGCGCTCATGTATGCCATGCTTCCCCGGGGTCACAAGCCGCTGTCCGTGACGTCCGCGATGCGTATCGAACTATCCCTTTACACCACTCGCAGCTCGCAGGCACTGTTGTCCGCACAGGTGACAACTCCTTTGAGGTGGACACCTGCGCAGCATTCGGGTTATGCTCTTCCGGGGGGGTTTATGGTTTTGTTGCCGACATTGCCTGCGAGATTTTTCGCGCCCACGGCCTTGGCCCTGTCCTTCATTGGGTCGATGACCACTTCTGGGCACGAGTTCTTGTGTCCTGGCTGGCTGAAGCAAACATGCGCCGCGCCGCTGCGCGTGACCGCATCCGGAGTCGAGGCGCCCGTCGGACGCGAGGGGGACGTCTCTGGTGGTCAGGGGATGCGCTCCCTGATGGTCGCATCGAGGAATTCATCGAGGACTTCTGCTGCCCACTCCGGGATCATTCCACATCTTCCCTTCGCCCTGACGCTGATGCGTCCTATGCCTACTCCTTCGCAGACATTGATCGCGTGTCGCTTCCACTCGGTTATGTCTGGGCGCCGGAGAAAGACCAGCTTTGGTCGTCCACACTGGACTATACCGGCCTGTCCTACGATTTCGCTCGTGGCACTGTCGCTCTCCAGCCTTCAAAGCGGGACAAATATCTCACCGTGCTGGACCTTTTCCTGGCCTCCCCTGCGCCGGCTCACAACCTCGACGCCATCCAGAGCCTCTATGGCAAGCTCAATTTTGCATGCTCCACAATTCCTGATGGACGCGCTTACCTTACGGGACTGGAGGTCGCAATTTCCAACGGATCTGACCGTCCTCACGTCGCACGGCACCTCCCCAGATTCGCGCTCGACGACCTCCGATGGTGGCATGCTCGACTTCTATACGGCAACATCGAGCGTCCAATCCCTGTCCCGGTCGAGGTCTTTGACCTCCTCGCATACTCCGATGCATCCTCCGGTGTCGGAATCGGGATCGTCATCCAAGGCCGTTGGCGTGCATGGAGAGTCCTTCCCGACTGGAAGCAAGACGGCCGTGACATCCAATGGCTCGAAGCCGTCGGGTTCGAACTACTCGTTCTTGGACTTCTACAGCTCCCCGACCTCCCACCCAACGTGGCCGCCCATGGTGACAACACAGCCGTCATCGGCGGATGGCGCAAAGGACGCCAAGCGAACCGCTGGGTCAATGCATGTTTCCGCCGACTCAATGTTGTCCTTGCAGCCGCACGTGTCGCGATCCATGCGCGCTACGTTGCCAGCGCTGCGAACCCTGCCGACGACCCGTCTCGTGGAATCTACGGCCCAACTAGCCTCCTCCTGCCACCCATCCGACTCCCCGACGCGGTCTCTAGCTTCTTCGCCGACTGGAACGCCCCGCCGCAACCCTCAGAGCTCGCCGCACCAGCGCACGCACTCCCCAAACCTCCACGGGACCCCGCCCGCGCGCTCGACGCTGACCGTGCAAGCTCCGAGCGCACTGCCCACATCCTCGTCAACAGCCCTGCCTTCTACTGGGACGAACTCAACGCGTTTTAATCGTGTCCTTCCACCTCGCCCTCACGTGTTCCCTCGGCCCTACGCCCCCGACCTGTCTCCTCGCCCTCATCCATGCCGTCCACATGTCGCTGCCAGTTCGCGACTGACCGCCTGGTCCCCATCCACGTCATCTCTGGTGGTCACCGACGGGCCCGTGATAAGCCCACCTCGTGCGGTTGACGTGCTTTCGCGCGCATTCGACACCTCTACGGCGACTACCTACGGCTCCGGTCTTCTACTGTTCCACATCTGGGCTGACACCCACGACGTACCTGAGCATTTGCGCGGTCCCATACCTGAGCCAGTCCTCCTCGATTTCCTCCAATCACTCATTGGCTCGTACTCCAAGTCCGCTGTCCGCAACACGTTCCATGGCATCGAAGCTTGGCACAAGATCTGGCAACTCCCATTCTCGTTTGACTCTCAGACCCGCTCGCTGCTCCTCCGCTCCGCAGAAGACTCTGCCCCAAGCACCTCGTCTAAGTCCCGCCGTGATCCTTTCTTACTTGAACACCTCGCCCGCTTGTTCCCTCTGTTCGACACCAGCTCGTCCCTCGACCTTGCCTGCCGCGCTGCACTTTCAACAATCTTCTGGGCAACCGCTCGTAACGGCGAGTTCCTACTACAAAGCCAGAAATCTTTCCACCCGAAAAACCACGTGCAGCTCTCTAACGTCTCTTTCAACACGCGAGATGGTGGCGTTATCGTATGCACCATACACCTCCCACACACAAAGACCCATCGTTTCGACGGTGAGGATGTTTATTTTGCCTCCCAACCCATGCACGATCCGGTCCGCGCCCTCCGTGAACACATCGCCTTCAACAAGCCCGGAAAGGGTGAAGCACTCTTCTCACACACCATCCGCAGCTCCCGTCGCCCGCTCACGCTCCGGGCCTTCACGGTGCGAATCCGTGCTCTCGCCGCGGAGTTCAACTTCGGCACCCCTTCCGGCCACAGCCTGCGCATTGGCTCCCTCCTCTGCTACGCCCTCAACGGTTTCTCTCTCGCCGATTGCATGGTCAAGGGGCGCTGGCACTCTCAATCCTCTTTCCAGCTCTACCTGCGCAAGCACGCAGACGTCCTCCAGCCCCACCTTGTTGTGCTGCCACACGTGTGGGACGACATCCAGCGCGCGATGATGCAGGTCCGTTGTCCCTCTGCTCCTGTCTTCTTTGGGAGTCGTCAGCCTCGCCCGACGCGTCGCGCCGCTCCTGCCCCGTAATGGGACTCGTAGCTCACCCTCCTCTCTCACAGAGCCAAGCTCAGGTTGTGCCTCAGAGCACCGCGAGCTCAGCGGAGCCCGCGCACGCCGCGCGCGGGGATCTCAGCCACGCGCGCTAACACGCGCCGCGTGCGCGCTGCCGCAGAGCACGCGATCCGCTCTTGTCCCATTTGGTGTCCTTCCCACTGTACTACTACCACGAAATACATTTCGCCCGCGCACTAGCTGGCGCGTCCACCATAGAGCGTCCAGAGCCGGACGCCGTAGATGACTGCCCTGGCGCGGAAGCGAGGAACGAGCGACTGAGACAGGTGCTAGTCTACGGCGGGAGGAGCGGCGGAGAGCAGACGCCCACGGCTTGCCTCCAACCACGACGCTCCTCCCGCCGCATCGTCCGCCTCCTTCCTCCCTCTCTCCTCCATCGCCTTTCCTCCGTCAGCTCGGCAAGTTCTTTCGACCCTCCCACCCTCTGCCTTCTCTTTGTTTTGTCTCTGCCCTTTTTGTTTGGCAGGCCTTTGCTTTGCCCTGTGTTCGGGACTCGTAGCTCACCCTCCTCTCTCACAGAGCCAAGCTCAGGTTGTGCCTCAGAGCACCGCGAGCTCAGCGGAGCCCGCGCACGCCGCGCGCGGGGATCTCAGCCACGCGCGCTAACACGCGCCGCGTGCGCGCTGCCGCAGAGCACGCGATCCGCTCTTGTCCCATTTGGTGTCCTTCCCACTGTACTACTACCACGAAATACATTTCGCCCGCGCACTAGCTGGCGCGTCCACCATAGAGCGTCCAGAGCCGGACGCCGTAGACGGAGATCGGGCGGGCACGTACCGACCAGGGCCCGATGTTCAGCGCCAGCTGCGGCCTGGAGGCGCCGATGCGGCAGACGTGGAGGACCATGTCGCCCCCGCCGCTCTCGAGGCCGTAGACGAGGAGGCGGCCGCCGGACGCGCAGCACCACACGGAGCCGGTGACGGACACCCTGCCCATCGGCACGAGCGTGGGCGCGGGGCCCGTCGTGGCGACGTGGTACGCGTATATGTTGCACTGGCTGCGGGGCGTTAGCGTGGGCGCACGACGTGGGCGACCCACTCACTTGTACCGGACGCCCATCTGGAGGATGATGAGGTCTTCGTGCTCGCCAGAAAGCGACAGGCGGGAGCTCAGGTAGAAGACAGACTCGTCCTCGGTCGGCGCGTGGGCGAACGTCGCGGTGGGCTGAGGCGCCCCGAGCTCGTGCAGCTGCAGCGAGCCGTCGTGGCGGACGATGACGAGCCACGTTCCGCCCGCGACGAGGCTGACGTGCTCGACAGTGCGGTCGCAGTGGTAATCCGTGACCTGGCGGGGGCGGTACTCGGGCGCGTGCCAGAGGCGGTCCAGCCGAGCCGAGCGCAGGACGGACGCGCGGAGCTCGTCGGGGCCCATCGTGGGCAGCCTGCGGAAGAGCTGCGGCTGGGGGAAGCGGGCGAGGATGCGGAGAAGGGCGCGGTGCCAGATCGTGCGGTCCCCCATGAGTTCTTGCAGCGCACGGCACGTCTGGGGGGAGTGAGGAGGGTGACGGGGCGTCGGTGAGGAGCACAGCGTGCTTACCGCGCAGACCCGAACGACGTCGCGGACACTGAGGAGGCGGAAGATGGAGAGCTGGACATCGTAGGGCAGCCGATGCATGGGGTCTTCCTGTAGCCGTCGGGCTGTCGGCGTGCCCTGCGGGGAGGCGGAGGAGGAGGCGGAGGCAGGAGGACGGCGGGGGAGTGTGCGTTTATCTGGACTATCAGCCGCTCGAAATCCGACAATCGTTGGGCGTGGCCGTCCCACGGCGGGACATGACCCCACGGCGAGGAAGAGCACTCTCCGCGGCCATGAGCCCAGACCGATGACGACGTCGCCGACAGGGCAGCCAGTGGCAGCGTGCCGGCGGACCATGGCAGGCATGTGGGAAGCTGTGGAGTGGGCTTGTTCCGGGATGGCTTGTGAGGCCCAGCACTCCGTTTGGGAAAGGTCCGGAACGCGCACATGCCGTCGACGGGCCCATTTACCAACATCCTCGCGCGAAAAAGCGAGTCTTGTCCAGGAACCACGGAAGGCCAGGATAACCTTTCTTGCCTCGGGTGTTTCACGCGCGGCAAGTGCCGTGTCCTTTCCGCCCTGGCGTGCGCTTCTATCTTTGCGGCCCGGAGGCCTAAACTGTTCTTTGCGCGTGGTCAGCCTCGTGCAGTGGGCGGCTTTCGCCAGGGGGTTCAATTGCGCCCTGGGGTTATGGGAATTTAACACGAATCGAGTCGGACGATGGGGTCATGGGTTACGCCCTATCTGAGGGCCGCGACAACTGTCAGGGGATTCAAACGAGGGGAGGAGCTTCCTGAAGAAGGGGCGAAGTTATGAACCAGTGCGGCCGACTCGGATGAACGCACCTTGCCGATGTTGGCTCGGAGGCGACCTTGGGAGCCGGATTGTCCAGTGCTCGAGGCAAAGGATAGTAAGCATCGAGCCCGGTGTTTTTTTTTGACTTTGATAATCTGCACAAATTGGTGTCGGTCAGCGCGAATTCTGCAACCAGCTGCTTGTGAACACTGGTTACCACCTGCCATGGATCGACAGTGTTGGTTACCTATGGTTGAGGCTGGTTGAGGCAGCGACTGTAAGCAGTCGGAGTGATGCAAGACTGATGAACGATACGCCGCTTACCTCTTTGTGAAGACCGCAGTACATAAGTAGTTGTGCTGTTCAAGTTTGGACTTGCATTGTCCTGAGAAAGCAAGAATGGCCCGGCGGGATACGAATTATGGGGCTAGCGCGGGGAGATAAGCCCACCCAAAAGGCAGATAAGGCCCAGCTTCGCACGTTTTGATGACTGATCGGCCGCCCTGGAGGTATATATTCTCCCACCCGGCTTCAACGCGACGTCCAGCGAGTCCCGACCAGTCCGAGCTCCCAAGAGACCAAGGGAAATGGAGCCGACTGAAGACAGCCCCCTTCTTCCCGGGGGAGCTGCAGCCTCTGAGGCCGGGCGAACCACCGATCCGGAGCTCTTGAAGCACGATCTGCTGTACCAACGCTTCAAGCCCACCGAAAAAAGAGTCATCGTCGCCCTCATCTCGTGGGCCGGTTTCATTCCGTGTAAGCACTTCGCCGCTTTTTCACCCGCCTGAGAGCTCTTCTCATCTTAACTCTCAATAGTTCTTACGTCGGGTTCGTTTATCCCTTCGATCCCGCAAATTGCGCGCGACTTGGACACGACTGGCCCAGTAATCAGGTTGGCCATTCATGTCTTTTGAGTGGCGATATTTTATTGATGCGCACTCGCCCTTGTCAGCCTGGCCGTCAGTCTCTCGCTGGCCACCGCGTCGCTCGGCGGTCTCACCTGGGCATGCTACTCTGGGGGCTGTGAGTCATTCTGATCGGAGCCCCGCACCTCCGCCCTGACTCGAACCTGCGGTCCCGCTCAGTCGGACGGCGCTTCGTATACCTCCGCTCTTTACCATGCATGTGCATCGGCTCGGCTGGCGTAGCAATGTCGCGCACTATCCCCGAGCTCATGTTCTGGCGCGTCGTCCAGGCATTCGGCGCCTCCAGCGGCATGTCTGTCGGTGCCGGGGTCATCGGCGACATCTACAGGCTCGAGGAGCGTGGTACTGCCATGGGTATCTTCTTTGGGGTTGGTGCCGCTTTCTCCGTATGTACTGCGAGGCTCTGCGCTAACGTTTGAGTGGGTAGGCAACACTCGTCGGACCTGCAGTTGCGCCGCTCATGGGCGGAATAGCGACGCACTACGCGTCTTGGCGACACGCCCAGTGGGCCCTCATGGTCATGGGTCTCATGGCACTCATCCCAGTATACCTCTGGCTGCCGGAGACGCTCAACCCGGAGAAACTGGAGCGGGTGAAGCGGGAGCGTTTGAGCATATTCTCGATGAACCCGTTCGCCAACCTCTTGGTCTTGCGCAGTCCTAACATTCTCCTGCTTGTGAGTCACTCTTTTTTTTGGGCTGCCGAGGTCTCTCAATTCTGTCAATAGACATTAGCGGGCACCGCAGCACTGATCACCGACTTCGGTGAGTACTGTCCGCCGTGTGAACTTGGAAGAATCCTGACTTGGCATAGTCATGATGGTCCCTCTGGCTTACACGATCGTGGGTGGTGCTTTTTTTCGTTCGTGTGTGGCGTTGAATATCCCTTCGGCAGGGGAAACAATATGGAATCACCAACGAAGCTCTTATTGGCGCCTTCTTCCTGCCCACTGGCGCTGGGAACTTCAGTGCGTTTCTCATTATCTGTCCGTTGGCCGAATTAGATCTTAGAGCTTACTTTCTCCCCAGTCGGTGCTCCCATTGCGGGCCGTCTCTCCGACTGGACTGTCGTTAAATGGCGAAAGGCCAGAGGAGGAGTCTGGGTCCCGGAGGACCGTCTGCGCGCGTGTATCTGGGGCTCGGCTGTCTTCGTGCCCCTGTCTGTGTTGCTGTCCGGCCTGACGACCACGTTTGTCCCCGGCACTCCCGGGATCGTTCTGAACCTCGTGTGGCTGTTCATGAACGGCATCGGCGTGAGTCCGGGAGTTGCTGCATGCCGCCCGACGAAGGAGCTGATCACGGCTCGCGCCCTAGGTCGACCTGGTGCTCACCCCGATGTCGTCGTACTACGTCGACATCATGCACTCGCGCAGCGCCGAGACCTTCGCAGCGAGCGCGTACGTCCGCGCGTTGAACGGCTGTCTGTGGGACTACCTCTGACTATGGCGCCGTCTCTTTAGGTCGTTCCGGGCGTTGATCATCGCGTTCGTGACTGCGGGCACGTTGCCTCTGATCGACACGGTCGGCGTGGCATGGACGGACGCGATCTTCTCCTTCGTCGCGTGGATCGGCTTTGGGTGAGTGGGCTTTGCGTTTAGAGCAGCGACTTGTTTCTCACCGGGGGTGTGCAGCATCACCATGCTGGTGATTTGGTATGGCGACCGCATGCGGGCGTGGTTGGACCTCGGCTTCACCACCACGGACCGGGACAACTGATCCGACACGGGCCGAGCTGGTAGTATGTGATACAATGTGCAGCCTTGGACGACTCTCGTGACTAGATTTAGACACATGGTGACATTCTTGGCGATTGTAGGATTGTACACTCAGGGGGCTATCGACATAGTGTACCTGTAGCAGTAGAGGTATACAGTGCATCACGACAAAACGAACTTTCAGTGCCCGTCTCCCATCGATGCTTAGCTCCCTTTGTCGCGACTTCGAGCACAGCGTTTGGGTGCTCCCCGCAGTGCAGACTTCAAGCCTCAAAGACTGTGTGGAGCGTACGACGAGACCACGGGAGTAGAGAAGGCTCCCCAAGTCGGCGGTCCATGAATTTCACTGCGTACTAGAATTCGATACCGATCAGTCGACTGGCGGTGGAGTGAGTCGAAGAGGTTCGCTTATTGGAACTTGAGACAGGTGCGCATGGATCCCACGGATGAAGTTGGTCTGGATCATTGCCGCCGGTTTGTTTGCCCACCTGCAAGCCAAACACTGCCAAACACTCGTCTGGCGGGCCGGAGGGCGCCTTGTCGCACTCTTCATTGTCGACGACGTCCTCCTGCCTGCTGCTGGTGTCTCTCCCTCTTACGTGCTCTGTATCCTGGCGACACGACCACCGTGGACCACACTTTGTGCACTTGTTTGGTCCGCCTCCAACACTTGCCCGGAATGGAAACCTCCTGTGGGCGCCGCGCGATTGCCTCTCTCTCGCGTCCAGAGGCAATCCAGGAGCAATCCGTCGCGAGCAAGTGTGTACTTAAGACACGGACAGCGGAGGGTAAGTAGTCATCATCCTGCGCATCGTCCAGCGTCCACTCGACCCCCCACTCGCATATACACTCGCACACATCCTCGAGTCCACCTCATCCGCGATGGCCTACACCACCGTCGCCACCTACTCCTTCGCGGCCCCCGCGGCACCGAACGCATTCGCGCTGTTTGGCTCCACCCAGTCGCCGCGCGACACCTACGGGCTCTACAACGAGGCACGTCACGTCCTTCGCCCGTCGAACGGGTGGAAGAAGACGTCGACGAAGGACGGGCTGAAGAAATACTTCACGCTGTGAGCGCAAGCGCGCCGCTTGCGGGCGTCGTGCCACCTTCAAACCCACACTCGCGCGGCGACCATCACCTGCACACAAGTCCGCGGTCGACGCTGTCCCGCGGCATCAACGTCTTCCTCGCCCTCGCGTCCGTGCTGCCCGAGGCGCACACGACGCTGGAGTCGAATTTGCAAGACCCACCAGGCGGCGCGCATCCTGCGCGTCCCGCCGTCAGCCTCGCGCTCCGCACGAGCAGGCTCGCTCCTGGAGATCCAGATGGATACGGAGGCTACTTCTCGGAGATCTACGGACTCGCGCATATACTTTGTTATACTTTGTATCGCTCGCGCTGGCATGCTGAAGTAACAAGATTATTCTGTCTTCTCCTTGCGCGTCCTGTCCATACAGCAACACTCGGATTTGAACCTGAAACACGGATGCAACAGGTTGCGTAGAATACACCCACCCATGCGGCGGCGCGCGGGACGGCACAAATGGAGATGTTTGCTCGCGCCAGGCGACCAAACAAGCCACAGACTCGTGGGCGCCTGCGACCACGGCGGCGCGGTCCGCACGTGTTGCTCCTAGCCACATCATTGACAGTACGGTCAGCTTCTCACATTATGTGCAATCACCCCAGTGACAAGAACACAATATCACAGCATGCCACCGTCGACGTCCTTCCCTTTCATGCCTTCGCGGGATCCATTCCTGCTGCGGATCGTGCTTCGCTCTCAGGACTCTCGGATGCTGCCATTCGCGAATGGGTCGTCGCCAAGGCAGAGGAGTACCGCGAGATCGCGCTATCTCTCCTGTCCCTCCACAACTCAATCACGCCGATCCATCGCGCTTTCCCGGCGGAACTCCTCTCCGAGGTCCTTTCATACTGCTGGGACGACATGCGCAGTGTGCGCCTTATGCACGTCTGCCGTCGCTGGCGCGCGACAGCACTGAAAACCCCGCAATTGTGGGCCGAAGCCGCCGCAGCTCCGGGCATCCAGCTCACATTCAACAAGGCCAGGATCGAGGCGCAGTGTCAAACCTGGAGGAGGTCCGCATCTCGTTTGCGGCTACCGCGATAGATTGTCGTCTCCGGAACCGCTGCGCCTCAAATCCATTTTCTCCCCAATGCCCTCTGCCGAACACTCTGGTCGCACACCTCCCGACTCGTCGATTTTTCGTCCGCCTCCAAAGCGCCGCGCAGCTCAAGTCACTATGCGTGCTTCTTTCCAACGGCGTCCCAACCTCAACGTTCTCGGTATCGCGTTTCCCGGATATTCAGGCATGTACCAAGAGTGGCTGGCGCCAGACGACGACATCGATGAGGGCGAGGCCAACAGAGCCTCTTCGAGGAACTCGTCAGTTGGAGCTCGGGTGTTCAAGGCCTGATCGCAGACACTCCTCGTCTCCGGACGCTTCGATGCGTTCCGATCGATTTCGTGGCTCACTTCGCTTGCCCCACCGTGCGCGACATGTGCGTCACTCCTGCGGTATTCAACCCGGATCACTTGGAAGGCTTTGTTCACGCGCTGAAGACTACCCCGGACCTCACGCGCCTCGATCTGTGCATGGAGAACAGGAACAGATCCCGGCTGAGACCGGGCAATTATGCTCCCGGGTGGAAAGCCAGCCCTGTCGACCTTCCAGCGCTGCGGACGCTGGTCCTCACCCTCGACAGCAACTTGAAGACGGCGAAGTATCTGGACCTCATCTCCCTTCCGTCCTCCGTCGACATCAACTTCGTGCAAAGCGACCTTGGCCTTTCGGACCTGTACCGATACCTCCCTTCTCGCCACACCCCGCTCATCCAATCTCGAGTGCGGTCCGCAAACGCCGTGCACATCTGCGACTCTTACGACCGGTGGAAGACCCCCACTATCGTCGTCACGACGTCGAAGGACGACGAGGAACCCGTCCGCTTCACCCTCACTGCTCCGAGGTTGCACGCCATGCCCTATCTGCCCCCGCTCGAGCTCATCGAGACCTTCCGCGCCACGGGCGCGCCCGTCACCCACCTCGTCTTCCACCAAAACTGGGCGATGAAGACTCCCGGAACCGGGCCGTCGGAGTTCTTCCGCGGCGTTCCCGCACCTCACCTCGCTCGACCTCGCCGGCCCTCGCACGCACTGCGTCATCAGGCGCTCCAGCGCCCGGACGTCGACGGGTCCCCGACGCGCTCGTGTGCCCGCGGCTGAAGACGCTCAAGGTCGCGTTCGCGCTGAACTGCGGGCACGGCAAGTCGGCGTCGCACGAGGCGTGGGTGGCGCTGCGCCGGGGGCGGCTGGCGGGGTGGAGGAGACGGTGCTCCGCGGGATTCCGGCGCGGGTCGCGGCGCTGGTGAAGCCGCTGGAGTACCGCGCGAAGCGTGGGCTCCGGTTGGCGCGGCTGGAGTGGGAGGACCGGGAGTGGGACCCGACGTTGAGGCTGGATTTCCCGCCGTCGGCGGCGGTGAGGACGTACGTGCCGAGCCCTGAGTTGTTCGATCAGGAGGAGCTCGAGAAGCTGGTGGACGGGCCAGTCGTGTTTGGGGGATTCACGTATCAGGAGACAAATGAGTAGAGGGTGTGTTATTGCCTGGACGGATGAATGTACTTTACGACTTGTTATGCACGGGTGCTCCGATGTGCTCCGCCCGACAAAACACTCTGCAAGGCCATGCATACACCTATCTGGCTTGCCCGTACTTGATCAGATTGCGAGGTGGGAACGGAGTGACCGCGATGCGGCGGACATCGAGCGCAATGCGGACGCCATCGCCCGCGTCGATTTCGGCGTGCACGACAGAACACGCCCTCCGCACCTGCAGCGCCGACGAGCGCAAGGTCCTCCAACCCGCTCGACGTCGACCCGCCCTTCGCCGCGGCCCTCGCCTAGTACGCGGTGCCCGACGTCGATATCCGGTTCGCATGCTAGCTGCCGCGCACGCCAGCGTCGCCAGAAACAAAGGACACGAAGTCACCAATCCGACGCCGGACGCCGTGGATGTGGAGAACGTTGCCGCTGCGCATGTCCGCGCCCGCTCATCAACATTGCGAACCGACTGTGGAGCGGATGGGCCGCGGGCGGCGCTGGGAGTATCGCTGTTGAAGACTCTTCGGTGGTCGGAGCGCAAGGCCGTGCGAGCGCATCCGCGGCGTCGAGACGGAGATGGAGAGGGTGCGCGAGATTCGGCCGATGGTCAAGTGGACGTTGGGTCATTCGAGGTGCGCGGGCGCAACACGGCGTTGCTTAACTGGGAATTGGAATTTTTTCAAGTAGTGGTCACAGTCAATTAGTGCATGTGGCGAGGATGAGCGTATGCTGTCTTACACCCTGCTATTGATCCACGGACACGACTAGTCTAGTTAAGACAGCGCAACGTCACTGTCCGAATCCCCCCACTCTTCGAGTCGCTGTCGTGCGTGTGACGGGTCGTCATAGGCTCGGAGCTCCTGGGGGCTGACCTGGTAGGTAACCCCGCCGAACACGACCAGCCCGTCGACCAACGTCTCGAGCTCCATCTGGCGGAACAGCGCCGGAGGCGGCACATACGTCCTAACGACCGCGGTCGGAGGGAACTCGAGCCGGAGCGCATCGTCCCACTCCACCACTCGCCACTCGAGCCGCTCCAGGCGAAGACCGCTCGATGCTCGGTCGCGCAGCGTCTTCACGAGTGTTGCAAAGTCGTCTCGGACGCCCATCGCGATCTTCTCCTCCCACTCCGCTGGGCTGGCTTCGATCATCTTCTGAACCGAGCCGCGCTTCCGAGGGAATGCGACGACGAGGGTGCGTAGATGCTGAGAGATAAACGGATAGTCGCCGTCCTCAGACTCCTCCTCGGATTCCGGTCCAGATAGCGCCCACAGGGCACGCGAGACGCTTTCGCCAGCGACGTCAAGGGACGTGAGATTGGGGAAAGCGTGGAGGATTTCGACGAGTTCGGAATAGATTCCGTCTTCGTTCTGGTGGACGACAAGCCGCGTGATATTGGCACCGTGCTTGTCGAATACGGAGGCGCAGTCCAGTTTGACCGGCCCTGCGTCCCATCTAAATGTTGCGAGTTCGAGTCGAGCGAGCGCGACGTCGTCCTTGAACGTAGCGACCTCGATGATCTTCCAATTATTGCCGGGCTCGCAGTCGCAGATGCGAGCCATGTTCGCGTTCTGGATGCGTTCCGTGAGCTTCACGTTCCTGCGGACCAAACGTGGTAGTGTCGTGTTTTTCGCGATGACTTCGATGATGATGGGAAGGGGGCATAAGAGGGAACGGAGGTAGAGACGCGACGCAGGATATATATCAGCGTTGATAACGACGGTTTGCAAGGCGGGCACAGTGGTTACTGAATCGACCCTGCTCCATGTATGCGAATTGAAATCGGGAAGATGGCTCTCGACCGGATCTCCATCGAGCTGTTCACTCTCATACGTAGTGAAGTCTTTGCCCACAATCCAGAATTTGAGTCGCTCAAGCGCGGGACACCGAGTCAGCGCTTTGGCGAAGCTGTTCAGGTGGTCGTCGGTGAACTGCGCGGGGGTGACGCACACATCGCGGAGCGTAGGAGTGGTGAAGTACGGAAAGAGGTCGATGGGGATGCACCGGATGGTGTGGAGGCGAGGAAGGGCTACAGTGTCAAGAACCGGGCCTCGTACGCTTTCGCTCCACTCCCATAGATCTTCCGCAAGCTCCTCGTGGATTTTGGTTCGGGCAGTGGGAGTGGGGCCAAAGTCGTCGTCGTGTGCGTCCTCGCGGAGCGGCAGCCAATCTTCGTACATCCCCACGTAGCCCGGAAATGTAACGCCGAGCACTTCGAGATTGGGCGCCCCCGAGTTGAGGAACTTGCACAGAGTGGAGAGAGAGGATGCACCGTCCAGGCGGACGTAAAGATCAACGAGGCGGGCGGCGTGCGGGGCTAGCGTGCTGGCGAAGTGATCGGGGAAGTGGTAAACTTTGAGGCGAAGAGGTTGAGGAGAAGATCGTGCGAGGGCAAAAGCTGAAAACTCGCGGCGGCTATATCTACAGCTCTGGTGTTGGGAGAGCAGCTTTCCAGGCGCGGCGAGGGCAGCGGTCCAGAGGCTAGGAGTCTTGAGGGCGATTGAACGCCAGTGGCGGCAGACATGGGCGATGGCGATACTTTGAGGGTCCATCCAACAGTGTGAAAAGATCTCGGAGAGAACTTCTGTGGGGAAGGCGCGGTGGATGGGAGCGACGGCGTTGAAGATGGAGAGGAGGGCGAGGGCGATGTTGCGGTACTCTTGGGCGCGGGTGAGCACCCATGCGCGGACGGCGTCGTCGGAGAGACCGGCCAACGCAGCATGGTCTGCAGCAGGAATTGAGCATGAGGGGATGGGGACGGCAACAGTCATGAAAAGCAGCGTGGGTTTCGAGTGGATCGTCCGAGGGGTTGCAGAGCAAGTGCGATGAAACGGACGCAAGCGCCGGGCTGTGTCTGTCTCCCTCCCTCCTCGACCACGATTACATCTGGCTCACTCGTTCCGGGTCCCCGCCTGCACTTTTCACGACCTCTTACTCTTCGTAATTTCTACTCTCTGGTCGTCAAGCTTTTGTCAAGTCATACGAAGCGTCAGGCTCACGCTGAACATCAGCCGGTTGGCGCTTTGCGCTTTGCGCGCCGTTAGGAGAGGATGGGATGGAGACGGGATATCGGAGGTCCACAGGTCACTGCGCGTACGTTTCACCTTCGCCGTCCTCTTGCGTTCTCTCGCTCCCGGACATCGTCACACTTTGTACTCCTCATGCCGCGTTCGAATAAATCAATGCTGCGGCTGTTGCACGTCCGGATCGACCCCGACACCCATGAATGAGCCCGTCATTCGAGCCCTTCGTAGGCAGGGTGTGCCTCTCCACTTCGCACCCCTCCTCCACTACCGACACTCCCCTTCTACCAACATGGGTCTCTACATTTCCTCGAGGAATGCGCATCTGCACCGCAAGACCCACCGCTGTGTCTCCAGTCTGAGTCGCGCCCCATGCGCGATGCCCATCTGTTCCCCTGCGTCTCAGCACATACTTCCCCACTCGTGTTAATCACGCCCCATCACGCCCGCATCGACGGACATTAGAAAGGAAAGGAATTAGGTTATCGACTTATTAGCGGGGTGGTATGTACTATAAGCGTCCTCTGTCCTCCGCACGCTGGCCCGGATGTCCATCTACGACGAGCTCGGCGGGCATCCGATGGATACGAGACCACCCTGCGTGCGCAATGCCTCTAGCACGAAGCCACCGATCCGACGCCGGAGGTGAATGTCGAGAACGTCGCCGCCACCGCGCATGTCCGGACTCCGCGCCTGCTGTGCGAAGCTGGGGAGCGTGTGTTATTCATCACTTCTAGTTCTTGTGAACGTGGTTCTAATGTTCTGTTAGTGGATGCGTCGTTTTATCGAGGACCGCTTGCCCCCCTTCAAAGCAGAGACTTTCCCCCGAAGGACCTCCTCGGCACGCTCATTGATGCCAACGACTTCAACCCGGCGGCGATGGGATCGTGATTGGAGACACTTCGGCGGGCGGAGCGCAAGGTCAGTGGCGAGGAGCCTTACGAGCGCATCAAGATGGAGACGGAGATGGGTGCTGCGAGAGTGGGCCGATGGGCAAGTGGACGTCAAACCATTTGAGGTGCACGAGCATAGCCCGGGGGGTGCATTAACACGCATTACTTATCACTCGTACTAACTTGTTTGTTACTCACATACTATATACGTTCTATTGCCCTTTGATATGAATTCTAGTGTCTTTGTTCTGAGCATAGTATTCTGTCGGGCCGAAGAATTCACCCAAAACGTCACCTGTCAGGATACTCTACGACACACACAAACTTGACATAAAAGTTCGCCTTTCCCACCCTTTTTCTCCCCTAGAGAAATACCTGCCGAAGATGACACCTTTGACAGGCTTTTTCTACGCGTTTTTGGGCTCCGAAGCTGGGCCGTTGCCCGTCGTGTGAGAGGCTGCTATGCGGGTTTGAAAAAGCCGGGAAACCAACTGACAAAGGGCCATGAGCAAGACACCCGGGGTCGGGCACGTAGTCCGATGGCCGAATTTCGAAGAGGAATCATTCGTAGGATGGTCGACGTCGTTGCCGGAGGACTTAGTAGGGTCATGTCACCGCCGGCGCTTCAAGTTCACGGCGCCGGCGGGGCGTCGGCCCGCAGGATCGAGCGCCTGAGCACCTGCGACTGCGCCGCTGCGGTTCGCGCATTGCTCCTGGCCACATCATCAACAGTACGGTCAGCTTCTCACATTGTCCAACCACCCCCAGCTGACGAGACCACGAATCACACAGTCATGGCCACCGTCGATACCCTGCCCTTTCCTGCCTTTGCGCGCTCCATCCCTGCTGCCGATCGTGCTTCACTTTCAGGCTTTCGGACGATGCCATTCGTGAATGGGTCGTAGCCAAGGCGGAGGAGTACCGCGAATCGCACTCTCTCTGCTATCTCTCCACAACTCAACCGCACCGATTCATCGCGCTTTCCCAACGGAACTCCTCTCTGAAATCATTTCATACTGTTGGGACGACATGCGCAGTGTGCGCCTCATGCACGTCTGCCGTCTCTGGCGCGCGACAGCGCTCAAGACCCCGCGACTGTGGGCCGAAGCCGTCGCAGCTCCCGGTAACCAGCTCACGTTCAACAAGGCCAGGATCGAGGCGCAGTGTCAACACCTGGAGGAGAGCCGCATCTCGTTTGCGGCTACTGCGATAGAACTATCGTCTCCGGAACCGCTGCGCCTCAAAATTCATTTTCTCCCCAATGGTCTATCCCAGACGCTCTCGTCGCACACCTCCCGACTCGTCGATTTGTTCGTTCGCCTCCAAAGCGCCGCGCAGCTCAAGTCACTATGCGTACTTCTTGCCAACGGCGTACCCAACCTCGACGTTCTCGGCATCGCGTTTCCCGGAGATGCAGGCATGTACCGAGAGTGGCTGGCGCCATACGACGACACCGATGAGCGCGGAGGCCAAGAGGACCTCTCCGAGGAACTCATCAGTTGGAGCTCGGGTGTTCAAGGCCTGGTCGCAGACACTCCTCGTCTCCGGACGCTTCGATGTGTTCCGATCGATCTCGTGTCTCACTTTGCTTGCTCCAGCGTACGCGACATGTGCATCACTCCCGCGGTATTCAACCGGCATCACTTGGAGGGCTTCGTTCACGCGTTGAAGAACACTCCGGACCTCACGCGCCTCGATCTGTGCATGGAGAGAGGTGCCAGGATGCGACCGGACCGTGACGCACCTGGGTGGGCGGTCAATCCCGTCGACCTTCCGGCGCTGCGGACGTTGGTCGTCAACCTCCACTTCAACGAAGACGCGGTAAAGTACCTGGATCTCATCTCCATTTCGTCCTCCGTCAGAGTCAACCTCATAGGAGATGACCTTTTGGAACTCGTCGACCTCCCTTCTCCGTTCATCCCATCTCGAATACACTCCGCAAGCACCGTCCACATCTGGGACTCTTACGACAAGTGGGAGATTCCCACCGCCGTCGTCTCAACGTCGAAGGACGACGAGGAGCTCATCCGCTTCACTCTCTCCATCGACCTGCCGGACACAACTCCCTTCCTCCCCTCGTCCGACCTCATCGAGACCTTCGACACCGGCGCGTACATTACTCACCTCGTCTTCCACCAAAACTGGGCGACGAAGACTGCCGAAAGCAGTCCGTCGGAGATCTTCCGCGCGTTCCCGTACCTCACCTCGCTCGACCTCGCCGGCCCCCGCGCGCACCGCGTCATCAAGGCGCTCCGGTACCCGGACGACGACTACGCTCGCAAAGCGCTCGTGTGCCCGCGGCTGAAGACGCTCAAGATCGCGTTCGGGCTGAACCTCGGGGACGACCAGTCGGCGTCGCGCAAGGCGTGGGCGGCGCTGAGGGCGCGGCCGGCAGGGTGGGAGGAGACGGTGCTCCGCACGATCCCGGCACGGGTTCGGCCATGGTGAAGCCGCTGGAGCACCGCGCGAAGCGGGGGCTCCGGTTGGCGCGGCTGGAGTGGGAGGACCGGGAGTGGGACCCGACGTTGAGGCTGGAGTTCCCGCCGTCGGCGGTGGTGGGGACGTACGTTCCGGCCCTGGGTCGTTTGATCAGGAGGAGCTCGAGAAGCTGGTGGACGGGCCGGTCGTCTTTGGGGGATTTACGTACCAAGAGATTGCGAGTAGAGGGTGTGTTGTTGCCTGGACGGACGGATGCATTGTACGACTGGTTGCGAGCAGCCTATTCAGCACGAAGTCGCCGATCCGACGCCGGACGTGGGTGCGGAGAACGTCGCCGCCACCGCGCATGTCCGCGCCCGCTGTGCGAAGCTGGCGAGCATGCTCGATAGGCGTGCCATGGTTGGAGACGCTTTGACGGGCAGAGCTTAAGGTCGGGGGCAAGGAGCCGTGCGAGCACACCGAGACGGAGATGGAGATGGGTGCTGCGACTAGCGAGAGTTGCTCGATGCCGTCGACGGACAATTGGACGTCGGGTCGTTTGATTCACGAGCGTATCCCAGGGGTGCATTGGAAGGCGTACTGTGAGATGTGGTGGTCTTTACACTCAACTTGGAATTAGAATGACGTGGAGTGGTCACATTCGATTGGTGCACATGCAGCGGGGTGAGCATATATACTGCCGAGCCTACAGTCCATCCAGACGGGGAAGTACACCAGTCGTTTGGTACTGGTGCAGTAACGCGGCCATATCCTCATCATCAAATTTCGGCAGCCTCGGGGCTTTCGGGAAATTGGCCTGGTAGGTGATTCCGCTGAACACGACCGGCCCGTCGACCAACGTCTCGAGCTCCGCCTGGTCGTACAGCGCCGGAGGTGGCACGTACGTCTGACGACCGCGGTCGGAGGGAACTCGAGCCGGAGCTCCTTGTCCCACTCTGCCACCCGCCACTCCAGCCGCTCCAGACGAAGCCCGCTCGACGCGCGGCCGCTCAGCATTTTGACGAGCTCTGCCAAGTCGTCCCGGACGCCCGTCGCGACCGCCTCCTCCCACCCCGTTGGGCTGGCTTCGATGACCTTCTGGACCGAGCCGCGCGCCCGAGGGAATGCGACGGCGAGGGTGCGCAGACGCCGACAGTTCGGACCGTCGATGTCCTGGGGCGTCCCGTACTCGGGCTCCCGTCGAAGGAGCGTCCGAAAGACGCCCGGCACGCATTCGCCGGCGACGTCGAGCGAGGTGAGGTTGGGGAGAGCGTGGAGGACGTCGCGAGTGTCGAAATACATGTCTTCGTTCTGACGGACGGCGAGCGACGTGATGTGCGCGCCGTGCTTGCGGAACACGGGGGCACAGTCCGGCGCGGCCGGTCCCGTGTACGACTCCGACATCGAGAGCGCGAATCGAGCGAGCGCGACGCCGTCCTTGAGGGTGGTGAGCTCGGTGGACATCCACGTGTCGCCGCGGTCGGAGTTGCAGATGCGCGCCGTGTCCGCGTTCTGGATGCATTCCCCAAGCTTCTCGTGGCTACTGACTAGATCCGATAACCTCAAGTCTTTCGTGGTGACTTCGAGGGTGGTGGGGAGGGGGCAGGAGAGGGACCGGAGGTAGAGGTGGGACGCGGGATAGATACCGGTGTTGAGGACGAGGTGTCGCAAAGCGGGCACGGTCACGGGATCGACGCGGCTCCATCTCGACGAATCGAAACTGCGGAGATAGCTCTCGACCGTACCTCTGTCGGCCGCCTCACCTTCGGAATCATAATCATCCACCTCCTCCTCATCCTCCGAGAAGTCCCCGCCGACTATCCAGAACTTGAGGCGCTCAAGCGCGGGGCACTGAGTCAGCGCTTCAGCGAAGTCTTCGAGGTGGTCGTCGGTGAACTGCGCGGGGGTGACGCACACGTCGCGGAGTGTGGGAGTGGTGAAGTGCGGGAAGAGGTCGATGGGGATGCACCGGAGGGTGTGGAGGCGGGGGAGGGCTACGGGGTTGAGAACAGGGGCTTGTGTGTCTGTGCTCCACCCCCGTAGATCATGCTCGAGCTCATCTTGGATAGTGCCCCGGGCGGAGGCGGTGCGGCCAAAGTCGTCGTCTCTGTCCTCGCGGAGCGGCAGCCAATCTTCGTACATCCCCACGTAGCCCGGAAAGGTGATGCCGAGGACTTCGAGGTTGGGCGCGCCTGAGGTGAGGAACTTGCATAGAGCGGAGAGGGTCGATCCATTGAAGAAGAAACTTGGTGCATTGCCGAGGCGGACATACAGATCAACGAGGCGGGCAGCGTGCGGGGCGAGAGTGTTGGCGAAGTGATCGAGGAAGTGGTAAACTTTGAGGCGGAGAGGATGAGGGGAAGACCGTTCGAGGGCGAAGGCTGCAAACTCGCGGCGGCTGGATTTGCATTTCCGGGGTTGGGAGAGCAACTTCCCAGGCGCGGGAGGGCGGCGGCCCATAGGCGGGGAGTCTTGAGGGCGATTGAACGCCAGTGGCGGCAGACATGGGCAACGGCGATGCTTCTAGGGTCTTGCCAGCAGTGTGAAAAGATTTCGGAGAGGACTTCGGTGGGGAAGGCGCGGTGGATGGGTGCGACGGCATTGTAGATGGAGAGGAGGGCGAGCGTGTTGTCGCGCTGCTTTTGAGTGTGGGCGGCACCCATGCACGCACGGCGTCGTCAGAGAGCCCGGCCAAGGCAGCACGGTCTGCAGTGGGGATTGAGCCCAAGAGGACGTCGATGGAGGTATTCATGAAAAGCAGTTCGGGTAGGAACAAAAGAAACAGGTGCGGGAGGGCGGGTACTAGCTCGAAGATGCTCCAGTCACGAGGCTGACGGCAGGATGGAAGAGATCTATGAGCTGGCAGGGGACGAGTGCGAGGAGCAGGCGTACTCACCTGGCGGTAGGAAGGAAGAGATGTACGGATGCAATCGCCTCTCTCTCCCTCATACCCTTCTGGAGAGGGGCTGACTCGCACCCGCTAGGGGCCACCGCAGTCCGGGCCCGGGCCTTCGTGGAGTGGACGCGTCGGAGCTCGACGACGGCGGCATCGAACTCCGGGCGTGCGATGATGCTCGCGGCGTGGAGTTGGAGCCCACCAAGTCGCGCGGGCGATTCAGTGGGGATGAACCGATCCACGCTCGTGCTTGAGTACGCGCCTCGCCGCGCGCTCGCAGCACGGCCGCCGGGCCGGCGATTTATGTAGCTCGTCTGCTCCTCGCCTGCACTCCCTCATCGCCTCTTTCTTCCCATCCAGACCTTCTCAAGACACATGTATCACTAGACACACGTTGAACACCGGCCGGTTGGCGTTTTTCTCTCCGTCCGCCGTTTGGAGAGGAGGTGATTCAGAAGGAGAAGGGATATCGGAAGTCCACAGGTGCGCGTACATTTTCCCTTCGTCCTCCTGCGTTCTCTCCCTTCCCAACATTCTCGCACTTTGTACGCCTCGTGCCACGTTCGAAACAATAAAAGCCGCGGCTGTTACGCGTCCGGATCGACTTGGTCCATGAGCCCGTCTTCCGGGTCGTTCGTAGACGGGACGTGCCTCCGCACTTTGCACTTCTCCTCCACCTTTCCTTCAACACAAATTCCTACACGTGCTTGGAAAAGGCCACTCACGCATGGCGAGACCTATCGCTCTGTCAGTCGCAGCCGCGCCCCGTGCGGGATGTTCCCCTGCGTCTCAGCACATATTTCCCCGCCCGTGTCCATCAAGCACCATCACGCCCGCAGGGATCGACAGAGTCTAGAAAGAATCCCAATTAACGAGTTATTAGTGGGGCGGTATAAGTAGCGGCTAACGAGCATCTTCGGACGCAGACCCGGATTTCCATCGACGACGAGATGGGCAAACATCCGATGAAAACGAGATCACCGCCTGCGTTCGCAACCCAGGTAAGCAGGCAAGTTCGAACGTCCGACAGACACTCACCGTGTTTCTCGCAGCAGACGGCTTGGGTGAGACCGACGGACGAGCACCCGAGGCCGATGTGGGTGGTGGTGTCGTGGAGGAGGACGTCGACGAGACTGAGGGGGAAGACGGTCAGGTCGACGAGGGAACGGGGGGTGGAAAAGCGAGGGGGCAGTGAGTGCTTGGAGCGAAGGTGCGTGCAAGGGGCGGTGACTAGACGTCGCACCTGTGCAGGCTTGGAGGAGCTCGCGTGCCATTGCACCGTACACGTCCATGTGCGCGTGCGCCTCCGGTCGACAGCCGCTGCTTAGGTGGTGGTGACTAGCTGCGGCAAGACCCAGGGAAGGCTACCCCGGCGTTCTCATCAACTCGTGGCATTCCTACAGCCCGATTACGAGTAAGCCGTTTTTGCCCGCAATAATTTGTCGCTAACACCAAACCGACTGAGTCTCGTCGTTCGCAATGGTTGCGCAGAGTAGAGATGAAGCATGAACCATGCATTAAAAGAAACGTAAAATCATCGATCAAGACACCCAGGCATAACAGCTACGACATGAGCACCGAAACGCGACACTACAAGCCTAGAGCGAGACCGGGACACAGCCAGCGGACACGCCACCACCCTGCAGAACACAATGTAAGCCCGCGGACCCCACAAGCAACGACGAAACACTCACAATGTTGTTGTTCTCGCAGCACACCGCGTTGGTCGTGCACGCGTTGCCCGACCCGACAGCGACCACGCCGATCGGGGAGCACTTCAACCCGAGCGCCACGTTCGTGTTCTGCAGCGTCGCACCGATCGCTGCCAGGATCGCAGAACCGGCAGCCGAGTTCGCCTACACAAAACCCTGGATTAGCACACGATCGGACAGCAAACGACGGCACTCACGCTCTCCAGGCTCTTGCAGCACTGGACGGGGCCAGTGGTGCACTTGGTCGCCGCGGCAAGGGCGGCGAACGCGAGGGTAGAGACGACGGCGAGGCGGGCGAACATGGCGATGAGCGAGGGGCGGAACGTAAGAGCGAGAGCGAAGAGAGGTTGAAGGGCTGAAGCTGCTGAAGGCTGGTGCTGAAGTCTGACCGGGTCCCAGCGAGGCTTATATATGTCCTGCTGGAGGCCCGTGCGCTGGCACACCGACGCGCGTTGGCGTTAGGCTTTAGCCTCGCGGCTGGGTAGGTCAATTGAGCCAAGCATCGAAGCGGAGCGCGTACTTACCGGTCTATTCACAGCGGGCGAGCCGAGCGCGACGTGACGCGGCGACCACACAGTGAGAGGGTGTTCTCACTTCTGACTCACTTCTGAGAACACACTGCTCGTGTATGTGCTGCGAAAATGCTGGCTGATATTTCAGGTGAATCTCAGCGAGGGTACAGAGGCCTAGCGCAATTCGGAATCTATGTGTGATGGTACGATATAGGGAGAACCCCTCCGCGCGGAATGCCACAGAGGCGACAATCGCCTTCCATTCCTGGATCTCATTGGCTGCTAACTTGCCGAACGGGAGCATCCCGATTCTGGATTTTAGCCGTCGCGACGAACCGCGCGTTGGCTCGTGCACGCGGTCCCCCCAACGAATCTCTACGGTCGCGTCTGCATCCAACACAAGTACAAGTCGAGTACAAGTTGTGCTTTTTATGACTTGGTTTTTGATTCCTTCAACACTAAATACAGCCGTCAGTCGACTAGGGCTTGTAAAAACTGAACTGGGATTCGCGCACGAGCCAGCTGAGTCTGCGCTCGCTGGTCGCAGAACTTAGAAGTAGGTGCCCGTCCCGCATGTGACTCGACTACCGAAATGTCCAAGCGCTGGATGACGCAATCTGCAAGTTGGACGCGTCCTCTCCGCTCGACTGGGGCAACGGTAACAGCAAACGCAGACCTCCTGCCGTTCCCTCCTCCTCTCATGGGACAACTTCATAACACAGCGACGGCCCGTTCAACGCGTTTCTAGTGCTTCGGCAAGTAAGCAGTGATTAAGTCAGTTTACGTGCTCGCCACTTCACTATCCCGTCCAGCTGACCCCTGACGACCCCCTGTGCGCAGCTTCTGCGTTCTAGCTTCTGTGCTACCGCTTGCGTCCCCTGCACGAAGCTCCTCTCGAACACACATGCGCAGCAAATGTGTGTGCAACGTCTGTGATCGACCTCTGTTCCTGCGCTATACCCAATGAATGCCGATGAAGCCCTTCAACGCCTTCTTCCACCACGCTCGCAACGATGGCGCGAAATCTTGCGCACTCACGCGCGCAAAAGCCGTACCCTTCTAGCTACCGGGTGGGTGCGCTCCAAACTTCGGCGAGGGAGGAAATGTCGCCATCCCGCGCGCGAACGCGCCATACGTGCTTGCCCTCACGATGGCCAATACTCCCGCCCAATGTCGACAGCCGATAACATTACAGTCCTCCCTCGCTCCAATCGCCCTATCCACGCCTTGCACGACGAATAGCCTACTTAAAGACCGCCCCATCCCGCCCTCGCGAGCGTCAGCGAACTTCGCGCTCCCACTTTCCTTGGCACCCCTTCTCCCGGCCCCGCGGTGTCGACGGTCCTTCTCAAGTCGAGCCTCTCCAAGGCGACATCGGATGGCTCTGCCTCCGACTCCGACTCTATCAAGAGCAAGCTTGGCGCCGCCATCAGCGTCTCCAACATCCCGCCTCTCGGCGAGCCGATCGAGAACCTGGGCCGCCTTCGGTACTTCTGGGGACGGCAGAAGCACGAGCTGGACAGAATCGCGACACAACCCTCCGTGTTCGACGACCCGGCCTCGCTTGAGGTCTACCGCCCGCCCGCAGTGTGGGAGAACGCGCACCGGTTTGACCCCCTGGCGCGCTGGACATGGCGCGAGGAGACGGTGAGTGTCGTCCACTTTTCTTACCGCTTCCGCTCTATGAAGATCTGGGTAGCTGACGCGGGTTGCGTCACAGCGCATCGTGCGGAAGATAGACCTGCTCATCATGGTGTGGGCGTTCATCATGTTCGCGAGCCTTGATCTCGACCGCCCGAACATTAGCTAGGTAAACATAGATAGCTGCCTGCCCGACCTCGGCCTCACGACGAACGACTTCAACCTCGGAAACACCTTGTTCAAGGTCAGTGGCTTCGTTTCCCGGACTTTCAGCGCATGTGCTCACCATGCGCTCGTAGCTGTGCTTCTTGATCGCGGAGCTCCCTTCCCAGCTCATCTCGAAGCGCGTTGGACCGGATGTTTGGATTCCGAGCCAGGTCTGTTGATCGTCCGTCTACCCACATACGCTTTACCGACCTTGGTCCAGATGGTTCTGTGGAGCTTTGTCTGCGTCGGTCAATTCTGGCTTTCTGGCCGTGGGAGCTTCCTCGCCACGCGGTGCCTCCTCGGGTTCTTGCAAGGCGGCTTCATCCCCGATGTCATCCTCTATCTCTCCTACTTCTACACCAAGAGAGAACGTACGTTGAGCCCCTTTATTCCACCCTTTCATGCTCCCCTCTGACGTCACGCTCAGTTCCCCGCGACTCGCGTGGTTCTGGGTGTCGAACTATGTGGCAGAGATCGCTGGGGCATTCATTGCCACCGGCATCTTAAGTGCAACTTCGCGGCGTCAACGGCAAGGCTGGCTGGCGGTACCTCTTCCTCATCGAGAGCGGCTTCACGCTACTCGTCGGGTTCGCCTCGTTCTTCATGATGCCCCCAAGCCCAACTCAGACGAAAGCGTGGCTCCGGCCGAACGGATGGTTCACGGAGAGGTCCGTACGCATGCACCTCAACGATAATGCTTGTTGACGCGTGTTCCCTCGCAGGGAGGAGACGATCATCGTGAACCGCGTGCTGCGCGACGACCCCTCGAAGTCGGACATGCACAACCGCCAAGGGCTGTCGGTCAAGAACCTGTGGAACGTGATCAAGGACTGGCGCATGTGGCCCATCTACACCCTCGGCCTTACCTTCCTCGGTATGTCCACGCCTCTCCCACTATCTTTCTCAAAACCCCCCTCTCACGCCTCCCTGGCAGTCCCAGTCACCCCGCCGCAGACGTGCCTCACGCTCTCGCTCCGGAACCTCGGCTTCACCACGACGCAGTCGAACCTGCTCTCAGTGCCATCGAAGGTGTTCGGCGTGCTCCTCCTCCTCGCCTCCTGCTACCTCTCCGAGATCATCGACTCCCGCGTCGCCGCCACCGTCCTGCTCCAGTTCTGGGCGCCCCCCTGCTCGTCGCGCTCTCCACCTTCAGCGCGCAGACGAGCCAGTGGGCGTACTTCGCCGTCGTCTCGCTCGTCACCGGCTTCCCGTACGTGCACCCGGTGCAGGTCGCGTGGGCGTCGACTGTAACGGTCCACGTTACGTCATGCACCTTACGATCATCTCAGCTACCGCTTTTGGACTCACGCTATGTACCTGCATTTTGTATTCTACGTACCTTTTGAGCAACCAACACACACCCTCTGCTACGACTACGCCCTACGGACGGCTCGGCGGTCGTCCTGCTCGCCTACGACTCTCCTGCGGGCAGGCTATGTGACGTCCCGGCCGCCGACCGTCACATCGACGAACTCGTCCGGGGTCGGGACGCGGACGGTGTCCGCGTCGCTGTACAACATGTTCGTGCAGGCGGGCGGGATCATCGCGGTGCGGAGCGCGTCAAAGGGGTCTGGGGAATGCGCGCTGACCGATACGTTCTCTTCCAGGCGAACATCTACCGGGACGACGATAAGGTACGTCGCCTCGCCCTTCTCCCCGCGCTTGCTCACGTCCCCCCTTCGTTCTGTTCAGCCTCTCTGTGAGTGACCCGGCGCACCGATGGCATGCGCCCAGGCTGACGCCGCCGTGTAGACAAACGCGGGAACCGCGCGCTCATCGGGATCACGGTGATGAACATCGTCCTCTACCTGTTCACCTACTTGTTCTACCGCGCGATCAGCCAGCGGTGCGACCGGATCTGGAACGGGTGGGCGAAGGAGGTGCGTGGGCGCGCGGGGTGCCTTTGGGCGTGGGGTGATGCTGACCGGCGCGTGGGGGTGTGCAGCAGCAGCAGCGCTGCCTGGACACGACGAGGGACGAGGTGCGTGGTCTGTCCGTCGTGTATTTTGCGCGCCGTTCAAACATTCTCGTCTGCGGCAGGGCAACGCGCGGATGAACTTCCGCTTCGCGTATTGATGGATCCACCGCGGTGGGTTTTTCAACGCAAGCGTGCGCTCGGGCTTGGGGCTTCCTGCACATCAGGCCGTTTGGACAGGCAGTGTATCATAGGATTGTGGCAAGACTATAGACTCGCGAGAGCGTATCTTCAGAAATCCCCGGGAGTGACGTTCGCGCGACCCGTCCGACGACATCTGGCTCTGCGTCTCACCTCCGAGACCTTTAAAAGCCCGCGATGAGCCCCACGATGTACGTACCCGGGGGCGCTGCTGTTGTTCTCGTCCTCTCCTTGTGGTCCTAGTTCGTGCAGAAGCTTGTACGCACGCAGACGCCCCAGGTGCGCCAACGAAATTCCAATTCGAATCGCTTTGGGACCCACGAGGCGCCCACGCGGCTTCGGCGCCTGACGAAGCGCGCGGAGTCCCACTGGCAGCGGCACCTTCGGTTCTTGACACCCACGCCGAGTGGCTCAGCGTGCGATCTCACCATCTGCGTCCTCCACCCCCTCCCCCTCTCCGGACGCTCGTACCGCCGGAGAGGCGTGCGCGCGGTAAGTGGTTTGAGAGTACTACCGCGCTCACGTTTCGGTTTGTCTACTTATCAGGACAGCCTCCGGAGTCCCCCGTCGACGGACGGCGCACCCACCTACACCTGCTACGCGGGACGCCGGTCCGCACTTTCGTCTTCACCAGCGGGCACGCGGTCTCCTTGTCCTTGTCAGCGTGGACGCGTCCATCAGCGACGCGGCCGCTGCGAGGCAGGCGGTGGCACCTCGCGACTCACACCGGGCGCCACGTATGAGGTTCGACTCGCGTCGTGGCTACAGCGCGTACCGACTCTGACGCTCGCGCACATTTTGAAGAGGGACGACTCCGAGCCCGTGCATCGGGTCGGGGAGGGGCGTACTGATAGGCTAAGCGTGGCGGCAGACGGACGGATGGCAAAGGGTGAGCAGCACTGATGGGGGGCGTAAAACTGTAATCAGTCATGGAGTAGTACTGCTGGAATAGATGCATGAAATATGCGCCTCCACACCTCCAACCGGACCCCGCCGTCCTCGGCCCCTTCGCACCCACCATCTCCCGCATCGAGTTCGACTTCCAATAGTAAACCCGCCGCGCCTACGACGCCGACAAGCGCGAGGTCCTCCGCGTGTCTCACGACGACCCACTCGACGTCGACCCGGACCCCGAAAGCCTCGTCATGCTCTTATGCCCCTTCGCCGTAATCGCCCTCCATCCGGTGGTGATGAGTCGTTATATGGTCGCGGCTTATGGGAGGCGGGCCTGGTAGGTGACCCCGCCGAACACAACCGGCCCGTCGACCAACATCTCCAGCTCCGTCGGGTCGTATGGCGCCGTCGGAGGTGGCACATACGTGCTGACGAGCGCGGTCGGAGGGAACTCGAGCCGGAGCTCATCGTCCCACTCCGCCACTCGCCACTCGAGCCGTTGCAGGCGAAGACCGCTCGACGCTCGGCTGCTCAGCATCTTCACGAGCTCCCCAAAGTCGTTTTGAATCTCGTCCCGATCGTCTCCTCCCATCCCGCTGGGTTCGCTTCGACCGCCTTTTGAACGGAGCCGCGCACTCGAGGGAATGCGACGGCAAGGGTACGCAGATGCCGACACTGCGGACCGTGATGTCCTGCGGCCTCCTGTACTCGGCTTCCCGTCGAGCAGCGCTCGCAAGACGTTTGACACGCATTGGCCGGCGATATCAAGCGACGTGAGATTGGGGAGAGCGCGGAGGACTTCGCGAGTGTCGAAATATAGGTCTTCGTTCTGATGGACGGCGAGCGACGTGATCTTCGCGCCGTACCCGCGGAATACGGCGGCCGTCCGGTGCGGCGCCCGCCCACTCCGATGTTGACAGCGCGAGTCGGGTGAGCGCGATGCCGTCCTTGAACGTAGTGAGCTCGGTGGCCTTCCATCCGCTGCTGGAGTCGGAGTCGCAGATTTGTGCCATGTCCGCGTTCTGGATGCGTTCATCAAGCTCCTCGTGACTGCGACCAAATGTGATAGGCCATATCCCTCGCGATGACTTCGATGGTGGTGGAAAGGGGGAAGGAAAGACAGCGGAGGTAGCGGTGCGACACAGGGTAGAGACCAGTGTTGATAACGACGTTTTGCAAGGCGGGCAGGGTTACTGGATCGACGCTGTTCCATATAGGCGACCCGAAATCGGGAAGATAGCTCTCGATCGGACCTCCATCGATCTCTTGACCATCGTTATCACAGCCCCGCTCAAGTTCCCCGCCGACTATCCAGAACTTGAGGCGCTCGAGCGCGGGACACCGAGTCAGCGCTCTGGCGAAATTGGCGAGGTGGTCATACGCGAACTGTGCGGGGGTGACGCACACGTCGCGAAGTGTAGGAGTGGTGAAGTGCGGGAAGAGATCGATGGGGATGCACCGGAGGGTGTGGAGGCGAGGGAGGGCTGCGGGTCAAGAACCGGGGCTTGTGTGTTTATGCTCCACCTCCGTAGATCCCCTCGAGCGCCCTCGGATCCTCAGATATGATTTCGGGCGCCGATGGTGCGGCCAAAGTCGTCGTCGTGTGCGTGCTCGCGGAGCGGCAGCCGATCTTTATACATCCCACGAACCCGGAATGTGATGCCGAGCACTTCGAGATTGGCGTTCCGAGTTGAGGAGCTGGGATAGTAGAGAGCAGAGGGTGGATGGATCGTCGAGGCGGACGTAGAGATCAACGAGGCGGACAGCGTGTGGGACGAGCGTGTGGCCAATGTGATCGGGGAAGTCGTAAAGTTTGAGACGAAGAGGCTGAGGAGAAGATCGTTCGAGGGCAAAGGCTGCGAAATCGCCGCGGCTGGATCTACATCCCTGGTATTGGGAGAGCAGCTTTCCAGGTGCCGCGAGGGCAGCAGCCCATAGGCGGGGAGTCTTGAGGGCGATTGAACGCCAGTGGCGGCAAACATGGGCGGATGCTTTAAGGGTCCATCCAACAGTGTGAAAAGATCTCGGAGAGAACTTCTGTGGGGAAGGCGCGGTGGATGGGCGCGACGGCATTGTAGATGGAGAGGAGGGCTAGGGCGATGTCGCGGTACTCTTGAGCTCGGATAAGAACCCATGCGCGGACGGCGTCGTCAGAGAGACTGTCCAACGCAGTATGGTCTGCAGCAGGAATTGAGGATGAGAGGAAGGGGACGGCGACAGTCATGAGAAATGGCTCTGCGAGCGGTTGGTAGTTGCGATGAAACAACAGCAGGCGCCAAGTCGCGGCTGTCTCCCTCCCTCCTCCATCACAATAACATCTGGCTCGCTCGTTCTGCTCCTCGCCTGCACTCCCTTGCCGCCTCGACTTCCTCCTACCCGGACCTTGTCAAGACGCACATATCACTATCACACGTTGAACATCGGCCGGTGGGCGTTCAGCTCTCTGTCCACCGTTGGAAGAGGAGGAGAAGGAGAAGGGATATCGGAAGTCCACAGGTGCGCGTGTGTTTCCTCTTCGCCGTCTTTTTGCGTTCTCTCGCTCCCCATCATTGTCGCACTTTGTACATCTCGTACCGCGTTTGAATACATCGACTGTTGTACGTCCGGATCGACTTCGTCCGTGTGTGACACATCCACGCAAGAAGCGTGTCATTTGGGTTGTTCGTGGAGGGGATGTGCCTCGTACTTTGCGCTTCTCCCCCACTCCCTCTTATCCCTATCCTTGAGAATGCACTGCCCCACCGCAACACCCCCGGCCCAGTCGCAGTTGTGCACCGGTGTGATGCTCATGCAGCTCATCTACGTCCGAACACGTCTCCCTACGTCTCAGTATGCACTTCTGGCGGGCGCTGATCCCTCCCCACTCGTGTCACCATGCATGCAAGGATCGACAGAGATTATACAGGATTCAGGTCGTCGGCCCATTGGTGGGGTCGTATGGCGTCCTCCGCACGGCGCACGCTGGCCGGGGTGTCCGTCTACGACGAGACGGTCAAGCATCCGATGGAAACGAGACCCCGAGTCTGCGCTCGCAATGTCGAGTGAGGAACCAAGTTCGAACGTCCGAAACACAGACACTCACGACGTCGTTGTTCTCGCAGCACACGGACTCGGCCTCGCAGGCGCTGCCGCAAGCGAGGCTGACGGCTGAGGCGGATGGGCAGCCGAAGGAGATCCAGGCGGTGGTGTCCTGGAGGATGACGCCGACGAAGGTGAGGGTGGCGGCGGACGACGCTTCGCTCGCCTGATAAGCGTGTCGTGAGTGCGATGGACATGAAGAGAGGGACTGAGTGTTGCAGCACTGGACCGGACCGACGTTGCAGTTGCCGGAGGCCTGGGCGGCGGCAAGGCAGGCGAAGGCGAAGGTGGAGAAGGCGGGGACGCGGGCCAACATAGTCAGGTTGACGAGGAAAGGAGCTGGGGTGGAAAGCCAGAGAGCGGTCAGTGCGAGAAGCGACGTGCGTGCGAGGGACGCTGACGAAACTTTGCTCCTTGTGTAGCCCTTGAAGGAGCTCGCGTGCCATGGCGACACAGAGGCGCGACGGTCGAACAGGTTGAAGTTGAGATGCGCGGTGAAGAACGTGCGTACGTACGTGCGTCTGTGGTCAGCAGGTGGGCTGCGCGGAGTCGCAGCCGCGGGCTCCGACCGTAAGTGCTTGCCCAAGGCAACACTTCACCAGAGATCGTTTAGCACGTTTTTGGACTACGTTCGTCCTTCTCCCCGATCCTTTGTTGCTAATACCAGTCCGACTTCCGGCCTCATTGATCGCAGTTGTTGCACACAGGATGGATGCGAAACGTCAAGCATGAATTAGGAGCAAACGTAATATCATCGACAGAGACATCCAAGCATAACGGCTACGACATGAGGACCAAAACGCGAGGCCAAACGCTTAGAGCGTGACAGGGACACAGCCAGCGGCCACGCCGCCACCCTACAAATCACCATGTAAGCCCATTGTTCACCGAATCAACGGCGAAACACTCACAATGTTGTTGTTCTCGCAGCACACCGTGTTCGTCGTGCAAGCGTTGCCCGACCCGACAGCGACCACGCCGATCGGCGAGCACTTCAGCCCGAGCTCCACGTTCGTGTTCTGCAGCGTCGCACCGATCGCTGCCAGGATCGCAGAACCGGCAGCCGAGTTCGCCTAGACAATACCATGGATCAGTCCCGCGCACTCAGACAACAGATCACGGCACTCACGCTCTTCAGGCTCTCGCAGCACTGGACGGGGCCAGTGGTGCACTTGGTTGCCGCGGCGAGGGCGGCGAACGCGAGGGTGGAGACGACGGCGAGGCGGGCGAACATGGCGATGAGCGAGGGGCGGAAGGTGATAGCGAGAGTCTAAAGTCGAAGGGCTGAAGCTGGTGAAGGCTGGTGCTGCAGTCTGATTTCGTTCCGGGGGGGCTTATATACTTTCTACTATAGGCCCGTGCGCCGACACCCCAGCGCACCTTGACGGTTAGCATTTCGCTGTGCGAGTAGGTCGGCGAGTCGAGCCAAGCGTCGGAGCGGGGCGCGCACTTACCCGTGTCTTCCCAGCTGCCGGGGCGGCCGCGACGCGACGCGAGTGTCAGAATGAATTGGTTCACATGATCGCGTACGGGCTAGCGTCGCTCGGCACGCTTCTCCCCGCCTCCTGCTGCAACCTCTCCGAGATCATCAACTCTCGCGTCGTCGCCACCGTCCTGCTCCAGCTCTGGGCGTTCCCCCTTCTCGTCGCGCTCTACACCTTCAGCGCGCAGACGAGCCCGTGGGCGTACTTCGCCGTCGTCTCGCTCGTCACGGGCTTCCAGTATGTGCACCCGGTGCAGGTCGCGCGCGCGTCGACGAACTCGTCCGAGGTCGGGACGCGGATGGTGTCCGCGTCGTTGTACAACATGTCCGTGCAGGCGAGCAGAATTGTCACAGTGCGGGGCGCGTCAAAGGGGTCTGGGGGCGGCGCGCTGACCAATGTGCATTCTCTTCTAGGCGAACATCTACCGGGAGGTACGTCGCCTCGCCCAAGTTCGGTTTGCGCTCCGGATCGCGGCCCCGTGGTTGCTCACGGCCTCCCTTCATTCTGGAAGCCTCTCTGTGAGTGGCCTAGCGCACCGATGGGATGCGCTCAGGTGACACCGCCGTGCAAACAAACGCGGGGACCACGCGCCCAACGGACCACGGTGATGAACATCGTCGTCTCCTGTTCACCTACTTGTTCCACCGCACGACCAACAAGCGGCGCGACCGGGTCTGGCATGGGTGGACGAAGGAGGCATAAGACGTGCAGCGGGGCGTTCTTCGGCGCGGGGTGATGCCATGTTGACCGGCGCGCGTGGGGGTATGCAGGAGCGGCAGCGCTATCTGGACACGACGAAGGACTAGGTGCGTGGTCTGGCCGTCTGTGTTCTGCACGCCGTTCAAACGTTCTTGGTCTGCGGCAGGGGAACGAGCGGATGAACTTCGCTTCGCTTTTGATGGACCGCGGCGGGGTCTCCGCAAGCGTGGGCTCGAGCTTTGAGCCTTGGCGCATCGGGCTAATATTCGGACAGGCAGCGTATCATAGGATTGTTGCAAGAGGCTGTAGACCTTTGGGAATCTCCGGGAGCCACGTTCGCGCGACCCGTTGCCTTCTGCCTCCGCGCTCCGCCTCCGATCCGTTCAGAGCCCCCAGGAGGAGCATTCGTAGGATGGTGAAAGCGCGGTTGAAGCGACGTCCTAGTCCCGGCGCTTCCCCGCGAGCAGCTGGGCCGGGCGACAGGATTAGCCGGGCGATCGCGCCGGCGCGGCTCGCGCGTCTTGCAGGCCTTGACCGCATCATCACAGTGGACAGGACACATCATGGCCACCGTCGACACCCTTCCCTTTCTGCCTTCGCGGGCTCATTCCTGCTGCGGATCGGGCTTCACTTCAGGGCTCTCGGATGCCGCATTCGCGAATGGGTCGTCGCCAAGGCGAGGAGTACCGCGAGATCGCGCTGTCTCTCCTGTCCCTCCACAATCAATCACGCCGATCCATCGCGCTTTCCCGGCGGAACTCCTCTCCGAGGTCCTTTCATACTGCTGGAAGACATGCGTAGTGTGCGCCTTATGCACGTCTGCCGTCTCTGGCGCGCGACAGCACTGAAAACCCCGCAACTGTGGGCTGAAGCCGTCGCAGCTCCGAGTACCCAGCTCACATTCAACAAGGCCAGGATCGAAGTGCAGTGTCAACACCTGGAGGACAGCCGCATCTCGTTCGCGGCTACCGCGATAGAACTATCGTCTCCGGCACCACTGCGCCTCAAGATTCATTTTCTGCCCGATGCCCTATCCCAGACACTCTCGTCGCACACCTCCCGACTCGTCGACTTGTTCGTTCGCCTCCAAAGTGCCGCGCAGCTTAACTCTCTGTGCGCATTTCTTGCCAACGGCGTACCCAACCTCAACGTCCTCGGTATTGCGTTTCCCGGATATTCAGGCATGTACCAAGAGTGGCTGGCGCCAGACGACGACATCGATGAGGGCAACGACCAACAGAGGCTCTCCGAGGAACTCGTCAGTTGGAGCTCGGGTGTTCAAGGCCTGATCGCAGACACTCCTCGTCTCCAGACGCTTCGATGCGTTCCGATCGACCTTGTGTCTCACTTCGCTTGCCCCACCGTGCGCGACATGTGCATCACTCCTGCGGTATTTAACCCGCGTCACTTGGAGGGCTTCGTTCACGCACTGAAGAACACCCCGGATCTCACGCGCCTCGATCTGTGCATGGTAAACGTGGGCTCCACGCTCAGGCCGGAAGATGACGCTCCTGGGTGGACAGCCAGCCCTGTCGACCTTCCAGCGCTGCGGATGTTGGTCGTCAACCTCAACGGCAACTTGAAGACGGCGGAGTACCTCGACCTCATCGCCCTTCCGTCCTCCGTCGGCATCAACATCATGCAAAGCGACCTTGGCCTTTCGGACCTGTTCCATGACTTCCCTTCTCGTCGCACCCCGTTCATCCCATATCGACTGCAGTCCGCAAACGCCGTGCACATCTGCGATTCTTACGACCGGTGGAAGACCCCCACCGTCGTCGTCTCAACGTCGAAGGACGACGAGGAGCTCGTCCGCTTCACCCTCACCTCTCAATCGCACGGCATGCCCTATCTGCCCCCGTTCGAGCTCATTGGCACCTTCCGCGGCACGGGCGCGCCCGTCACCCACCTCGTCCTCCACCAGAACTGGGCGATCGAGCCCACGAACGGCCGACCGGACATCTTCCGCGCGTTCCCGCACCTCACCTCGCTCGACCTTGCTGGCCCGCGTGTGCACCACGTCATCGAGGCGCTCCAGCACCCGGACGTCGACGGGTCCCTTACGCGCTCGTGTGCCCGCGGCTGAAGACGCTCAAGGTCGCGTTCGCGCTGAACTGCGGGCCCGGCGGGTCGGTGTCGCAGGAGGCGTGGACGGCGCTGCAGGAGCGGCCGGTGGGGTGGAGGGAGACGGTGCTCCGCGGGATCCCGGCGCGGGTCACGGTGCTGGTGAAGCGCTGGAGCACCGCGTGCAGCGGGGGCTCCGGTTGGCGCGGCTGGATTGGGAAGATCGGGAGTGGGACACGACGTTGGGGCTGGAGTTCCCGCCGTCGGCGGTGGTTGGGACGTACGTGCCGAGCCCTGAGTTGTTCGATCAGGAGGAGCTCGAGAAGTTGGTGGACGGGCCGGTCGTCTTTGGGGGGTTCACGTACCAGGAGACAGATGAGTAGAGGTGTGTTATTGCGTGGACAGAGGTGTGCTTCAACTACAACTCGTTACGAACTTTGAATTGGGCCGGTGCGACTCGCAGATTCTGTCGTGCGTGCACCACGGGAACGCTGTCCTAGCCAGGCTTGGAGTGCACGAAACGAGAGGTGGAGGACCAAGAGAAGACACGGAGGTGAGCGCGGCGATGCAGGCTGGAGGCGATCGATGACAACGCGGGAGGGCGTTTGTAGACGATGCGGTACTGAGATGCTGAAGGCGGCAGTAGGTAGACAGACAGCAGAATGTGGATAGCATGCACACTGACGAGGGGCGGAAACATGCATAGATCATCGGAAACTGCTAGAACAAGTCCATGAACGAGTGCGAGTCGTAGAGACGGAATCCGAGTGATTGGGCATGCCTGCGAAGAGACGAGTCCGTATAATCTGATAGAGCAGATAAAAAGAGCGAAAGCCAGCGCCACAGCGGAAGTAAAAGTCCATGTCGCGGCTGCGCGGTGGTCTCGTGTTGAGAATAAGGCCCGGAGCAAAGCGAAGGAAGCGGTTGGTAGGATAGAAGCGTGCGGCGGCGCCGTGCGCCTCCACATCCGACCTTGCGTGACGGCGAATACGCCCTCCGCGCCTACGACGACGACGAGCACACGGGGTCCTCCACGTGCCCCACGCGACCCGCTCGCGACCTCGACCCGAACCCCTCGGAAAGCCTCGTCATGATCTTCTGCTCCTTCGCCGCGGCCATACGCCATCCGGTTGTGATGCATTGATGGGTCGTCATAGGCTCGGGGGTCATGGGAGGCTGACCTGGTAGGTGACCCCACCGAACACGACCGGCCCGTCGACCAACGTTTCCAGCTCGGTTTGGTCGTATAGCGCCGTCGGAGGTGGCACATACGTGCTGACGACCGCGGTTGAAGGGAACTCCAGCCGGAGCTCATCGTCCCACTCCGCCACTCGCCACTCGAGCCGTTGCAGGCGAAGACCGCTCGACGCTCGGCTGCTCAGCATTTTGACGAGCTCAGCCAAGTCGTCTCGGACGCCCGTCGCGATTGTCTCCTCCCACTCCGCTGGGCTGGCTTCGATCACCTTTTGGACCGAGCCGCGCGCTCGACGGAACGCGACGGCGAGGGTGCGCAGATGCAGACAGCCCGGACCGTCGCTGTCCTGCGGTTTCCCGTCTTTGGGTTCCCTTCTTGGTAGCGCCCACAGAGTACGCCGTACGCATTGGCCGGCGAGGTCGAGTGACGTGAGATTGGGGAGAGCGTGGAGGATGTCGCGGATGTAGGACGATTCGTCTTCGTTCTGGCGGATGATAAGCCGTGTGATGTTCGCGCCGTGCTTGCGGAATATGGGGGCGCAGTCCGGCCACACCCATGTTGAAAGTGTGAGTCGAGCAAGCGCGATGTCGTCCTTGAACGTGGTGAGCTCGGTGGACATGCATCTGCCGCTGGAGTCGGAGTCGCAGATTTGTGCCATGTCCGCGTTCTGGATGCATCCCTCAAGCTTCTCGTGGCTGCCGACGACATGTGATAGTCTCATTTTTTTTGCGATGACTTCGACGGTGGTGGAAAGGGGGAAGGAGAGACACCGAAGGTAGAGGTGCGACATGGGATAGAGACCAGTGTTGATAACGACGTTTTGCAAGGCGGGCATGGTTACTCGATCGACGCTGCTCCATAAAGGCGACTCGAAATCGGGAAGATAGCTCTCGATCGGGCCTCTATCGACCAGTTCACCGTCAGCATCATAATCATACAGGTTATCGAAGTCCCCGCCGACTATCCAGAACTTGAGATGCTCAAGCGCGGGACACTGAGTCAGCGCCCTGGCGAAGTCGTCCAGGTGGTCATACGCGAACTGTGCGGGGGTGACGCACACGTCGCGAAGTGTAGGACTGGTGAAGTATGGGAAGAGATCGATGGGGATGCACCGGAGGGTGTGGAGGCGAGGGAGGGCTACGGGGTCAAGAACCGGGGCTTGTGTGCTTCTGCTCCAAACATGTAGATTGCTCTCGAGGTCCTCTCGTATATCGTTTCGGGTGGTGGTAGTGCGGCCAAAGTCGTTGTGTGTGTCCTCGCAGAGCGGCAGCCAATCTTCGTACATTCCCACAAACCCCGGGAATGTGATGCCGAGCACCTCTAGATTGGGCGTTTCCGAGTTGAGGAACTTGCATAGAGTGGAGAGGGTCGATGCATCGTCGAGACGGACATAGAGATCAGCGAGGCGGACAGCGTGTAGGGCGAGCGTGCTGGCGAAGTGATCGGGGAAGTGGTAGACTTTGAGGCGGAGAGATTGAGGAGAAGACCGTTCGAGGGCGAAGGCTGCAAACTCGCGGCGGCTGGATTTACATTTCCGGGGTTGGGAGAGCAGCTTCCCGGGCGCGGCGAGGGCGGCGGTCCACAGGCTAGGAGTCTTGAGGGCGATTGAACGCCAGTGGCGGCAGACATGGGCGACGGCGATGCTTCGAGGGTCTTGCCAACAGTGTGAAAATATTTCGGAGAGGACTTCAGTGGGGAAGGCGCGGTGGATGGGCGCGACGGCATTGTAGATGGAGAGGAGGGCGAGGGCGATGTCGCGGTACTCTTGGGCGCGGGTGGCCACCCATGCGCGGACGGCGTCGTCAGATAGACCAGCCAATGCAGCATGGTCTGCAGCAGGGATTGAGCACGAGAGGAAGGGGACGGCGACAGTCATGAGAAATGGCTCGGGTTTTGAGTGCAAGCAGTTGGTAGTTGCGGTGAAAGAGCAGCAAGCGCTAGGCTGTGAATGTCTCTCTCCCTCCTCGACCATCTGGCTTGCTCGTTCAGCTCCTCGCCTGCATTCCCTCGTCGTCTCTTACTCTTCATAACGTCTGCTCTCCGTTCATCCAGCTCATCAAGACATACTTATCGCCAGGCACATGTGGAACATCTGCCGGTTGGTGTTCAGGTTTGACCGCCGTCAGGAACTTTGAGGGGGAAGGAGATGGGATATCGGAGGTCCACAGGTCACTGCGCGTACGTTTCACCCTCGCCGTCCTCTCGCGCCCTCTCGCTTCCCAGCATTGTCGCACTTTGTACGCCCGTCGCGGCGTTGGAATATATGGCTGTTGCATGTCGGGATTGACTTGGTCAATATGTGGCACATCCACGCAAGCAGCGTGTCATTCGGGTCGTTCGTAGACGGGACGTGGTACGCACTTCTCCATTCCATTTCGTTCAATGTGCGCCTCCCCTACACATCGTTGGGAAATACACTCTCGCGCCGCAAGATCCATCGCCGTGTCTCCAGTCACGGTCGCACTCCGTGCGCGATGCCCATCTGCGTCCAGTGAAGACGTTCCCCTGTGTCTCGGCACGTACTTCCCCACCCGTATCAAGCACGCCCTACATATATGCGGCGACCAACGAGCGTCCTTGCACGCTGACCGGGTCTCGGCATCTAGAAACGAGACTACCCTGCGTTCGCAACCTAAACAAGCAAGCAAGTCCGAACGTCCGAGGCACGGGCGCTCACGACGTTGTTGCTTTCCCAGCACACGGGCTGAGCGTGGCAGGCGCTGCCGCTGGCGAGGCCGGCAGCGGAGATGGACGAGCGGCCGTGGCCGATGTGACCAGGGGTATGCTGGAGGACGACGCGGCCGAGGAGGGTGAGGATGGCGGTGGACTCCGACGCTTCACCCCCCCGGTGAACATCGCGCGCAAGGTCAGCCCTGCCGACTGCAACGGTTCTTGGCGGGAGAAATGGCGCTCTGAACGCTGTTGCAGTGGGAAGACCCGGGTGGCGGCGAGGCGGGCGGAGATGGGGGCGGAGACGGCATGGGCATGAGCGAACAAAGTCAGGTCGACGAGGGAACGAAGGGTGCACAGGCGAGAGAGGAGTCGGTGGGTGCGAGGGATGCTGACGAGCCATCGCTCCTACTTAGGGCAGATTTGTATGTCCCTCGGGGGAGCTCGGACGCCGTTGCGACGGAAGGGTCGAACAGCTTGAAGTTGAGAAGCGGGGTAGACGGCATGCGTTGCCGACAGGCGGGCGTTGCGGAGTCGCAGCTACGGAATGTCGGCCTTTGGTGCGTAGCTAAGGCAACATTTCAACAAACTAGTTTGACGTTCTCATCTCCTCATGGGATACGTAGAACTCGATTACGAGTGCGTTTACTCCGATCCGCAATGCGTTGTTGCTAATCCCGACATGATTTCCAGCCTTCTCACTCGCAGTTGTTACACACGGGATAAAGACGAAACGTGAACCATGCATTAAGAGAAACGTAAGATCATCTACCAAGTCAATCAAGCACAACAGCTACGGCATAAGTACCCAAACGCGAAAACAAACGCTTAGAGCGTGACCGGGATGCAGCCAGCGGATACGCCGCCACCCTGCAGATAACCATGTGAGCGCACAATCCCATAGTGACAACCACGAAACACTCACAATGTTGTTGTTCTCGCAGCACACCGTGTTGGTCGTGCAAGCGTTGCCCGACCCGACAGCGACCACGCCGATCGGCGAGCACTTCAGCCCGAGCGCCACATTCGTGTTCTGCAGCGTCGCACCGATCGCCGCCAGGATCGCAGAACCGGCAGCAGAGTTCGCCTACATAAAACCATGGATCAGCCTCACGTACTCGAATAGCACAACGACGGCACTCACACTCTCCAGGCTCTCACAGCACTGGACGGGGCCAGTGTTGCACTTGGTCGCCGTAGCAAGGGCGGCGAACGCGAGGGTGGAGACGACGGCGAGGCGGGCGAACATGGCGATGAGCGAGGGGCGGAAGGTGATAGCGAGAGTCTAAAGTCGAAGGGCTGAAGCTGGTGAAGGCTGGTGCTGAAGTCTGACTGCCTCCCAGGGAGGCTTATATACGTTCTGCTGGCGGTCGGTGCGCTGGCACCCCAGCGCACCTTGACGGCTAGCATTTCGCTGTGCGAGTAGGTCGGTGAGTCGAGGCAAGCGTCGGAGCGGAGCGCGCACTTACCCGTGGCTTCCCAGCTGCCGGGGCGGGCGCGACGCGACGCGAAGGTCAGAATGAATTGCTTCACTGCGTGATCGCGTACGGGGTAGCGTCGGCACCGGTTTCGCCCCAGTGAGTACTATGCGTTTCATCTGGTCCAGAAGTCCGGGACGATGAGCTTCCAGAAAACCATGGGTCGCGCCGTTCCAAGAGGAAGAAAGTGTGGGTACAAAACATAGCGATGGAAAATCGAGAGCAGTAGTACTAGTACAACAAAGGCGGGGTCTACTGTAAACAATTAACGAAGGTGCGGTGTTCGTGCAGACGTGCAAGGGGGCGAAGAGCGAGCGTGGGAGGGTATCGTACGCAAGAATACGTGTGGGATCGGCGCCAAGGTTCCAGGTCAGCGGGCATGCACGACCGCGGGGCGGGAGGATACTCCTAAGGCAAACAGGCGCCGCGCCCTGCACAAACAGTGGGACAGAACGGCACGAGACCGACGGGCAGGCCCCATAGGTAGAGCAGTCGTCCCCGCGGACGAGCGGTCGAGCCTTCAAAGACGATGTAAAAGTGCGTAAGGGACGTCCGTACGGCGCGCAGGCGCGGCGTGGCGGACGACGTCGCCGTTATGGACACGGAGGCTTTCCGGCATTCGACACGAGGCGTGCGCGGACGTCGTTCGCCACGGCGTCCATCGGCGTCTCGATGACGCTGCGGTCCTCCGTCGTCTCCGTCGTCCCGCCGGACTGCGCGTCCCGCTCCACATCGCTCGGGAGCTGGGTAGACAGCTGGAATAGGCCGACGCGCATCAGCGGCGGCCGCGGGGGGCGAGGAAGGGAGCGTAGCAGACGAACGTCGACGCGGATGGGAGACGTCCAGGCCATGTTTGAGATGCGTTGTGTCGATACGCCCGAGTGCGGCGCGTTCTGGAGCTCGGCGCGGCCGTTTCTGGTACGAAGACCGGGAGGCGGTCAGTGGAGCACGGACCACGCTGGGCATGTTCGGGGAGGCGGACTCACAGCGTGACGAAAAGGGAGATCGCATATAGTTTCCCCAGAACGCCCTGGAACGTGAGATCCCAGTAGTTCTTGTTCACCTGGACCGCGACGCTTCGTGAGGAGCGTGTTGCAAGCTGCCATGTCACATGCGGGGCTCACGATTGTAAGATATGTCACGACGGTTATCGTCGCGCATATTGCTGGAGGGAGAGCGGCTTCCCATATGAGGACCGTCAAACGTCTCATGATCTGCAAAAACGTTGTCAGGACCGATTCCGGACAGTCTGGTGGATGAACTTACGCGACGAAACCTTGAGGAAGTAACGGCATTCTTTGAGCGGGCCAGGAACGTGAGCACTATCGATCGGACATTAGGATGAGAAACAATGAAGACATATGGGATCGCACATATCCCAGTGACGAGGACGTCTAGCACTAGGCAGATAATGAATTGGCAAGAGCGCTTTGAAAAGCAAAACATAACTTACAAGCAGAACATGTCAGACAGAGGACGACTATTATGTTGATTTGGTCAGCTGGTACGTCACTTGCTTTTCTATAACGGACGCACAGGTCGGATTAATCTACGTTCAAATTAGCAGAGCGAAAAGCGTCCGATAATTTGGTAAGCATACCATTACTTCAGGCAAAGGACCCTCTTGGACCTGCACGATACCAAAGTGGAACTGGAGCGTCGTGATCGTCACGAACACGCTCGATATGAGGGTAGCGAGAAGGAGCGCGGAGAGGGTCAGCTGCAGGCCAGCCGCGTCAGCTCGGAGAAGCGCACGAAAGCCCAGAGTGATACGAACCAAGACGAAGATGTTGCGGTTGACCAGCTGTGGCCGGCGGACATCAGTCGGTCGAAGCGCCTCCCCGCACGGTCGTTTGACGTACGACCCAGCACCTCCATATCAGAAAGGCTTGAACCGGAGACGCGATGATGACCGTCTGGGGAGGCGTCAGCGGGCGTGGGCCGGCGCACGGGAAGGACGGCGTACGACGATAGATTGGATCTTGTCGACCCAGAAGAACCCGACGCCGACGTACTGGGAAAGGGGTCAGTCTCCGGAGCGGCGGTAACTGCGTTGAAGAAGAGGAGCCCACCCAGTTCCCGAAGTTCAGCACGAACACTCTCCACGCTCCGAAGAACGTCAACGCCGTCTGCGCGCTGGTCGACCGGGTGCGTAAGGCGCGTCTCGGAGCACTAGAGACTCGAGACACTCACAAGGCAACGACGGACACGAACGCGGCGAGCGCGCGCACGACGGCGACCTCGCGTTCCGCGCGCAGCCAGAAGGCGTACACCTGGTTGAAGAGCACGCCCGTCTGGAGCATCTGGAGCCCGATCGTCACGAACTGCGGCCCGATGTAGGACGCCGGGTGCGCCTCCACTCCTTCGAGCGAGAGCGGCATGGCGGAGCGAGCTGGAGAGGGAACGCGCGAGGACCGGCGTTAGGCGAGGAGAGCGCGCGGGATGTCGAGCGTTCAGGCGAGTGCGCCGCGGGAGCGGCGGCGCAGACGACGGATGCGGGAAGGGCGACGAGGCGGGGGACTGCACGCGAGCGCAGGATGGGCGTATAAAGCTCGGCGGGCAACATTTTAATAACCCCGGCGCGGGAGCGAGACGGCCGCGTTTGGAGGGCGGGCACTGGAGGCTGGAGCTAGGACGGGGCCCAGCTGCCTACCCCGCACCGCGGTCATTCAGTCTGGGGGTGGCGACGGTCGGTGTCGGCTTTCGGCCCCTGCGGGTGGATCCATTAAGCTTCTCGTGGGCATCTTCGACCTGGAAAAAGACGCCCCAGTGCGACCCAGCGTAGCTCCGTCGTCTCCTGGTTTCCTCGTGCTGCACTTCGCAGGGTGCCTGTGGGCCATCTTGTCTCCCGCGTGGTCTCTTTTGAGAGCTCGATTATGTCTGCTGGTGTATGAGTGGCTGAGGAGGGGCGCGCGTGCCTCGTCTGAGGTCTCTTTTAGACGCTACTCCGACCTTCGAGATGCTATCGAGCATCGGCCGTCCCGCGCTCTAAATATGGACACAAAGTCCATCAGCAGGACACGACGGCGGTGATGACGAGCGCTTCTCACTATTGCCTCCGACGATTGACGGAGTCTATCTGAGTACGGCAGACTTCGCCTTGCCTTGCGGGACGGTTGGGGCTGCTTGACTGGCCTTCGAGGAAACGCTGAGAAGTCCTGCAGACGGTTCATCCTGTCAGGATCGCGTGCTCGTTGGTGTTGGGTATACATAACGACGTGCCTTCGCGCCTCCACTAAAGGCTCCGCGCTCCGATCGAGCAATCCCAGATTCCATGCTCCGGACCCGAACTTTGACGTTAAGCCCGACAGGAGCCAAGGTCAGGCAGACGAGGCAATGCTCATGGGCGGACGTGGCGCACCTTCGGCAGCGCTGTCCACATCTATTGTCAGAGCGCGAATTCCGCAGCAGCCCGTGGCGCCCAGGGCGGGTTCCTGCTCATCGCCCCTACAAAGCGTGTGTCGGGGCGAGGGTTGCAACACGTCTGCGCCATGTCTTCGTTTCCATTCCGTGCGTTCTGCGGTGCGTTCTGCGGTGTGTTTTGCGCGGGCGTCGCTGCTTTCAGCTCTGAAGGGGGTTCGCTGTCGTAACGAACCTACTGGTAGGTAGCTTGCGCGATTGTTCAGCTGTGCGGACAAAAATGACATCAGGGCACCGCGGATACGGGGAAGCTGCTCATGTGCCTACCGTCGTGGCAATGTGGCTCGCAAGGGAGGGCGAACGAGCTCGACGGGAAGTCCCAGCTCATGCCGTCGATAAGCTCCGCTCGACTCCGGTATTGGCGCTCGACTTTTCCGACCGCAAAGCGGCCTCACGCCAGACGCGACGGTCCCGAGCTTCCTGAACCTGCCGGCTGCGGATGCCACGCCGACTGGAATCCTGGATCGAACGCGGGGCGTCAGGACACCTAAATAGTGTTATGAGCACGCGGGGCTTTGCCAGGGCAGAGAAGACGCGAGCCAAATACCTCATCCAGCACCAGAAGCCGCGACCCCGGCGCTGTAGTCCCTCGCGCCAGCGAGGACGGGCACACGCATCGAGCATTTTGCCTATACCAGCTAGCGGCAGAACACGCACCGCACCGACGCCGACAGCCCGAGCCTCGTACCTCGGGCAACGCCGACACACACCGGTCACCGGAGAGCCGGCGCACCGAGGCTCGAGCTCCGCCAAAGGCTTGCCGGCGGCGCCCGCTCAGGCTCGCGCTTCGTCCACACGCGCCGCCGCGCACATTCAGCGAACGCGCGTCGGGGCAGAAGTCCTCGCGTTCTTCGCCCTCCGACGCGCGCGCCCGCCGCCACCACCTCGAGGCTCGCGCTCCCGCCCGCCGGCTCGTACATGTCTCTGCACGCACAAGGCGGTGGGGGCGGGTAGAGCGGCGAATCAAGGCCCGCATGCGGCCGCGTGCGCAGGGCGAAGCGGTCCTGGGCGACGCGAGTGAGGTCTCCCGCGCGGCGCGCAGGACACGGCGCGCAGCTGGCACGCCGGGGCCGCCATCTTTCTGGGAGCTTTTCTGGGGGCCGTTTGTAAGGTTGAAAATCCACGTGCAGTCAGAAAAAGCATTTCTATGGGTTTCTATGGGCGAGAGAAAACCTTACTCGCCTTTCTCTCGGCTTTAATGTGGCACTGGAAAGATGGTCGCCTCGGTGTGTGGGCCTGCACCGACGCGCGAGCGTCAGCTGCTGCGGGGCTTGCGGACCGCGAACCGCAGCAGGAGGCGAGTACTTGATCGTGGGGCTGGACTCGTCTCGTGGAGGAAAGCCCGCCGCACTGGACGGTCGGGGTGCCGAGATGCCGTCCCCGTAGCGGACCACCACGAACGAGCACATGCGACGAAGGAAGCAGCGTAATCGGCGATCACGAAGCGCGATGTGCGCTGCGCTGGACTTCCTGAGCGTAAGCAACGGGAATAGGTAGTGATGCTCACCGAAATACCGACCCAGCCAAAGCGCGATGGAACCTGTTCGACGTATTTCGTCAGTCATGAGCGAGAGACCTGGGTCCCTCCTCTCGAGACGAAGAGCGGAGAATGCCTCGCCGCCGCGCCACCCGGAGCAGTGTCTTTGCCTGGAAAGGCGTCCACTTCGCGAACTCTCTTGGAGGAAAAAAAACCCCGCGTCTTCCGTTCTCATGCTCAATGAGCACCGGCCGCCCTTCTCGCTGAATGAGGGCATATGCACTCCGCGCGCGCCGCGGGAGCGAGACGTGGAAACCACTGGGGAAGGAGCGGACTCCCAGCGCCGGGCAGCGCCGTGCGGACGATGTACTGCAGGAAGCTGGGATTCCGTCAGTGGGACGTTCAGGTGCGAGAGGAAAGACCAATAGGGTAAGTGGATTAGCTGTACGATAAGATACAGTCCGAACGCAAAGCCTAGATGTCAGAGGCGGATCTCAGCCTGGGCAAAGTCTGCTGAGAACGGCGCACGCACGAATAAATATAGAGCGCGGCCCCCCGCCCGCTCTCAAGCCCCTCATCCCGCCTCGTCACGCGCCGTCGTCGTCGTCGTCGAAGAACACCACGACCGCCGTCATGTCGTCTCTGCAGCCGCTCGTCAGAAAGGGGAAACGAACGGCCACGAGGCGAGGCTGCGCACCGATACGCCCTCGTCCGTGGGCTCTTGATCGTCAGCAGCGCGGAGGTGAGCTCGCGGTCCGCCCCGCCCAGCGCGTTCCGGAGCAGCATCGTCGCCGCGTTCTCGTCCGCGCACGAGAACCGCTTGTCCGCGCTCCACTGCCGGTACCGCACCGTCATGTCCGGCGCGTCGCTCGCCCACACCGGCAGCACGTGCGGCGCGTGCCCGCCCACCGGGTCCCGCACCCGCCCCTTGCGTCCCTCCTTCCCCCCCGCCGCGCGCGCGTCCCGCCACATCCCGACGAGGCCCACCGCCTCCTCGTTCGTGAGCGCCTCCCAGAGCCCGTCCGAGCCGAGCACGAGAAAGTCCCCCGCGCGCACCGGCACGCTCACCACCTCCGGCGCCGCGTGCACGTACGGCGGCGTGCGCACCTCCGGCAGCGCCGCGCCGCGCGCGAGCCCGCGCCGCCGCAGCTCCTGCTGCGCCGCGCGCGGCCACTTGAGGCGCGCGTCGCCGAACGCGCGCGACACGCCCATCCCGAGCACGCGCCCGTGCTGCAGCAGCAGCGGCTCGCCCGGGTGCGCCGCCGTCAGCCGCGCGACCTCGCCCGGGTGGCTGCCGTTCTGCTCGACGGTGAGCGCGTGCGCGGCGTACATCCGCTTTGGGGCGTCGGAGGCGGCGGCGGGGGGCTCCGCGTCCTCGCGCCGCCCGAGCACCGCGCGCGAGTCCCCGGTGAGCGCGACGTGGAGCACGCCCGCGCGCGAGTCGTGGAAGGCGAGGAGCGCGCAGGACCCGCCCACGCGGGCGCGAGGACGCGCGCGGCGTCCTCCGTGCGCGCCGCCGCGGAGAGCGCGAGCGCCGTGGCGAGGCCGTCGTGCACGATGTGCTCGTCGACGGCGGCGAACGCGGCCCGGATCGTCTCCTGGATCTCCGCCGGCGTCGGGTCCGGGGTGCCGCCGGTGGCCGCGGCGAGACGCGAGTAGAGGTCGGCGAGCGCGCCGGCGACGGCGAGGGTGAGGTTGTCCGCGAGCCACTTGCTCGTCTCGCCGCCGTTGTGGCCGTCGAAGAGGCCGAAGAAGGACCAGTGGCCGGACGGGACGGGCAGGACGGCTTCGGCGTGCTCGTCCTCCGCGGGCTGGTTGCTGCGAATGAGTGCGTGAGTGACACGGATGGCAGCGGATAATCTGCGAGGGCCGAAAGGCGCGAGAGAAAGGATCCGTGCGTCCACCAGGGGGGTAACTTTCTCGCAAGACTGATTGCAGAACATTCCGTTGTCCACACACAGTCCTGGACACCTGATCCCCTGCTCCGCTCTGCGAAGACGATGCGTTCCGGCGAACGACGTCACATGGGACGAACAAACAGCCTCCACCGTCGGAAAGCCTGTCCTTCGTCCACCTTTCCGCGCCGGCGGACGTCCAGCGCCGCCCGCCGGTGATCAGCGAGGCGGTGCGGGCCAGTCTTCCCTCGAGATGTCGATGTGGCCCACGCGCGGCGAGACGGAGAAAACAGCTCACCTCGCCACACACGCGCAGTCGTACCGCGCGATGCCCGACCCCGGCGGCGGCCGCACGCTCGTCTCGTGCCGGCGCAGCTCGCGGTCGACGTCCACCCGTCCTGCCAGCCACACCCACACCACGGTCACCGGGGCTGCGTCGGACGCGGGAGGGGAGAGGGGGGGGGACGTACGACCGATCTCGCCCTCGAGCGACACCGCCGCGTTCGAAATGCAGCTCAGCGCGCCGCCCCACAGCGCGAGGAGGCGAGGAAGAGCGACCGCGGCGCGGCGGGGGCGTCCTGCCGCGGCTTCGCGTCACCCTGCGTCTGCTCGCCTTCCTGGGGCTTGCGGAGCCGGAGGCTGGTCTGCGGAGCGGGGGGCCCGTCGGGGGCGCGATTCGTCCTGGGCCGGGGCTGTAGGTTCGGAGGGGAGGGGAGGGGGGTTTGGGCGACATGGAGGATCTGGGGGCGAAGCGCGCCGCCTGGCGCCGCGCGAGCTGGAGCTGAGATCTAGACGTGAAGTGCGCCAGGAGGGGGGGTGCCAGAGAAGGATAATCCACGCTGGTAAACGAGAGGCGAGGGGAGGAGGAGGAGGAGGAGGAGGAGGAGGAGGAGGAGGAGGAGGAGGGAGAAGAACAAGAGGCGGAACAAGAAGTTCCGCGAACATTTGCCACCGTCCTGTGTGATGAAGCTTGAAGCTTGAAGCCGCAAGCGCGCGTTGGCGCGCACGTGCCAAGGGTGCTCGTTTTAGCATGATGGCAAAGGTTTGTCGGTTCAGAGTCCATGCACATGCATGGAAATATTAGGCTTTAGCACCGTGCTGACATTTATGTTCAAAGTTAACGTTGAGATGCGAGAGAAACTGCACAACTGCCCTTATGACGTCATGCGACTTGCACCTGCCCAGACATCGACAGTAGGTACTCGAGGCGTATTAATGTCTCCGATATGGTGTAGTGGCTAACATTATCGCCTCTCACGCGATAGCCCGGGGTTCGATTCCCCGTGTCGGAATTTGCCTCAGTGTTTCTTTTTCCCTTCCTCATGTCGAAGGCATTTGCGCCGTATACGGACTAGTCGTACTGTCAAGACCAATTGCAGCACAGTGGACGGGTCATAATTAAAGATTGCTGGCTCCTCGAACGCTCGACGGAGCTGGGCGGTGGGCATACGTCGCCAGGCCCATGACACGGAAGCCATCATCCCGACAGTGGACACCCTCCTCAATCCTGATCCTGAATTCGCTCACTGCTCAGAATCAGATCCCGGACGCTCGGACTCAAAAGTTAGAACGATCAGACCCGCACGGATCACGACATCCGCGACCTAGCCCCTTCCTCCAGCCCTGCAGGGCGTGGGGGGATCGAACGCGACGTCATTCCATCACATCTATCAACGCCTGCGCCGCCGCACGGCACATGGGGGCGGGGGCACGTCGGGCGACATGGCAGCGTCGCCGATGCCGCCAGACGGACGGACGGACAGCGTGCACGGACGCGAGCCCGAGCCCCGAGCCCCGAGCCCGAGGTCTAGCTGCGTGGGTGTTAGGAAGCGGCGGTCGGGCGGGGACGGACCGTCGCACGACCGAGCCCGCGGGGGTCGGGATGAAACATGCAATTGAGTGTACACCAGCGGAGTTGCGCGAAGGTCAGAGCCGCTCGGACGGAGGGACGTCGCGTCGTCGCGACTGCATCGGTGCGGAACCGCTGATTCGTGGACGGAACGGGCTTGACGAGACGCGGCCGGAGCAGAAGCTCATGATCACGGATCACTGATCAGACGGGGGAGCGGGACGGGGGACGCGTGTGGGATTACTATGTGGGTACACGGGGACGGCTACTGGAGACACCAATTGTACAGAGCGCCCGGGACTTTCTTGTGCGAGTCCGGAGAACGGGAGAGGGAGAGAGTAAAAAAGTGTAAGAGAGATGCCAAGGAGAAAGAGAGATGAGTGCGATAAATAAGTGGGTGTAGTGTATATGTGCAGCGACGAGAGACGCAGGGTCAGTCAATAAGCGAGGGCGTAGAGCGGGGAACGGAGAGGCGAGGCGAGACGTGGTGATGGGTGATTCTACAGATGCGACGTGGGCGACATTCGTGACGACGTACACCGGGGCGGGCGGGCGAGTGAGCGATTAGTGGATCGGCGGGAGACGATACGAGGGGGTGAGGTGGGGTTAGAGGGGAGGGAGGGGGCGTGAGCGAGGGATGGATGGATGCAATGCGAAGGACCAGCGACAGCGTTGACGAGGCATGAGGAGAGAGAGAAATGGAGAGGTGCAAGAGACGATGCAAGGAGACCAGAGGAAAGGAAGAGAGGGAGGGAGGGAGAGGGAAAGGTGCGTCTAAACCCAAGGAAAGCAAGATCGTACCGAGACTGACCGACCAGAAACCGCAACCAGCGTCCGCCCCGCACACACCGCGCAAAGTCCGTGTGCCCGGATCCGTCGCCCCCATCCTCCCCGCTTTTCCCCCGCCACCTCACGCGGTCGCGACGAGCTGCGACAGCGAGCTCTTGACGTAGCTCAGCGGCTCCCCGGAGAGGCGGCGGCGGAGGTAGGTGCCCATCGGGCGCCCGCTGCCGCGGTTGAGCAGCGTCGTCGCGAGCTGGCGGCCCCTGGTGGGCCTGGGGAGGAACCGGGAGCCGTGCGAGGACGAGTACGAGTAGCCGATCCCGGGCGGGAACGACGGGGTCTGACGATGATGCGGGTGCCGTGCGGCGCGGGCGCGGGGGCACGGGGAGCGGCGTGAGCGGGTGCTCGTCCGCGGGGTCCGCGAACGGGTCGTCGAGCGCGCGGGTCGGGTCGGGCAGGGCGGCGAGCGGGGAGGAGACGGAGAGCGGGGCGAGGGAGGCGATCGAGGCGGTGGCGGGGCGTTCTGTGGGTGCGGGGGCGGGGCGCACGGCGCGAGGGGATGAGGGCGGGCATGGGGGAGCCCATGGAGATGGTGATGCGCCGGGGGCGGCCGCAGGGGCGGTCGGAGAGGCCGACGCCGGTCGCGCGGCTGGGTGCGCACGGGGCGTCGAGGGAGGCGACGGCGAGGGCGACTCGGGGGCAGGTCTTGTTGGGGATCGCATCCCAGCGGTCGCGGGAGATCTTGATGGAGGAGGAGGGGGAGAAGAGGGAGGAGGAGCCAAAAGCGCTGTGAACGGAGTGGATGCGTTGGGTGGAGAGAGCCATGAGTGCTTGGGAAGTATGGTACCGGGAAGAGAGAGGATTAGTGGAGAGGAGCGGGAGGGGGAGGAGAGTCGTCGACGGCGGCCACTGGAACGGGCGGCGGAGGAGGAGGAGGTGTTATATGCACCGGGCGCGAATCGGGGGCCGAAAGGGGCCGTGCTCCCGGCTGATCCCCTCTCCCGCCCGTCCCGGCGTCACCTGCGCCGCCTCGTGCGCCCCCGACGACGAGGACAACAACCTGCCAACTGTCCTCCCGCCCATCATCCATTCACAACCTCAATGTCGCCCGCCCCGCCGGCGACGAGGCGCGGGCGCGACGGACCGCCTTCCCAGGTCAGTCGCGCAGATCGCGATTCCCATCCCGCGCACCGCTCCACGATAGCGGCGAGTGGGATAGTGCGCTGGTGGCCCTGTGCTCTCCAGAAGGCCAGTCGCACAGGCCAAGTGCATCGACCGAGGACACCGGATGCCACCAGCAGACGCAAGGAACAGCCGCTGTGCCGCTTCCAGGCGGACGAGAACCTGGAGGGCGATAGCGCGGTCCTTCGAAGCCGGTGCCACGCCTGGTCATCTGTCCGCCTTCCCATATCCGCCAGCGCGCCTCCTCGCTCGAAACCGTCGAGCGCGGACGAAAACGAGCGGCGGGCGGTGCACCCCCCGAACTCAGATCTCCTGCGATTCAGCTTGCCAAACCGGGGTCCGAGTCCGGCGTTTCTCGACTCCAAACCTCGCCCCAGGTCGGGACAGGACACCGCTCGAGGAGGACGGCAACCGCTCGCGGCGCACACGCGTTCCATTGTCCTTCCACGGCGGTTCGTGTTTTCCTTGTCTCCCGCTCCAGAACCACAGGCCAGAAGACACCGACCGCACTTACAACGCCCACAACAACGCCCACAATACAATGACGCGCGCCTCATGTCCGGCGGAGCAGCGCGCCCACGTCGGCGCCGCCTGTCACCGCGACGCACTCAAAATGCTGCGACGGGACAAGTCCGTGCTCGCCCGCGTGGTCGCCCGCACGCCTCTGCCCTCTCTAAGTGCAAACATATGTATGCACCCCGCGCTCGTTTCCCCCGCGGCGCCGCCAAGTCGCCCTGATCGGACGTGGCCCCCATCCCGCCCGGGACGTATGCTACCCCACGCCCGCGCACAACGCTTTTGTCCCGGGCGTCGTCGCAGGCGCGCGTGCGGTCGTACGTCGACCGCCCCGCGACGCGTCAGGAGGCTCACCAGCCGCCAAACTCCCCGTTCGCTCTCGTCGCGGTCCAGGTCAGGCCGCGACACCGACGCACCCGACGCACGCAGCAGCGCGCACGCGTCGGGGATCGCGTGGCAGCGCGCCGCAGATCGGGATCGGGGATCGGGACGCCTCTCGGCCTGCGCACGCTCGGTTCGGACGGGGTCTGGGGCCTGGGCCGCGCGTTCGAGCGTGCCCAGACGTGCGTCGGCGGACGTGCGCGATCGACGTCGCTCGCCTCGTCCGTTCTGTGTGCGTGCCGTGCGAAACGAAGGCCGGGCCACGGGAGGTTTCTTGAACGGAGTCGCGTTGGGAGTCGTGTTCGCAGAGCTCTGTCCTCCGTGGAAGGACAGCTGGCACGATCATGCATATGTGCCACACATGGACTCGTTTGGATCTGCATTGGAAGCACAACAACTTGGGCGCGTGGCCAGTCACGATGTACGATCGGCACAGGCCGGCTTCTTTCGTGCAGGACGACGTGCAGCAAACAAAGAGAGCCGTCAGATCGATTCGCGCGTTGTTCCGTCCAGGCGAAATACCAACTTGCCCCTTGTGCCCGAACGTCGACGCGGCCCCGTTCGCACCTTGCGGGTGCCGAGACGACACGGCGGTCCGTGAACATCGTAGACATCAAGCCTGCGCGTGCGTACGCACCTTGTCCGCCCGCGCCCCGAGCGATTAGAGGGTTCCGTGGTAGCCACGACGTTCAAACCTCGTGGCCGGGTGCGTCGCGAGGTGCCCTGCTTGCCTCGCAGAAGCTCGTCCGTGATGGACGTGACGCGCCGACGAGTATAAGGAGACGGTGCCGCTTGCGAAGACGAAGGTGCGGACCGGCGCCTCGCCGCGACGTCCACGTACTTTAGTACTAGGATTCCGTGGATGCATGCGCCGTCCGCCGACGGGGACTCCGGAGGCTGTCCTGGATGCTGATAGACAGACCGAAACGTGAGCGCGGTACTCTCAAACCACTTACCGTACACGCGCATCTCCGCTGTTGCCGGCGCCCGGGGAGGGGACGGGGGGCGAGGATGGCGAGATTTCACGCTGAGCCACTCGGCGTGGGTGTCACTGTCAAGGATCAAAATCCGAACGTGCCACTGGGCGCCAGTGGTCCCGGTCAGAACATCGCACGCGCTTATACAGGCGCCAGAGCCGCGTGCGCGCCTCGTGGGTCCCAACCCGATTCGAATTGGAATTTCGGTGGATGGGTGCGTACAAGCTTTTGCACGAACTAGGACAACAAGGAGAGGACGAGAACAATAGCGACGCCCCCGAGTACGTGCGTCGTGGGGCTCATCGCGGGCTTTGAGTGGTCTGGAGGTGGGGTGTGGAGGCAGATGGTGTCGTCGGATGGGTCGCGCGAACGTCGCTCCCGGATATATCCAAAGGTCTATAGTCTTGCCACAATACTACGATACACTGCCTGTCTGAGGGTCCCGATGCGCCAGAGGCTCAAAGCTCGAGCGCACGCATGCCAAAACCCCATCATACACGAAGCGAAGTTCATCCGAGCGTTGCCCTGCGCAACGTGAACGACGTACGTGCCGAACACAGGACGGCCAGAACACGCACCTCGTCCCTCGTCCTGTCCAGACAGCGCTGCTGCTCCTGCACACCACCACGCGCCGGTCAGCCAACCTGGCAAGAACGAAAACACCCCACACCCACGCACCTCCTTCGTCCACCCTTTCCAGAATCCAGATCCGGTCGCACCGCTTGTTGATCGTGCGTAGAACGCATAAGTAGGGACAGGTAGAGGACGGTGTTCATCACCGTGACCGCGATGAGCGCGCGGTTCCCACGTTTGTCTGCACGGCCGTGTCAACCTGGCGCATCCCATCGGTGCGCCGGGTCACTGACAGAGAGGCTGTCAAGAACGAAAAGGAGGCCGTGAGCAACCGCGGGGATGCGGAGCGCAAACCGAGCTTGGGCGGGCGACGTGCCTTGTCGTCGTCCCGGTACACGTCTGCCCGGAACAGAATCCCTTGACTCCGCACCGCGACGATCCCGCCAGCCTGCACGAACATGGTGGAGAGCGACGCGGACGCCGTCCACGTCCCGACCCAGATGAGCTCCTCGACGCCACGCGACGTGCACCGGGCGCACGTACGGGAAGCCTGTGAGAGCGAGACGACGGCGAGGTACGCCCTACGGGATCGTCTGCGCGCCGAACGTGGAGAGCGCGACGAGCTGGGGAGCGCCCAGAGCTGAAGCAGGACGGTGGCGGCAACGCGGGAGTTGATGATCGAGGAGGGGTAGCAGGAGGCGAGGAGGAGGAGCACCTCGAGCACCTTCGATGGCACGGAGAGGAGGTTCGACTGCGTCGTGGTGAAGCCGAGGTTCCGGAGCGAGAGCGTGGTACGTCTGCGGGGAATGCCAGGGAGTCGTGAGCGGGAGTTTTGAGAGAGAGAGGTGCGCGGACGTACCGAGGAAGGTAAGGCCGAGGGCGTAGTAGATGGGCCACATGCGCCGGTCCTTGATCGCGTTTCACAGGTTCTTGACCGACAGCCCTTGGCGGTTGTGCATGTCCGACTTGGACGGGTCGTCGCGCAGGACGCGGTTCACGATGATCGTCTCCTCCCTACGAAGAAACGCAGGTCAAAAAGAGTGATCGTTGGGATGCATGCGTATGCACCTCTCCGGGAACCATCCGTTCGGCCGGAACCACGCTTTCGTCTGAGTTGGACCGACGCTAGCCCGTACGCGATCACGTGAAGCAATCCGGTATGACACTCGCGTCGCGTCGCGCCCGGCTCGTCCGCTGGGAAGACACGGGTAGGTGTGCGCTCCGCTCCGATGCTAGCCGTCAAGGTGCGCCGGGGTGTCGGGGCATAGCAGAACGTATATAAGCCCCCGCTCAAACACAGTCAGACTTCAGCACCTACCAGCTTCAGCCCTTCGTCTCTCCGCTCTCACCTTCCGCCCCTCACCCATCGCCATGTTCGCCCGCCTTGCCGTCGTCTCCACCCTCGCGTTCGCCGCCCTCGCTGTGGCCACCAAGTGCACCACTGGCCCCGTCCAGTGCTGCGAGAGCCTGGAGAGCGTGAGTGTTGTTGTTCTGCTGTTCGAGTGCGTGAGGCTGATCCAGGGTTTTGTCTAGGCGAACTCTGCTGCCGGTTATGCGATCTTGGCAGCGATTGGTGCGACGCTGCAGAACACGAACGTGGAGCTCGGGCTGAAGTGCTCGCCGATCGACGTGGTTGCGGTGGGCTCGGGTAACACGTGCACGACTAACACGGTGTGCTGCAAGAACAACGATATCGTGAGTGTTTCGGTGTTGATTCGGTCGACCATGGACTTACATAGTGTTCTCCAGGGTGGTGGAGTGTCCGCTGGCTGTGTCCCGGTCACGCTCTAGGCGGTTGGTCTCGTTTTGGTGCTCATGTCGTTGCTTTTATTACTGGATGTCTTGATCGATGATTTTACGTTTCCTCTTAATGCATGCTTCACATTTCGTACCCATCCTGTGTGCAACAACTGCGACCGATTGAACCAGAGGTCGACAATAGATTGGGGTCATAGTAAACTCACTCGCAAAATTGGTTGACCTCGACGGTAACGCGCCGAACGGACTCCCTTGAAGTGTTGCCTCGGCCAAGCGGTAGTCCGCAGAGGTAACTCCTGGACGCACCCGCAGATGCACGTCTTTAACCGTGCATTTCAACTTCGAACTTTGACGTTCCCGTCCCCGCGTCGCTATGCCGCGAGCCCTCGCGCGAAACCTGCCCAAGATCAAGGTCTCGTCGGCATCCATCCCACGAACCTCTATCCTTCGCTCCAGGCACTCATCGTCCTCTTGCCTTTTCACCCCTCCTTCCCCCGTCGACTTCCCCACGTCCTCGCCTTCTCCACGTTCGCGTCCCCCGGACCCGCCGTCGCCCAGCCCTCCACCAACTGCAACACCGGCCCTGTCCAGTCCTGCTCGAACAGCGTAGACTTGATGTCCATCGCACTCATGCTCACCTCGGAATGCTCCCCAGGCCAGCGAAGCGTTGTCTGCCGCCATCCCTCCTCGGCCTCGTTCTTCACGATACGACCGCCCACATCGACCTCGGGTGCTCACCCATCTCCGCCGTCGGTCTCGCCAGCGGCAACGCCTGCGAGGCCCCATCCGCATGCTGTGAGAACAACAGCGTCGTGAGTGTCTGTGCTTCGAACGTTCGAACTTGCTTGCTTACCTGGGTTGCGAACACAGGGAAGTCTCGTTTCCATTGGATGCCTGCCCTTCTCGTCGTAGATGGAGACCCGGGTCAGCGTGCGAGGACCCTCGTTAGCCGCTACATTACCACCCCACTGATAAGCTGATAACATAAATCATTTCTGAACTCTGTCGATCCTTGCGGGCGTGATAAGGCGTGCTTGACACGGGTGGGGGAAGTATATCCTGAGACACAGAGGAACGTCTTCACCGGGCGCAAGTGAGCATGGCGTACGGAGCGCGACCGCGACTGAAGACGCGGCGATGGATCTTGCGGCGCGAGAGTGCATTTCCCAAGGACGTGCAGGGGCGGCGCACGTTGAAAGAGAACGAAAGAAGAAGTGCGTACCACGTCCCGTCTACGAACGACCCGAATGACGCGCTGATTGCGTGGATCCGCCACATATTGACCAAGTCAATCCCGACATGCAACAGCCATGTATTCCAACGCCGCATCGGGTGTACAGAGTGCGACAATACTGGGAAGCGAGAGGGCGCAAAAGGGTGGCGAAGGTGAGACGTACGCGCAGTGACCTGTGGACCTCCGACATCCCGTCTCCCTCCCCCTCATTCCTAACGGCGGTCAGAAACCGGCTGATGCTCGACGTGTGCCTGGATATACGTATGTCTTGAAGAGAGCTGGATGAACGGAGAGCAGACGTCATGAAGAGCAAGAGACCGTGCGAGAATGCAGGTGAGGAGCTGAACGAGCAAGCCAGATGGTAGAGGAGGGAGAGAGACAGCCATGACTTGGCGCCTGCTACCGAAGTTTCATCCCAACTACCAACTGTTCGAAGTTCGAACTCGAAACCCGACCTGCTCTTCAAGCTTCATGACTGTCGCCGTCTCCTTCCTCTCGTGCTCAATCCCCGCTGCAGACCATGCTGCATTGGCCGGTCTCTCTGACGATGATGATGATGATGATGAATTCATGCCAGAGCCTCTAAGTACCTTCGTAATGCTATGTACGAGCTTTCTCAGGGACGGCGGCTATCCCGCATTTGTTTGACTACATAGGAACGGGGCCACGGCCTTAGCTAGTGAGTGGCAGGTGCAGGCCCAGCAGGCGGCCGCATTTGGAACCAGGGAGCGCATACGTAAAAAGTTCATTGGCCGAAACAGAGTCCATGCGCATCTGAAGACCCACCATTCCCTCCTTACCGTGCCCAGCCCAGACGTTGGCATCCGCTACTAGCCCAGGAGAATCTTATCAGGTGGTTTATTTGGGGTCGGGGGTTGTCACCTCGCGCAGGCGCAGAGTGGCCGCGTGGAGGCCGGGTCTTGCGGGGTGGAGTGGCGCCCGAGTCGCCCTTCGGCAGGCGGCGGGGGCACATGCGGTCATAGGCCACGTGATCACCTGAGCAATTCACGCAGCGGACCGGCAGAGTGGGGGCACCAGGGGTCCTCACAAGGAGCCCGTGGTCGTGCGAGTGGTGGGCGCCAGCGCAGATGCCACACGCCGGAGGCGCGCGGCAGCGCAGAGCCACATGCCCGAACTTCTGGCAGTTCTGGCACTGGGGGCGGTGGGGAGTGACGCGCGCCATGAGGCAGGCGCGCGGGCCGTTGTCGAAGATGAGGCGCGTGTTATTGAGCTTGCGGGTGGTGGCGAAGGCAGCGTCGTCGTCAATGTCGACGAACAGTGAGGCAGTGGGAGCGTCGGGGGTGTGAGGGCCCCAGCGGATGGCGGTGGGCGTGGGGGAGGTGTGGGCGCCGGCTGTGGTCCAAGCGGGGACTCCAGAGCGGGCAATGGCGTCGCGGAGAGCAGAGCGGGGGTCGACCTCGACCGACGTCCTGTCCGCATTATAGCGCAGGTGCTGGACCTGCGGGAAGAGCATGGAGGCCCGGTGGACATACCGGGCCATTCGGAGGCGGGCGCCGAGCAGCGCTTCCAAGTGTTGGTGGAGGGAGGCGGCCTGGGCATCCAGGTTGGCTGAAACACCCGCAGCGGGAGCCGCCGGGAGGACGGACCAGCGGGTGCGAGCAGGGTTGGAGGTGAGGCGCTGGACGGGGATGTCGCAGCGTCGGCGGAGGTCGTCAAGGACATGGGCGTCGTGACCAGGGATGGGCAGGGCCGAGGCTGGGTCGAGGATGTAGAAGTTGAGGATGCGGGCAGAGCCCGCAGGGCGGCGCTGGTCTCTCTGACGACGCCCTGCGCACATGGGTGCTCACCCGAGCCCAAGAGTACCGCGACATCGCCCTCACCCTCCTCTCCATCTACAATGCTGTCGCACCCATCCACCGCGCCTTCCCCACGGAGGTCCTCTCCGAGATATTTTCACACTGTTGGCAAGACCCTCAAAGCATTGCCGTCGCCCATGTCTGCCGTCACTGGCGTTCAATCGCGCTCAAGACTCCCAGCCTGTGGACCGCCGCCCTCGCCGCACCTGGAAAGCTGCTCTCTCAATACCAGGGATGTAGATCCAGCCGCCGCGAGTTCGCAACGTTTGCGCTCAAACAATCTTCTCCTCAGCCTCTTCGTCTCAAAGTTTACCACTTTCTCGATCACTTCGCCACCACGCTCATTCCACACGCTGCCCGCCTTGTTGATCTCTATTTCCACCTCGACGATTCATTTACCCTCTCCACTCTATGCAAGTTCCTCAACTCGGGCACGCCCAATCTCGAAGTGCTCGGCATCACATTCCCGGGGTTCGTGGGGATGTACGAAGATTGGCTGCCGCTCCGCGAGGACGAAGACAACGACGACGACTTTGGCCGCACTTCTATCACCCGAAACGATATACGAGAGGACCTCGAGAGCGATCTACGGGCTTGGAGTGAATATACACGAGCCCCGGTTCTCGACCCCGTAGCCCTCCCTCGCCTCCACACCATCCGGTGCATTCCCATCGACCTCTTCCCGCACTTCACCACTCCTACACTTCGCGACGTGTGCGTCACCCCCGCACAGTTCGCGTATGACCACCCCACCGATTTCGCCAGAGCGCTGACTCAGTGTCCCGCGCTTGAGCGCCTCAAGTTCTGGATAGTCGGTGGGGAACTTGAGTGGGACTGTGATAACGATCGTCAAGACGTCGATAGAGATCCGGTCATGGACTATCTTCCTGATTCCGACTCGCCTATATGGAGCAGCGTCGAGCGAGTAACCATGCCCGCCTTGCAAAACGTCGTTATCAACACCGGTCTCTATCCCGTGCCGCACCTCTACCTCCGGTGTCTCTCCTTCCCACTTTCCACCACCGTCGAAGTCATCGCAACAGACATGAGCTTATCACATTTGGTCGGCAGCCACGAGGACCTTCAGGGATGTATCCAGAACGCGGACATGGCACGCATCTGCGACTCCTGCCACAGCGGCGGATGTATGTTCACCGAGATCACTGCGTTCAAGGACGACGTCGCGCTTGCTCGATTCGTGCTTTCAACATCAGAATGGGGAGCCTGGCCGGTCGCCCCGGACTGCGCCCCCGTATTCCGCAAGTACGGTGCGAACATCACGCGGCTTGTCATCCACAAGAATGAAGAAAAACTCCATTCCGAATTTCGCGCAGTCCTCCACGCTCTCCCCAATCTCACGTCGCTTGACCTCGCCGGCCAATGCGTGTCGACTGCCCTGCCGGTGCTACTTCGACGGGAACCCCAGGACTCGGACAGCGACAGTCTGAACTGTCAGCATCTGCGCACCCTCGTCGTCACATTCCCTAGAGTGCGCGACTCGGTTCAGAGGCTGATCGAAGCCGACCCATCGGGCTGGGAGGAGAGGATCTTGACGGGCGTCCGAGACGACCTGGCAGAGCTCGTTAGGATGCTGAGGAGCCGAGCGTCGAGCGGTCTTCGCCTGGAACTGCTCGAGTGGCGAGTGGCGGAGTGGGACGATTATTTCCGGCTCGAGTTCCTTCCGACTGCGGTCGTCAGCACATATGTGCCACCTCCGACGGCGCTGTACGACCAAACGGAGCTCGAGACGTTGGTTGACGGGCTGGTCGTGTTCGGCGGGGTCACCTACCAGGTCCACCTTCCGTGGCCCCCGAGCCCATGACGACCCATGACGACGGATGGCGGGCCACCACGGCGAAGGGGCAGAAGGTTGTGACGGAGCTTTCGGGGTCCAGGTCGACGTCGAGCGGGTCGTCGTGAGACATGCGCAGGACCTCGCGCTCTTCGGCGCTGTAGGCACGGAGGGTTTGCTCTTCGACGTCGTGGAAGTCGAAATCGACGCGGGAGATGGTGTGTGAGACAGGGACGAGGACGGCAGGGTCCGTTAAGGTTGGAGGTGTGGAGGTGCATCGTTCATGTATTCATTCCAGCAGTACTCCATGACTCATTACAGTACAGTTTAACGCCCCCCATCGGTGCGCATGCGCCTGCTCACCTTTTGCCATCCGTCCGTCTGCCGCCACGCTTAGCTCATCAGTACGCATCTCCCCGACCTGGTGCACGAGCTCGGAGGTGTCCCTTTTCAAGATGTGTGCGAATGTCGGCGTCCGTACGCGTGCGTCCGTACCTGGTCCGTCCGCGCCCAGAGCGGTCAGAGAGGTCCGTAGCCACGACGTGAGTCCCACCGCATGGCGGCGTGTGTGGCGAGGTGCCGCTGCCTCGTAGCAGCCGCGTTCGTGATGGAGGCGTCTGCGTGGACGAGGACAAAGAAACCGCGTGCCCGTTTGCGAAGACGAAGACGCGGACCAGGGCCGCGCTGCAGCATGCTTGACTCCTAGGATTCCACGTAGGTGTCCGTATGTGTCCCCGGCGGATCCGAACCTTGGATGAGGAGCGCGATCCCCGCGGATACTCGGACGGGGGCTCAGGCTGTGCTGATAAGTAGACAAATCGAAACATGAGCGCGGTGCTCTCAAACCACTTACCGCACACGCGCCCCTAGGGCGTGGCGAGCGTCGGGAGGAGGGAGGAGATGGGGGGTGGGATGGCAAGATTGCCACACGCTGAGCCACTCGGCGTGGGTGTCAAGTGCCACTGCCAGTGGTACCGTCCAATCAGAACCATCGCACGCGCTTAGACAGGCGCCGACGCCGCGTGCGCGCCTCCAACCTGATTCGAATTGGAATTTCGTTGGCGCACCTGGGGCGTCTGAGCGTGTACAAGCTTCTGCACAAACTAGGACAACAAGGGGAGGACGAAACAATAGCGGCCCGAGTGCGTGCGTACGGGGTTCATCATGGGCTTTGAGCGGGCTCGGAGGTGGAGGGTCGCGCGAACGTCGCTCCCGGAGTTTTCTGGAGGTATGTACGCTCGAGTCTATAGTCTTGTCACAATCCTATGATACACCGCCTGTCCAAACGGCCTGATGCGCAGGAGGCTCAAAGCTCGAGCGCACGCTTGTGTTGAAGACCCCACCGCGGTCCATCAATACGCGAAGCGGAAGTCCATCCGCGCGTTGCCCTGCCGCGGACGAGAACGTTTGAACGGCGCGCAGAATACACGATGACCAGACCACGCACCTCGTCCCTCGCCTGCACAGCCCCGCCATGCGCCGGTCAGCACCACCCCACGCCCCGAAGCACCCCGCGTGCTCACGCACCTCCTTCATCCACTCATTCCAGATCTGGTCACGCTTGTCTGCACGGCGCTGTCAGCCTGAGCGCATCCCATCGGTGCGCTGGGCCACTCACAGAGAGGCTGCCGGGAATGAAGGGAGGGAGTGAGTGACCGCGGGGATTCGGGGCTCGCGCCGAAGAGCAAGGCGACGCACCTTATCGTCGTCCCGGTAGATGTTCGCCTGGAAGAGAATGTAGTACATTGGTCAGCACGTGTTCCCCAGACCCCTTTGACGCGCTCCACACCGCGACGATCCCGCCCGCCTGGACAAACATGTTGTACAGCTGATGATGATGATGATGATGAATTCATGCCAGAACATGTTGTACAGCGACGCAGACACCGTCCGCGTCCTGACTTCGGACGACGCCCACGTGACCTGCACCTGGTGCACGTACGGGAAGCCCGTGACGAGCGAGAAGACGGCGAAGTACGTCCACGGGCTCGTCTGCGCGCTGAACGTGGAGAGCCAGACGAGTAGGGGGAGCGCCAAGAAGTGGAGGAGGACGGTGGCGGCCACGCGGAAGTCGATGGTTTCGGAGCACGCCGAGCACCTTGGACGGCATGGAGAGCAGGTTCGACCGCGTCGTGGTGAAGCCGAGGCTCCGGAGCGAGAGCGAGAGGTGCGTCTGCGGCGGGGTGACGGGGACTGCCAGGGAGACATGAGAGAGTTTTGAGAGAGGGAGGGATAGAGCGACGCGCAGGCATACCGAGGAAGGTAAGGCCGAGGGCGTAGTAGGTGAGCCACATGCGCCGGTCCTTGATCACGTTTCACAGGTTCTTGACCGACAGCCCTTGGCGGTTGTGCATGTCCGACTTGGACGGGTCACCGCGCAGGACGCGGTTCACGATGATCGTCTCCTCCCTGCGAAGAAACGCAGGTCAACAGGAGTGATCGTTGCGTACGCACCTCTCTGGGAACCATCCGTTCGGCCGGAACCACGCTTTCGTCTGAGTTGGACCGGTGCCGACGCTCGCCCGTACGCGATCACGTGAAGCATTCCGTTATGACAGTCGCGTCGCGTCGCGCCTGGCTCGTCCTCTGGGAAGCGACCGGTAAGTGCGCGCTCCGCTCCAACGCTTGGCTCACTTGACCCACCTAGTCGCAACGCTGAAGGCTAGCCGTCAAGGTGCGCCGGGGTGTCGGGGCATAGCAGAACGTATATAAGTCCCCGCTGGGACTCGGTCAGACTTCAGCACCTACCAGCTTCAGCCCTTCGCCTCTCCGCTCTCACCTTCCGCCCCTCGCTCATCGCCATGTTCGCCCGCCTCGCCGTCGTCTCCACCCTCGTGTTCGCCGCCCTCGCTGTGGCGACCAAGTGCACCACTGGCCCGTCCAGTGCTGCGAGAGCCTGGAGAGTGTGAGTGCCGTCGTTGTGCTGTTCGAGTGCGTGAGGCTGATCCAGGGGTTTGTCTAGGCGAACTCGGCTGCCGGTTCTGCGATCCTGGCAGCGATCGGTGCGACGCTGCAGAACACGAACATGGAGCTCGGGTTGAAGTGCTCGCCGATCGACGTGGTTGCGGTGGGCTCGGGCAACGCTTGCACGACCAACACGGTGTGCTGCAAGAACAACAACATCGTGAGTGCTTCGTCATTGCTTCGGTGGAGTCGTGGGCTTACATGATGCTCTGCAGGGTGGTGGGGTGTCCGCTGGCTGTGTCCCGGTCACGCTCTAAGCGTTTAGTCTCGCGTCGTAGTGGTCATGTCGTAGCTGTTATGCCTGGATGTCTTGATCGATGATCTTACGTTCCCTCTTAATGCATGCTTCATGTTTCGCCTTTACTCTGTGCTCAAAAATTGCGAGCGATAAGGCTGAAGATCGGACTGGTAGTAGTGACGAAGGATTGCGGGTAAAATTGGACTCACTCATGCCACAACATGTCGAACGAGCTCCCTTGAAGCTGACTCCGCAGTTGAAACATTGGGCTGTCCACCTGCGGACCACCGACGTACGCGCATATGCACTTCCTTCATGAGTTGCCTGTCAACTTCAAATTTCTTTGACGCTCCCTGTGTCACAATAGCGCGACCTCGTCCAAAACATGCGAAAGGAGGGAGGTCTTGTCAGCATCCCTCGTACGAACGCACGGACGCCTCTCGCGCTTTCCTCCCTTCCTTACCTCGTCGACCTGACCACGTTCACCAACATCCTCGACATCCCGGTCCGCTGCAACGGTTTTCAGAGGGTCAGTCCTCTCGCCAAGCACCATCGTAGTCGGCAGCGCTGACCTTGCGAGCGCTGACCACCCGGCGAGCCAAGCGTCGTCCCCCGCCATCTTCAACCCTGCTCGCCGTCATCCTGCAAGACACCGCCCCCCACATCGGCCTCGGGTGCTCGCCCATCTCCGCCGTCGGCCTCTCCAGCGCCGACGCGTGACACACCCAGCCCGTGTGCGGCGAGAACAACGACGTCGAGAGTGTCTGTGCCTCGGACGTTCGGACGCGCTTGCTTACAATGGGTGGCGAACGCGCAAGGTGGCCTCAGTTCCAACATATGACTGCCCATCTTGTCGTAGGTGGATGCGCGGGTCGGCGTGCAGAGGATAATTATGTATACCGCACCGCTGATGTGTAGCCCGAAGCTCTGTCAGTCCTTGCGGGCATGACATGGCGTGATTGAAACGGGTGGGGAAGCTCGTTTTGAGATGCAAGGGGACATCTTGTTTAGACGCAGATGAGCATCGAGCACGGGCCTTGCGGTGCGGGAATGCATTCCTCAAGGTCATGTAGGGGGCCATGTTGTAGGAAAGGGAGGGCCATATGGAGTGCGGGAAGTGCGGGAAGTGCGGAGGCATGCCACATCTATGAACGACCCGACGATCGGGACGTGCAACAGCCACAGCATCGATGTACATATTCCAACGCGGCACGAGATGTACAAAGGGCGGCATTTCTGGGAAGCGAGAGAACGCAAGAGGACGGCGAAGGTAAACGTACGCGCAGTGACCTCACGACCTCCGATATGTATTCCTTCTCCTCTCCTCCCACCACGACGCACGGAGAGCACAACGCCAACCGGCCGATATTCCACGTGTGCCTGTCAATATGGATGCCTTTACAAGAGCTGAACGAGCGGAGAGGAGACATTATGAAGAGAAGGAGGCCACGAGAGTGTGGAGCTGAACGAGTAAACCAGATGGTGATCGAGGAGGAAAAGAGACAGTGACCGACTGGCGCTTGCCGTCGTTTCATCGCACCTCATTCTGCAACCGCTCGCACACGACTCGAACCAAGTAATGACCGTCGCCGTCCCCCTGTTTTCGTGCTCCATTCCTGCTGCGGACCATGCTGCGTTGGCTGGTCTCTCCGACGACGCCGTGCGCGCATGGGTGCTTACCCGAGCCCGAGAGTACCGCGACATCGCCCTCACCCTCCTCTCCATCTACAATGCCGTCGCACCCATCCACCGCGCCTTCCCCATGGAGGTCCTCTCCGAGATATTTTCACACTGTTGGCAAGACCCTCAAAGCATTGCCGTCGCCCATGTCTGCCGTCACTGGCGTTCAATCGCGCTCAAGACTCCCAGCCTGTGGACCGCCGCCCTCGCTGCACCTGGAAAGCTGCTCTCTCAATACCAGGGATGTAGATCCAGCCGCCGCGAGTTCGCAACGTTTGCGCTCGAACAATCCTCTCCTCAGCCTCTTCGTCTCAAAGTTTACCACTTTCTCGATCACTTCGCCACCACGCTCATTCCACACGCTGCCCGCCTCGTTGATCTCTATTTCCGCCTCGACGATTCATTTACCCTCTCCGCTCTATGCAAGTTCCTCAACTCGGGCACGCCCAATCTCGAAGTGCTTGGCATCACATTCCCGGGGTTCGTGGGGATGTACGAAGATTGGCTGCCGCTCCGCGAGGACGAAGACAACGAGGACTTCGGCCGCACTACCACCGCTCGAGACGAAATCCAAGAGGCGCTCGGGGGGGATCTACAGTTATGGAGTGAACGCACACAAGCCCCAGTTCTCGACGCTGCAGTCCTCCCTCGCCTCCACACCATCCGGTGCATCCCCATCGATCTTTTCCCGCACTTCACCACTCCTACACTTCGCGATGTGTGCGTCACCCCCGCGCAGTTCACTAGTGACCACCTGGCCGACTTTGCCAAAGCGCTGGCTCAATGTCCCGCGCTTGAGAGCCTCAAGTTCTGGATAGTTGGTGGGGACTTCGAGACGGACCTGTATGACGATGACGACGATGTTGATGAATTCCATAGAGATCCGGTCGAGAGCTATCTTCCTGATTCCTACTTGTCTATATGGGACGGCGTCGATCCGGTAACCATGCCCGCTCTGCAACACGTCGTTCTCAACACTGGTCTTTATTATGTGTCGCATCTCTACCTCCGCTGCCTCTCCTGCCACCATCCCATCACCATTGAAGTCATCGCGAAACAAACGACCCTACCAGATTTGGTCGGCGGTCACGAGGAGCTTGAGGAACGCATCCAGAACGCGGACATGGCACACATCCGCGACTCCGGCTCCAGCAACAGATGGAGGACCACAGAGCTCACTACCTTTAAGGACGACGTCGCGCTCGCTCGATTCGCGCTTTCAACATCGGAGTGGGTGGGGCCGCCCACTGCACCGGACTGCGCCTCCGTATTCCGCAAGCACGGCGCAAACATCACACGGCTTGTCATCCATCAGAACGAAAACGAAAACTCTTCTGAATTTCTCGCAGTGCTCCACGCTCTCCCCAACCTCACATCGCTTGATCTCGCTGGCGGATGCGTGTCCGATGTCCTGCGGGCGCTACTTCGACGGGGTCTCCAGGACCCGGACACATCACGAAACCGGGGGAACTAGGATCGGAGGCAGATCGAAGCCGGCCAAGGTCTGTCGGCGTTGATCGTAGGTGTCTGCATTGGTCTGCTGCTGGTAAAACCTGACCAACAATTGTCTTTTGAGATCAATAATGGCCAATACCCGCCGGCGGTCTGATCTGGCCCGGCCGTTGACAGGCGCAGAGTTGATCGGCACCGGTCGGAGCGCCAGCGGCACATGGCCAAGGTTGACCATGCTCAAGTGAACATATGGTCGGTGTAGATCGGCTCCCATGTCCGGGTTGGTCGCTGCTGAACAGGTGCTGGGGGTGGAACGGCCGGTGTTGATCCAGATACCGCAGCGCGATGGTCAGCACAGGCCATTGACGGGTGCGGGGACGGTCGAGTTAGACCGGGTCATGCATGTGGTACGAGCTGTGCAGAACGGCAGTCGCCCCACAGACGACCGGCATCGGAACGGGGTGCACCAACCATATGATCTCTGCAGAACGGCGTGTGCGGACGATACGAACTCTGGAGATCGTTCATCGCGGGAGAAACGACCGAGTCACACAAATAAGCTGATCAGGCAAGACGTGTTCAACATGTAGCCATCAATTCAGAACTAGTAGCCATCACACAATCTGATAACAGCACGTGCACGATAAAATCGCGCTTTTGATTAAATAACAGACAACATACAGAGCAGTGAGTACTAGTGAGTACATTCAGTGGTACCAAGAGATAAGCATGCAGGCCGATCGGGGCCTGCAGAGCGAGCGAGCATGGAACAGCACAGAGAACAGCAGGAAGAGAGCAATGGGAGAGCGGGAGCGAAGACGGGCTTCAGTTTTGAACTAAGCGGACATCAGAGAGAAAGCGGAGTCTGGCTGGCCGCCAATGACGAACTCGTGCTCCTCTCTAACAGACTCAAAGACTCTGGAAGAGGACGTGAGCCAGAATGGGACCAGATTGTCCTTGTGAACACGCACTGGTCATAGTACTTGAGGAGCCTTTCAGTCCACTGAGGGTACTTCACAGAGATCAGGAGGACGGAGTCCGAGAACTTGCGATTGGAAAAACCACAATCAGTCTCCGACCAGAACACCTGGTCGCTGAGCATGAAGCGCAGCTGGTATAGGGCACATCACAGTGAGCAAGTGAGATGCAGCAATGATAGAGAACAGGAGGCTTACTAGGGTTGCAGCGTAGATAATGGAGTGAATGGTGGAGTGCGTGGTGCCGGTCTTGGCAGCGACAGACTTCTGGCCTCGCTTAGACTCCGTGGGGTCCTCATTGGTCCCGATATAAAATGCGGTGTAGAACTATGTCAACAAGGTGAGATGTTGGTGCCAACGGCTCGGACAATGGGTCAATGACGTACATTATACAACAGAGGGCCACGAAGGAACGCCTCTCGAAGCTCGTGACCGGAGGGGACTCCGGAGCCATCGGACGGGAACTTGTCAAAGTCAAAGAAGGCGCGAGGGTAGTCGTCAGGTGCCAGTTTGATCAGCGCGAGGCGGACCCGTGTTGCGAACCTGTGCCACAGTGAGAAACGTACAGAAAAGCAGGATAGCGACGTACTCCTCGGGATCAGCCAAGTATGTAGCGTACTGGGTGAGGGGAACAAGCAAACTTCCGCAACCTCGTGGGTCATTGAAGCCTCGAGACGCCTTTAGCTTGTCGACCTCGACGGAACCGCTCGCTGTCAGAGGAATTGGGATGAAGTTCCTGGGGTTCCTTTTGATGCGGCTGATGTCGTCGCTACGCATGCGCCCACCGAGCCCGATGATCTATGACACCAGATGAGATTGCAACATATAGTGGTCGGAGCGAAGAGATTGGTATGACGTACATAGGAAGAAACAGCGTCCAATGCATCAAAACCGACTGTCTTCATATATTCGGCATGGTCAGCAAACTCTGGAAACTCGTCCATTACCACATTGAAGACGTCGCCATAAAGGCGCATGATGTGATCATGCTCCCAATCGGCATGATCAGTACTGGTGTGTGATTAGCGCAATAAATGAACAAAGATATTGTGTGGGACGTACATCATATCATCATCGCAGCCGATCTCCATGAGGGACAGAGGGAGCAACTTCTTATACGGCGTATAGAAACCGCCCATGCGAAGGATGGTACGGCTCCCCCAGTACAAATCGTCGGTACCCAGCTCCAGGCGTTGCGGACGGCTATAGTGGAGATATGGTGAGCAATGGCCGGGGTACAAGTGAGTGATGACTTACCGATGAGAGGGATTTGCTGCCCGAAGCCTCTCAAGCCAATACAAGGAGAAGTAGGGTGTTTCTTCAGAAGCGTGCGCATCATCTTGAGGCTGCTCCATGGTGAGTATATGCGCATGGTAAGTGTGGAGAGACTCACCTCGTCGTCATCCTCACCATCTGGTTCCGTCGTCGTGCCATCCGTCTGCAGCTCCGGCTGAGGCATCTGCTGCTGCAGTTGAGGAGTCGGCTGAGTTGGCTGAGGGGTCGGCAGCTGATGGGGAGCCGGTGGCTGGGGCGGGTGCATGGCGGTGGTCGAGCCCGTGGAGGCAGAACTGCCGGTGGTGGAAGAGCGGGATGGCATGGCGGTCTTGGTTGTCGGCTGAGACGGGGCAGTGCGCTTTTTGGGGAGAGTGTAACGCTTGTTCCGAGCCATGCAAGTCAGGGTGGGGATGGGGGAAGGTGGAGGAGAGGGGAAAGATGCACTGACGAGACCTTGCCCAGCCATCCGGCATATATCCTGCTGGGCAATGCACCCGCGTCGCGGGCACCGGGGCAGCCCGCCGACGTGCTCCGTGCACCGTTGACGTGGGAGGACGCGATCACAGGGGAAAAAAGTCATCTGCTCCTTGCGCCGGTCTGGGGCTCAAAGCGCGGGGTGGTATCGTAGAAGCTGCGGCGTAATTTGATGGTGAGCGAATTTAATCTATCCCGGGTTGCCGCCCTGATGCAAATCTCACCTCCCCAGTCTCATGTAGCTATGAGTGAGAAACTACATGCTCTCGATATTGTCTGGCAAGCATTAGCAGCAAGCTATGGCGGGAGTGTGTCAGTGCCGGCAATGAGACCCAGGATATGGAGGATCCTTACTCGCGTCCGATGGGTGCCCTGGATTGTCGATGCTTCTATCTTCTGTGGCGTGCAGGATTCGCGGAAATGTTCGGCTTCAGCATGGTGTTCTGCCGGTGTCTTGTGAAATATCATGCTGTTCCCATACCAGATGGCCAAGGATCAACATGCGCAGACTGGCACACCAGAGGGCCTGCAAACGAACTCACTGAGCATGCCCGTAGAGCGGGACGACACGACGATTGTGTTCCTGAATTGACACCGGATGTAAGCCTGGAAGATGTAGACAAAAATTGCACTGACATGGTTGCACGTATCAGAAACCTTGTTGAACAAACGCTTGTCGTCGATCTTCGACGCGACGCCGTCCTCGCCAGCAGCGCGTCATGGCTCCGCATCCACTTGAGGTGCTTCGGCATCACCAGCCGCGGTCCAGCGCGAGGGCACCCGGTGGCGATGGAATCCGTATCCGCGTCCGCGTCTGCATGGTCCCGTGATGACGTGGCGTGCAAGTCATCATAGTATGCACCCATGCTGATTGTCGACGACGTGAGACTTGTGGTGATCGACGATACATTCAGCATGCGCGACGACATGGGTGCTGTTTCCGGGGACGGTGGGGGCAGGGGCGGGAGGGGCGGAGGGCATTGGAGAGCGTGGGGACACCGGGAAGTTCGGAGACGGAGTACGTTGAGATTGTCGCGAGTGGTGCGGGCCACCACGCGTTGATGATAGAGATCGGACGCGGAGCCATTGCGAGAGCATGGGGGAGCCCTGCGAGGAGCGCCGCGAGGACGCGCTGCGGACCAACTCGAGCACGGTCATCGCGACGAGCACGAAGGTGCAAGCGTGGGTGAGCCACCGCTCCGCCTCGATTGCCTCTCAGAGGACGGTTGCAGTCGAGGGAACGACCAAGGGGATCATGATCTGTGCGTGTGTCGCGATCCACGTGTCCGTTGCATTGAGCTTGATCTCTTCGATGCCGGAGACACGTCTGTAGATCGGCGGGGCGGTCGTGTCGAGGGAAACAACGGTGATGAAGACCGCCGTGAGGAGGGGACGGCCGGACGAAGTCGAGGATGTGCGTGCGTGGGGCCGGCAGCTATGCGGATGAGCCTGCGCATCCCCGTGAGCGGGCGCACGGTCGTGGTCGTGGTCGTGGTCGTGGTGCCCATCATCGGCGACGGCGACGGCGATGGTGAGTGCGAGCTCGAGCTCCCCGCGCTCGAGCTGCGGTAGGCCTCTTTGGCCTCGAGCTTCCTGCGGTAGCCGCGGAGGGTGGCCATCGAAAGGTGCGCTCGGGTGGAGGTGGGGCCGAGGCACAGTGTGTTCGTGGCGAGGATGTCGCCGCAGAGTGGCAAGCCGCGAAGTGTTCATTTGGTGGAAGGCGTGGGGTGGATCCTGCGTCATCCTCGACGACCGCGCTCGCCTGCTCGCGCCCCGCGTCCGCTCGGCAGGTTGAGCAGCTCGTTGGCACGACAACACGTGCTCAACACCGCCTGCCGCTGGTTCGGGCGTGGCTGCAGGCGCGCCGAGGTGTCCAACGCCCGTGTGAGATGATGCTCGTGAAGAGCTCGGATCGCGTCCAGGGTGTGTGGCCTGTCGTCGGGAACGGGTCGCGTAGCGAGGGTGTACGTGGGCCACCGAGGTCGCGTGCGCGGGATTGACGGAGAAGTGGAAGGCGCTGTTGGTAGGTGTCGAAGGAGAGGCCGTTGTCCATCCACGCGCGTGGCGGCAGTGGCGGCGGCGGCGGCGGAGGAGGAGGAGGAGGAGGAGGAGGAGGAAGCCGAGCGCGGCGAGGAAACGGGTGCAGAGTGAACAGTTTTCCTATGTCCAGATGTAGAAGAGTTAGCTATGCTCATATATAAAACTGGTGGAAGAGACGGCACACTGTGCGCGCACGCAGCTCATGGTGCTGTGCCACTGACCGTAACCCTCAGGCGTGGAAGGACGCGGCTTGGGTAGCCAGGTGGGCACCGTTGGCTGCACATCCCTCCAGCCTGAGCGCGTGCCTGCGACGCTGACGCATGGGTCTCCGCACGCTCGATGCAGCATGTATGGGAATCAATGGGAAGTAGATGCAACTCACATTGTATTCGTCCACCTCCGACTCTGACCATCGACTGCAATGTGCGTGACGCGATCCAGGGAGTGTTGAAGTAGAAGGTCGCGGGGTCGACAAAAGTCTGAGCCAGAGTAAGCCATACAATGTGCGACAGGGTGCTAGTGGCGAGACGACGTACGAACATGGGCACGTAGATGCCGGGAGGGTCTCACGGGAGACAGGGTCCAGGTGGCCCGCGTGACACTCGAAATATCATCCGCAGTTGACTGGTTTACATGGGGCGAATTCGCGAGTGTAGAGACTTGTAGTGTGGCGACGAGGAGATTGCGCGATAAGCCAAGCTTGTTCATATCCTGAGGAAGTCGAAAGTTAACACTTTGTCCCCTCGCCGGTGACAATTCTGACAGACATACTCAACTAACATATCATGATATGTCCGCATTAGAGGCGGAAACTGGACGCGCATATAGGTGCTTGGCAGCGTCCTGTGGTGGACCCGGCTCAGCGCAAGGGTCGGGATTTGGAGTATCGCAAAGAATAGGTTAAGGGTGACGAGAGGATTACAGCACTTACTCGACTCCGTATAACGCCTCGCCCTCGTGCAGGCCGTCGCCCTCGGCTTTGGAGTACAACACTCCGCTTGTGCTGTCGACATAAGCCATGATTGGTTGTTCGGGCTGGAGAGTGGATCTAGTAAGGCAAGGGGGCAAAAGGAAGAGGACTGGAGGCAATTGCGGAGAGAGGACGTGAAGGTATGAAGGAGAGGCATACAAGCGCCGACTCGGCTGCTCCATGAAGGCAGTCGAGAGTTCTCAATGCTTAATTTGCCTCCACCATCTGGTAATTTACCGGGCCACCCATTCCATCCTTTCACCCCTCTCAACATCCAGCATGACACCCTCCTTGCCTTGTCCCAACCGTTGCAGGCGACTTTTCGATAACCAGCGTCAGGTCTCGGCGCACAAGCGATACTGCACAAAGACACCGCAGGCGTCGGCCGACCTCATACAAAAGCGTAAAGCAGAACTCGACGCAGAAGCGGCTCGCAAGAAAATTCGCCTGGAACAAAACCGTGTCAGTCTTGCCCACCAGGAGCAGGTATGTGGCTGTAACAACTCTCGCTCGGGAGTCGGTAATTGACAACTTTGCAGCTCCAAACGGGGATCATCCCTGCCACTCCAGTGCGACCTGGAGAGCGTTCTTCGCGCTACGGACGACGCATGCAAACACCTCGTCATCTTCGAGATTGTGTTCCCTCCAGCCCATCCCGGTCAGCTCTCCCTTCACATCTCGCTGAGGTGTTCCCCCACATCCCTCAAGTGGACACTTCACCGGGCTCTCCTCTCGGCTTCGGTCACACGTCTGGCTCCGGTTTGACCTTGGACTCCCCTCTTCAAGGCGACGTCTCTCTCCACACGGATTTCACCCCTTCGGATGCCACACCTCCAGCCTTCGTCGATACTCCTCCCGACGACTTCGGTGTTTTCCGAAGATACTACGGTCGAACACATCCTCCCTCACAGATCCCTGAAGATGCGCAAACCCTCGAAGACGTCTGTGATGCCCCTGGTCTGCACCCTCCTCGCTCCGAGGAAGAGGCAGCACAAGAACCTACAGTCAAGTGGATATCCCGGAACAACGTGGCGGAGGACCCCAAGGTCTGGTACGCTCCTTTCGCAAACCCTTCTCAAGCCAAGCTCGCGAACTGGAAGCATACGGTGTCAAGCTCCGGCACGATCTCCACGAGTACGTACGAAGATCTTTTGACAATCTGGGACGAGTCTCAGACCGAGAACTGGAGCATTCGGGAGGACGGGTTCACTGCGCGCAAATCAGATCAACTCCTCGACGATCCTCTTGGCTTCTCGAAGGACGTCTTCTCAGAAGAGTGGAACAAGGACCCCTTTTCCCTCCCTCTCCCAAAGACGAGTACGAAGAAGGGGCTATCCGAAGCCAACGCTCCTCGCTTCGCTGTCGACGGTGGCGTCACAAGGAACATAATGCCCATCATTGAAGACGTCGCTACCAACACCACCAGTCGGCACGCCAAGCAGTACCAATATGACCCGCACGGACTCTTTTGGATCCCACCGGGCCATTCGCGCAAGGCCTCGTCTCGTGCTCGTTCGTGCAGACAGCATCACTTTCAGCAATGCTTGGTCCCTCTTTTGAAAATGCGAGGGATCTTGCTGATAGCCCTGGTGTCCCTCTGCCACATCTTCCCCCGCTTCCTCGAGATTTCTCGCCACTCAGCAGTTCACCACCTCGCTCAGTGGTTCCTTTGGTAATCAACATGTCAATAGACAATTGTACGTGTTAATATTGATCCCTGTTGTCTCTCGGTGCTAATAGTAACCGTCTCAGCACCGAGGACACCACCAATCGGTTTTCCTCATTCACGTACCCCTGCAGAATCGCCTTCCACGCCCTCTACGCCCTCACGTTCCGATTCACCTCCCGTTGATCCTCCAACCCCTATTCGCATCTACACAGACGTCGTCAATTCGCCCGCACTTCTCGCAGAGGAAGAGAAGCTCCGTTCTCTGCCTCGACAGCCACACGACCTGGCCGAATTGCCATACGGAATCCTCCCAATGATTCTGTGGTCGGATGCAACCCATCTGTCCAGTTTCGGGGACGCCAAACTCTGGCCGGTATATCTTTACTTTGCGCATCTCTGCAAGTACACTCGGGGTCGTCCAACAGAGTTTGCTGCCCACCACATTGCGTATATTCCATCTGTATGTCTCTGTTAGTGATCACGCCTTTTGCCTTGCTGACCCGGGTCACATGCCTGTAGCTTCCGGACACAATCGAGGAGGCATATGCAGATATATTCGGGAACCCGCCTACCGAGGAAATCATGCGGTTTCTCCGGCGTGAGTTATTCCAGGAGATTTGGTTGCGGTTGATGAATACCGATTTCATGGAGGCCTACGAGAAGGGTGTTGTGTACGAGTGCACCGATGGGGTGACCCGACGGCTGTTCCCCGGTTCTTCGCATATTCAGCGGACTATCCGGAGAAGTGAGTCTGTCTCGTTCTTATTGAGTGTTAAATCCCTGATGTCCGAGAAGGATACTTGCGACTGCGCTCAAGCCACTCTCTACGCATCTTTGCCCGACATGTCTGATGACCAAGGGGCAATGTCACGAGGCAGGAACTCCGGAGGACATGCAGCGACGCCAGGAGAAGTGCCGAGTTGACGACGTCGACCTACACAAGGTCATCTCCACCGCTCGTGCAGCACTATTCAAAGGTAGCTCCATCATGAGCAAGAAGGTTCAAGACCTACTTCGGCCTCAGTCTCTCAATCCCATCCAAGTGCGTACAGATGATCTGCTATTAGTGTGGTACTGATGCTTGCTCTAGAACGCGTTTTCGCGACGCTTGTCGAAGTTTGGTGTCAATTCCTATGATCTTTTCGCCCCCGATGTCATGCATGAGCTCGAGCTGGGAGTTTGGAAGGGGACTTTCCACCACTTGATGCGTATGTTGGAGAGCCTCGGAGCAAACCATGTTCAGGAGTTCAATAATCGGTGAGTGTCATTGCATTGTGCCGTACGAGTTCTGTGTCTGACTTGTCATGCTCTATACTAGCATGCAACAGATGCCGACGTTTGGCAACGGCCGACTTCAGATGTTCCGAGAGAATGTGTCCTCTCGTAAGGGCCTTGCTGCTCGGGACTACGAGTCGTTCCTTATTGTGAGCAATCAGTGACTCGTGCTTGATCAGGGTGGTGTTGACTCCTTGATTGTTCCATTCAGACCATGATGCCGGCGATGGAAGGATTACTACCTCTTGCTGACAACGAGGTTGTTCAAGACATGCTGTTTGAACTGGCCAACTTCCATGCTCTAAGCAAGCTTCGAATGCAGACCGATGTGACACTCGACATCATGGATGATGCTACAACCCACATGTACGACTCAATGCGCCGTTTCGCGACCATGGCTGGAGGCTACGTCTGTGTGGAAAGCGAGGAAGAAGCAAAAGCCCGGGAGCTTCGTGAGGCCCAGAATACCTCCACTGCACCGTCGTCTGCTCCCACTGGTTTGTCATCTGAAGCCACGGTGGCTTCCTCGTCAGCCAGATCATCTGCAGGGGTGCCCCTTTCGCCGTCCACAGCCTCAGGATCAGCAACAGCTCTTGCACAGTCACCAGAGCCAACAACAGTCTCTGTGCGCCTCACAAGTGCGCCGAAGAAGACGAGGGGCTCTCGCAGGAAGCCCATTCCGAAGAAGGCCAAGCATCCTGCCGAAGACCTGATGTGCGCCGAAAAATCAAGCCATACGCCGTCGTGGAGACGTACAAATACCACGCGCTTGGTCACTACGTTCGTTACATCCGTTTCCGAGGGCCTATGGATTTGTACTCAACTCAGACTGTAAGTGCTTTCTGCGCTGCTGGCCGCTGTGACACCTTAATGAGCTTTGAACCGGGACATAGGGTGAATGCGAACATCGACACGTCAAAATCTTGTTCAAGTGAACAAATCGACGTAATTTCATCACCCAGATTGCGCGCCTCGTACGCCATGGCGAGCAACTTCGCCAGATCAATGAACACGATCCCAGCCACAACCAGCCTTGTGCCCCTTCGGTGGCTCCGACACTCGCTGAACCCAACCCTGCAACTGGCACATCAACCCACTCCAAGGCTAGCAGTGCTCCTGCGGACGCTCACGAGCACTACGAGATCGGAGACTCTGACAAGACTCGTGTCAGGATACGCGACTGGGTTATTGACCACTTTGAGGACCCTGCAACAAAGGTATGATTTGCAGATGGTGTCAGCTACGGCTCCGCTAATAGCATAGCCCAGGGCTTCATACCTTGTTTGCACGAGCATCTGCTTGGTCGCATGCTTGGGCAACGAGAGGCGACACTACATCCCGACTCACCCTTCACATTCACACAAGAGGAGCATAACGGGTTCAAGTCATCGATGGTCACATGTTCGAACACAAGACGGCTCGATTCCACTTCACCAACTACGCCGTTCGCCGCGAGCAAGACTGCATCAACCCACGCACCCATGGTGATATCATGATGCTTGCCCCCAACGATGCCTCTCATCCATATCTCTATGCCCGGGTCATCGTATATACCACGTCTATGCACAGTATCGAGGCCCTGGTGGCACACCAATGAGCTCGCAGAAAACATGCTTCAAGTTCCTCCAGGTCCGTTGGTTCGAGGTTGATGACCAGTACACAACCGGTTTCCTCCATCGTCGCCAATTTCGCCTCAAGTTTGTCGACCACACACAATATCCAGAGTCTGCTTTTGGATTTGTCGACCCCGCTGACGTTCTCCGTTCTGCATACATTGTTCCTGCCTTTGACCATGGAAAGGTCGACGCCTCCCTCCCTGACGACTCCCTTGCACGCTGCAAATCCAAAGTTTCCCTCTACCGGTATTACTATGTGATGATGTGAGCGCTTTATGACCGGTCCCCATCCTTTTTCATCTCTGATATCAGTTGTCTAGGTTCGCCGACCGCGACATCTTCATGCGCCACCTTGGTGGTGGTGTGGGTCATCAAAGCGAGGGCATACATGTCGAGGATTCTCTTGAGCATGCACAACGCGCCCCGCGACCTCGGTCCCGTCATTGGGAAGACACAAATGGCGCACGACTCGTGGGCAAGAACGTCGAACACACTCGGGATGACATCAACTTGATGCCTGACGAGGCTCCCGGTTCCCCCATCCCAGATAGTACCGCACTGGTGGGCCCTCAAGATACGACGATTCAAGCTGAGCAACCCGACCTCATTGCTGAACAGCCAGCCGAAGCATCCGATGAGGATCAGTGCGAAGCCCTTGAAGACGCGCTTGCAGGGCTTCCAGAGTTTGACGACGATGACGACGACTGCTGCATGCATGATGAAGGCACTCTGGATGCTCTCGACGGACTTGCGACGGGCTTGGAAGTAGCGGGCGTAGGTGGGGATGAAGAAGATCTCGACGAATTCGATGTCATTGGCTACGTGCGGTGGTGATCTATCCCCTGTGTCCCCCGATAGGCGAGGAGAAGAACTTGTATGGGCAACCACAGAGGTACGTGTCATACTCCAGCTCTTGCGTATTCCCCCATCCCTCCGACGCCCGTGACTCTTGCAATGGTGTCGAGCACCTGGCACATTGGAGCCAGTAGAGACGGAAAAATCGCGCCGACGCAGCAATCCAGGCACAGCGAGCCTTCGCGCGAACCTCGATTGGCTCCACGCGACTGGCAACCAGTTCCAGGTGCAGGCTGGTCTTTCCGTCTCGGTCTGGCATTCCACGTCTTGCGTGCACGGCTCCGGCTCCCAGTTGTGTTGATATCAGCTGAGGGCCCTATGTATCGACAGCACGGGACATCCGGATCCCGTCCGCTCGTTCACATGTCCAAGATGTACTGATTAAGTATACCACAGATACAGTGAAATACATAACGCGCACGCGCACTGGCTTGTTCATTTTCACGCGAGCCTCCGCGCCCTGCCATCCATCAGCATGCATTTCCTCCAGAAGCTACTGCATTACAAGTCAGTGGTAATTTGACTGCCGTCATCGTCGTCAGGGTAGTAGCACGCCGGCACTTCAGCAGGCGAAACGTCTTGGCTGCGAACCAAGATGAGGACTGGTGCAAGAGGGACGGCGGTCAACACACCTCGTGGAGAAGACTTCGCGCAGGCCGTGGTCTTCGGGGTAGTGGACCGAGTCCGGCGAGGGCGTTGAATCCAGGGCGGTGGGGATATCCGGAACCAGTCGCCAAACAGGGAGTCTCGCTTGATGAGCAAAGCGCGCCTCGTTTGGTGACCACCCGATGTAGGAAAGGACGGAGATGTCATCTGGGCCATTGCTTGACTGTAGGAAGGGGAGGTGGCAAGGAGCTCGTGCGTGTAAATACCCAGCTTGGCGTGCGGAGGTGCCTGCGGGTCGGTCGGCGTGACGAGAGGGGTGGACGGAGGTGAGGGATCGGTGGAATGCACAGAACTCCCAGAGCGAGGGTGAAGGGGTACCGGAGTGCGCAGGACGGAAAACTTCGGCGGGCGCGAGAGGTGCTGGATCGGGGGTTGGGACTTGCCTCCATCGCGATATCCACAGTCCTGCGCACCCGGCTCGCCTGTACCAGCCCTATCTGACGCCCTCCCGTCCTCGTTGAATGACCGCAGGAGATCGGAGAAGTGGTACTGCAAGTATTCTTTTGCATACGCGCTGTTCTCTTGGGTGAGCTTTGGCTCGCGCGCGATGAACATGGCTTCGTTGGCGCAAACGACGGCGAACTCGAGGACGGCGTTGGCGAGCCGCTGCTGAGGGAGTGAATCCTTCCCGGTGTCTTCGATCTTCCTGAAGGAACGCAGCATGCAATGCGCATCAATGAGGGTGTCGAGGTTCATGTTGGGAGGATGAGGAAAGGGGCGAGCACTGGCAGAGCACGATTTGCCGTGTACCCTGGCGCCATGGTCGTAATGGTCTGTGGACAGAGTGCAACCGGTCAGCGAACGGCTGACCTTGGTCGGGGGACAGGCACTGACTGATCGTCTGTGATCCAGCTCCTGCACTTGATTGGCCGTCAAAGGTCGAGAGACGATCCTCCTCCTTTCACGCGGACAGGATCGATCTCAGCAGACGGAGACGATCTGCAGGCGTTGAGCCGACGATACTCGACCAGCTGCCGATCGGTTTCCGTCGGCCCGGATCAGCTTTGTCGGATTTTCCCCGGTTTCGTGATGCAGCGACGGGCCGAACTGCCAGCATCTGCGCATCCTCGCCGTCGCATTCCCTCGAGAGTGCGGCTCGGTTCAGCAGTTGATCGAAGCAAACCCAGCGGAGTGGGAGGAGACGATCACGACCGGCATCCGAGACGACTTGGCAGAACTCGTGAAGATGCTGGGGGGCCGAGCATCGAGCGGTCTTCGCCTGCAACGGCTCGAGTGGCGAGTGGCGGAGTGGGATGATTATTTCCAGCTCGAGTTCCTTCCGACTGCGGTCCTGAGCACGTATGTGCCACCTCCGACGGCGCTGTACGACCAGACGAAGCTGGAGACATTGGTCGACGGGCCGGTCGTATTCGGCGGGGTCACCTACCAGGTCAGCCTCGCATGAGCCCCAAACCTATGACGGCTCATCACGACCGGATGGTGTGTGGCCGTGGCGAAGGGGCGGAAGGAGTCATGACGAGGCTTTCGGGGTCCAGGTCGACGTCGAGCGGGTCGTCGTGAGACACACAGAGGACTTCGCGCTCGTCGGCACGGAGGGTTTATTTGACGTTGTGCAAGTCAATATTGACGTGGGCGATGGCGTGTAGGGAGGGGGTGGAGGAGGGACAGCAGTAGGATTTTTAGAATTCCGATGAAGGCCCATCATGGGCTGAATAAGTAGAGTGCTAATGGCAAATTAGAAGCCGGCAATTGCCTATCAGCCGGGCGGCTCGATTGGGCGTCTATCCGATCTCCGGCGCATGCAGTAAGAGGATAAGCGTCAAAAATGCCGCCAGCGTTCAGACTCGAACACCGTGCTCCGTGTGGACCACGCTGCAGACCACTAGGCCACTGGTGCTTGTATTTTAGCTTCAAATATAATGTTATGACATGCAATTTTCGGCCCCGCATGAATGGGGTGCCAAGTTCAGCCTCCTGTACCGCCTTTTCGAAAACGTCCCGATTTCGAATAACTAGCAGCGCGCCTTGTCCCCCGTACTTTTCTAATACCCACCTTCGCGCTCTTCCTACATTGGCCACGCCCCACGCGCGCCCTCCATGCGCGCGCCCTCCACCCGCGTCCCTAGCCCGCTTCGCCTTTCCGGCCCTCGGATGGCGTGTCTATGCTTGCTTCGCGAAGGCACAGGAGCGCGCCTCCTGCTCTGTGTTCTTCGGTCGCCCACCTTCCGGGGCGCGACATAGGGGCGCGACATACATTCGCGCGCAGGTGTTGGGGAGACACTCCACACGCAGCTCGATGTGCCGCCGCCGCGCGACAGTCACCCGCGCCATCAGTGGCAGCCACTTCACCCGCAGGGGCCGGCCCTGTGGCAAAGATAGAGGCGGTGTTGGAAGGGATCACCCGTCTGCAGCCTCAAGCTTGCTGCACGCGATTATCAAGAGCAGGACCCCAGTCACTACCCGGGCCCGCGCTGTTCCCTCGGGGCGGATATTCGGAGAGGACCCGCGTCGTTCCCCAAGTGTGGTCACTTGCGCGATTATCTGAACACCACCACCACCGGGGGATGAGCCGCACGTTTCAACTAGTTGTCAGGTAGTAGACGGGACTACCGTATGTAGCACACTTTTACTTATCCCGACCTTTCGAGGTCATTAGTCGTATGAACAAAAACTTAACGCCACTCGGTATCGAACGCACGATGCATTCGAGCTGTCCGACACGATTACCACTGATCCAAAGTGCCTTTCCTTGCACTCAGCCTTGAAATAATATGAAAAGTTAAATGCCCCGGTGGCGCGGCGGACCTGCCGTGTCGGTCGGGATCTCGGAGGCCCCATCTGTTAAGTCCGTCCGATTTTTGGCGCCAGGCATCGCCGGACGTCCTCAAGCACCGCCACCGCCACACAAATTGTATGATGTCAGACGATCGACTACCTGCCGTACGATGAATAAACTGTATCACTTACATCTCCGGCCTCACCCAGTCTCGTGCGCATATCCTATTCCATTCACCCTCAACGTCGGGTCCCAATTTCTCCTTGAGGTAGCTACGGAGCCTGAATGTGCTCGGTGAGTATGTGTCCGCCAGGGTTTGCCAAAGACTCACTCCATGGCGATGTCGGGTCTCACATGTCCGGTGGGGACATTCGGCTTGTGAGCCTGGAAGCGAGTCCTATATCAGATCGTGCTGGAGTCGTATCCGACAATGCTCGCTCACAGGGTGATAGTACCAGAAGCGTTCTCCGATATTAGTCGGCAGTCGGCATTCTCCCGGCTTGAATTCGAACGCCTTTCCGTGTTTCGTGTTGCTCATCAGAGCGCCTAAGCCGAACTGCAGGGCCTGAAAACGGGTGAGTTCATGCCCGTCGTTCACTATTGAGACATACCTTCTTCAGATCTTCATCTCGGATATTTGTTTTTGAGTTGAACAATACCCGTTCGAGAGTCTGTGAAAACGTTCTCGCCGTAAGTTCCTCTTGTGAGCGATGAATTCAACGTACCTTGCGATGCCGTCTGGACATCGGGGGCATCGTGGACAGCAGTTCTGTGCGCGGGAAGGTTAGGGACCCGAGGACGCACGAGAGCCGTTCGAAATGGATGAGACGCGCATGCGTGCCGGGAGTCACACCGGGAGTACACCGGGGGTAGTGTAGCGATAGTCGCGGGGGCGTGGAGGGTGAATGGGAGGGGGGATGGTCTGTTGAGGACCTGGCACGAAGAGGAACAAGGGAAGGCTCACCTGAGCTGCCACGCGGGTGGGACGCGCGGGTGGCGGGACGTCACCACAGGAGCACGTTCGCGGAATACGGCCGGGAGCGCGACGTGCAGCAGTAGCGGCGACCGCGAAGGGGGCGGGGAATCGTCTGTTAAGGACCCAGCGCGAAGAGGAACAATGAGATGCTCACCTGGGGTGGGACGGGCGTGAGACGTGCGCGGGCGGCGGTTTGTCGAAGTCGACGCAGGCGGAGGACGGTAATCCGCGCACGTGTGGCGGTCGCGGCGGCCGTGGGGTGTCAAGGGGCGGATTGATGATGTGTTAAGGATGCAGCGCGAAGAGGACTGACGAGACACTCACCTGGGCGGCCACGCGGGTGAGACGCACTCGCGACAGGACATCACGATCGAGCGCACGGATGCGGTAGTGTTCGGGGTATTCGAGCAGGATTTCTTTGAAGAAGGAGGAAGCGGTGAGGGATGAAGCGGCGACGTGAGGAGAAGTGGCGAAGACAGACGATGGGGAAAGGGGACGCAAGCGGTGAGACGCTCGTAGAGTGACGCACGACGCCGCGAGACACTCACCAAGGAACTCGGAAACAGAACACGAAGGAATTGGCTTAGAAAGGTGGGTTGTCTAGATGCGTTCGCGCGAGTGAGCAGTGCGGATGGACGACAGTTGGTGGAGGGTGTCGATGTGGCAAGCGCGAGAGCGTGGAGCTGGGCGCTGAACGTTCGACGAATTCCAGTTCATATTCTCGCGTTTATGATAGCGTGCGTTACATGCGTGCTCGCAGGTAACTCTTGTCTCACGGTGCGTCGCGTCTCTGTTCGTTCCGTCCTTTACCTCACCACGATTACATTTTGCCTCGTCCATGAGGGTCGCTTGAGTAGTACTTTGTTTTCCCAGCTTTTTCATTCCTGATGATAGACTTTGCTCACGACATCTAGCAAGGACGACGCTACTCACTACATGGACAGGCCTCGGTGTCTTCGGCGATGTTCGTACAGCACCGCTTTACTCCTGATTTTGTGATCCGTCGTTCAGTTCCGGCCCGAGGATTCGGTGTTTATTCCGGCAACTCGCGCCCCTCGGATGCGGGGGCTCGTCGCGTGCTACACCCACCCGCGCCCTCTCCCGATGTGGTAAATGGGACCGCTCGGGACCACCGTTCGCCTGAGCCGCTTCCATGTCCTTTGGTACCGTGGGCTATTGGCGGGGACGGCTGGTATGAAGTTGTCCGCGACGTCGAATGGACGCGCCCCCCGTGTAGTACTTTCGTATTTATTACATTACTTACCCACAACGCTGTTGACTCGGCCATCTGCCGCTCGTTCTTATTGCACGCCCATATAATAGGCCTGGGTCGCGCGGGCTCATGATCACGTTCTTCGTGCGCGATGTCTCCGTAAGTGCGTCCGCACCTTGATCTTTCGTCCACTTCCCGCACAAACACGGGCGCCCCAGAACGGGCGCCCAAGTCGGTCGTCTGCCATCGTCGTCCTCAGTGTAATCACAACATCTCATTGCTGATACTGTATCTACAACACTGCCGAAACGATGTCGTCAGGTGGTCGTTTCAATACGGGCAATGAGATTACTTACTCTGGATGGATCGCTAGCGCCCGGACGTCCCGACCGCTTCCTATTGCGGCCGTGACGTCGTCTTCGCTTTCTGACATACGCCCAGTCAGTGTTCGCTCTGCGATGACGTTAAAAATGATTTCTCACGATTAGTCATCTAGGGTCAGATCAACATCCACTCGCCCGTGTCCGACTTCCTCACCCAACATCCGCTGCGTCCCCATCCGCCACGACAACTTCCGCGGTGGCATGGCTTCCTTGTCCGAAATCTCAATGATATCTTCCGCGAGCCGCTTAGACGAAGTAGAGTTGACATTCTTCGACGTACCAGGAGGCGGAAGGTTGTCGTCGGATATCTCAATCGGGTCCCCTGGTATCTGCACATGCCGCTTTCAAGAGTTGGTGCGCCCTGCGCGCGCGTTGACTGGCTCACCGCCGCGTGTTCGTTTCGTGCGCATAGCTTCACGTCCTATGTTGTGAGAGGGACCTCCATGTCCCAACCCATCCGCGCTGCGCACCTCGAGAAGGCCCGGGCCCTGCGACCAGCTCAGCGACGTGTCGGCCACTCACAGGTCACTGGGGGCTTACCGAGTTCCGTCCAGCACCATCTCGGGCTCGCTCTGCGCCCTCCAGAGCGAGGCCTATGCCCGGCATCGCCACACGCTCCTGGCCCACCGGAGCGTATGCCATGATTACGATGGGGAAGCCACCCCTTACGCGGTCGAGCGCCGCGTCCGCGTCGAAGATGGCGTCCCAGCAGGATTCTTCCAGATTCCATATGCGGGTGCGGCCGTGGGCGACACAGAGGCGACGTGCACTGGCGCGAATGTCCGATTCCGTCGCGATCACAATCTCTGGGGCACCACCCTTCTATTGTCGAGGATCAGAACCCCGTCTGGCGAACAGGTTGGACACTCACATGGTCCCATACGAACACAAGCCGCTCTCCGGCTGCGAGAGGGAAGCTCAGAGCGTCCGCAATTCCCTCGACGAGCTTGGGGTCCGTGCCATTCGTGTCCTCCCACTCGCGCATGTGATATCCGAGGCCCTCGCAGTGTTCAAGTCCTACACGCAGGAAGATGAATCCGTTCGACGCATCTTGTGACCCAATCACCGTCCGACCCAGGCGCTCCCAGTCGTTGGAGGAGAAGCTCCAGATGCGCATGTTCATGATCTTGTCGATGTCCGCATGGGGGGTTACCAGCTTCTCTTCTGAGAGATCGTGCTCGCCTCGGATTAACTTGATCGCCTTGTCGTCTACCCTTCCTCGCCCTCCCTGCTAATCGGTCATCCTCTGATTACGTGCAGATGCCCGGTGTGCTCACCAGGTTAAATGCAACCAACAGCGTCATCGTGTTATGTCTGATACGCTGCATATCGCATCAGCACACACGTCATCTCTCCAGCCTCACACGGTTCGTACCTTGTTCCCATCGTCGACCTCTGCAGACTCATGCACTTCCTTCTTCGGCTTCTTCTCCTCCTTCTCCTCTTCGGCATCTTCTGAGTTCCCTTCTTAGACAAGTGAATCCCGAAATATCTAGGACACGTACCTTGTCGCGCTCGTTCGACTGGCCGCCCACAGACCCGCTTCCAGCCTTCCACCGAATTCGCTTCCCCTTCTTGCTGCTCTGGTTCGTCCTTCGTCCCTTGTACAGCCCTGACTCGCCGCGCCATGCCCTTGCCCTCGCCTCATCTTCCTTCCTCAAGGTTTCGATGCGAATGAGGTCGACTTGCGTCGGGCCTTTCTGTCTGGGGAAGAACTGACATGCACCATAGCCGGGCCGCTCGTGCTATGTCAGAGTATAAGAACACGTTTTCCAAGTGAGCTTCCGCACTCACGCGATATCCCACCGCACCTGCGTAGTACTTCTTGCACCCCACAAAGCGCGATACTTTCAGTGCCTCGATCGTCTCCCCGTTGTTGTTCAGAAGTGTATAACCACAGCGGGTGCAATCGCGGGGCATTGCAGGGCTGGATGCGTAACGACTTCATTGCAGAGGGCAGAGAGTTCTTTGCTGATGGCGCCTTCGGCCTCTCGTATCTCGAAAAACTGGATGTCGTCTCGGTCCTTGCCGGGTTGATGGTACCCCCATCGGAGATCCTCTTCCATCAAGCCTGTCATGGAGAGGGTCAATTTCAAGGAGGCTGGAGCGAGGACAGGAGAGGAGGAGGCATTCGCCGGCGGCGCGATCTTTTCGGGGCAGGCGCTCGGCGATTGCCTGACTCGCTGAAATGTCGCCCTTGTTGAACGTTTCCGTTCTGGCATCGGCATTCCTGCCCACTGCGCGAAATCAACACCGCTCGTCGGCGAGTCCAACGCTCACCCCACACCTTGAAGCGTAGGCATTTAAGACTGCTATACAGGGCGCACATGTCCAACACCCACCTGCACACCTTGAAGCGTAGGCGTTCAAGGTTACTAGTATACTGGGTATAGCTGTTTCTAGGCACGGGCCGGAGAACAACAAGCCCGTCCCCTTTCCGGACACCCAGCGCGTTCATATTGTCCTCCAGTGCACCACTCCGTTGTATGTACTAGCTACGTGGGTCTTACGATAACGTGGTGCAACCGTTGCTGCTAGTTTAAGGTTGAAACATTACGTGCCGCCCGCCCGCCCAATGCGAGCATCCGGTGCAAGAGATGGCGCTAGGTCGTGAGGACTAGTGGCCTGTTCGTTTATCTGCTTCAGACGACGCAATCTATTTTGTGGTCATTCGACTCACCTTGGTTCATCGCCCTCATTACCTCTACACGAGCAATCGCCAGGCCTATGCTCTTCGGCTCGCGCGGCCTTGGTCAGCCGATCCTTCGTCGTCCGAAATCTCTATCACCTCAGGCTGCTTCTTGGCGTGGATCATCGCCCCCTTCGGCGTCTGAAAAAGTATGAGCCATGTTCTTCGACAGGTCCGATTATATCACACACCCGCATGTCCACTCCCCTGGGGACTGGCGAGATCTGAGAAACTACGTCTTCGTCATCAGAGAGCTCGATCGTCTTCATGTTCGTCACATCGTGTTTCTTCTTCGGCTTTGATTTTCGCATCTGCATTGCCTGAGATCACTCATCATATGCTATGACGTCACGGCGGCACTCACGTGTCGAGCGCCTCGCGCGTCTCTGCCTCCCAGAGGCGGATATCCTTCGTTGTCCGATATCTCGATGATATCGCTGGTGTCCACATTCTTGATGTTGTTCTTGTTAGACTGCGCCTTTCTCAGGCTTCATCAGCTACCCATCTCATATCGTGACGTCACTGCGCTCACTTGGTTCACATCGCCTTCGTTGTCCGATATT